AAAACAGGACATCATCTAAAGGGCTTAGATCACTATAGAATTCTTATAAAATCAACAACTTTGGGTATAGAGGCCCAAGCCCAACCCAACTTTGTGTCGCTTTTCCTCTTCAGCTTCCAACTCTCACCCAAGGGCTAGCTTGCAGTTATTCAGCCCAATCTTCATTAAATTTAATTACAACAAACAAATTATTAACAAGCCGCGTTACATTACATCAAGCTTTTTAATCACCAGCAGAAAGACCCATCTCTAATCTTATTATTTGCATTCGATTTAATCAGCCCAACTCTCTTTCTCTCTCTCAAGTAGTTCGACATTGTCGTCAATATGGATTAAATCCCTTAAGAGGTGGGCACACTTATGGGCCTGATATGAACCAATCATAGTTTTCAGTGTTCTTTTTTTTTCTTTCGGGTATATGATTCAAAAATGAGACTGAGACTTCTGATGTAGATATAGACTAGTATCAACCATCACAAATACTTATGGTAGGAAAAGAACTCATATCAGAAATCATAATACCGGAACCTATATCTATCACAAATTAATATTCCCCAAATGCAAAACTGCCCCAAAATCTCAGGCTCACTATGCTCCATCTCAGAATCAGGAATTACCACTTACCACTCAAAGGTGTCCTCGGTAAGCTGAAGAACTGGTGGTCACTCGATAACAATGGAATAAAAGTCCGAACTACAAGCACATCTCTGCACATCTAGAAAATAACTCCCAGCTTTATTGCCAGCGATATATACGTAGAGCACAAGAATTCAATAACTCTTTTGTTTCATCCAATTAAAATGTCAAATAGTTGTTCAAAATTGTACTAAAAAGTCATCTAGATTGTCTTTGCAACTTGTGGTAGAGATTTAAGAAGAGACGGTGATGGCCTACGCAAAGTGTGATTGAGAAGGATCATCAGTGTCAGGAGAGTCAAAGCCCCAGCTTGATGTGCTGTACCAAGCTCTACAGGCACATATGACAGCAGTGTAGATATTCCCAGTGTGACCTGCAAAGATAACACAACGAATTGTGCAAAGCAATTAAAATCAACCTGGTCAAACTAATGAAATAATTCGAAGGAGAAGAGAAAAAAAGGAATGAAAAGTTGGAAACCATATATACCTGAAGGCCAGCCATGCCCACAGCACTTCCAATCAAAGACCGAACTGCAGGATGTATGTCAAACTTCCTTGTTGACAACCACAAAGCACCAATTGAAAATAAAGTTGCAGTTGCAAGGATACGATGATCAAGCTACAAACAGGAAGAACAATAATTAATCACAATCCTACTTCATGTTTGAAATTTGAAAAGATTACAGAACAAGCTAATATGCAGTAGAAGATTTAAGAATTCTATAATTTCACAAAAGCATAGTCGCCTAAAGAAAATGGTTTTCATCACAAGAAATTAAGCTCAAAGAAGACACAGAAACTGCTGCTAGCCGAAACACATTATGATGATAACATAATCACATTTCATTTGTTCCTACAGAAAACAGATGTTTTTTTACTGAAGGAAGAAACTTAAAATAAGACATCTTTCCAATTTTTAACTCCTTTTTTTTTTGGGGGTAATATTTCCCTTGTCATCATAAAAGCAACCTTAGAGCTAACATATAGCAACATTAAGTTGCAAAAAACTAAAATAAAATATATTCTTTGGTCAGAAAGATACCTGCACGGTAGATGTATTCTCAAAGAAGTTCCGGATTAGTGGCTTCATGTCAAAAACATCCCCTGGGATCCATGTATCCCCCATCTTTGGAAAAGTATTATAAGCATGCCCCTGGAATTTTCACACACAAGCATATTTATATCTCCTACTCAGCAAAAGCCACATACCATCCATTCAGTTCATTGTGAAAGGCAAGAAGGAAAACCAAAATTACATACAGCATCATTCCCGGCTACAAATGCTCCTGAGACAGCAGTTACTCCGACAAGTAAGCTTACAGGAAGGGCAAGTCGCTTCACCTTAGCTGCCCCATGAACCCAAGCTAGTGATTCAGAAGGTGGTTCAGGCATGACAACAGAAAGACCTGTCCATAAAAGGCCACAGTATATAGCAAAGGCTGAAGTAAGATGGGCTGCAAGACGGTAAGGGCTTACTCTTGGCTGAGCATATTCAGATGCTGGCTCCTGTGAGAGAGAATTATTTCAAAATCCATCGCTTTTATTAAATTTCAATCAAAACCACAACAAGAGAAACCATATCTGACCTCTAAACCACTTTTAACCATCCACCAGCCAATTAAACCCTGCCCAGCACCAAGACCAAAAAGAGCAGAGAGTCTCAGTCCAAGTTGTAAGGTAATATACCCCTTGCGGAGAAAATACGAGAAGGGCAACGCAAACATAATTCCCAGTCCCCTTCCCCACATTCGATGTGCATATTCCATCCAATAGATGAATTTGAAATCTTCAATACTCATCCCTCGATTTACACTACATGAGATCAAGAACCAGGTAACATTATAAGGGTCCAAAAGAACTTCAACTCCCATTGAAAGCAACAATGTAATATCAAATATGTAATTCTTCAATCCTACAAATCTGGGTTAAAGTAAACTACAAAAAGCTAAAAAGACACATGAACAGTAAAATTATCATCACTCATATAGTCATTCAGTTCAAAGCACACATTTTCTGTTTTGCTTCCAGCCAATAGAGGATTGCATTTGTAATCAAACTTAAGCAATTCTGGAAGACTTTTAATGTAATTTCAAGTTTAGAGGCAGATCACTATGAGCTAAAAAGTGCTTAAAATGAAAACTAAAACTATTGCTGCAAAAATGTACAGTGCTGTTTCCACTTTGCACTAACCGCTTATACTCAGGGGACTGCTTGTACTTCTCAAACTCAAGCAACCAATCCTCATCTGAGAGAGGAGGAAGCCCTCCAGTAAATTTCCAATCAGTCATCGAAAGACCAGATCTCGTTAGTCTTGTAATACCGCCAAGTATCACCATACTAAACACCCATGCAGCAGAGCCAAAAAGCCAAATGCCAACCATTTTCTGAGCATGAGGTCCTCCATTTACAAGAAGCTTCAATCCCTCCTTATTTCCGATGCCTACAGAAGCAACAGTGGACATATTCCTTATAGATGGTACATAGTTACCCTGAAAATGGCATAAGAAACTTCCTTTTTATTTATTATTTCACAACACATCCCAGCCTAACTAGCTAAATTGCAAAAATTTGTTTTTGGTGCATTTATTCATCATGGGAAAAGGAGCTACTTCAAAAATTGAAAACCAGCTGCATTCGATGATATGCTACAAGTTTACAACTGAAAACCCGCAGTTCTCTGATTCTCTAATTCCAATCTATATCTTTTTCCCATTGGTTACAATAACAAAATGAAACTCAAAATCCATTATTTCATAATTAAATCTCAAAATTCTTAACTGAATGGTTTTGATTATCAGAAAAAATACTACTCAAATAAACATTCCACGGCTGGAAATGAAACTGCAAAGCTTGTCCCAGTTCTGAAAAGCTTCCCTAATTCTGCATTCACAATCCACCATCTAAAATCTAAAGCACTGAACTTTAATACACTTTTTTCGAATTTACTTTCCAAAAATGAATTCAAAAGAATTTTACAAAACAAAGAGAGAAAGGAACCTTAGAGAAAGATCGAAAGCCATCCAAGCATTTGCGTGTGGCTCCAATAGAGAATAATCGATAAGATTCCTCGTTCAGAACCCTAGACGGCGTCGTTCCCCTGAGATTGTACAGAGCTTTGCCGTTGTTCTTCACAAACAACGCTACGACTCGGCTCCGAAACATTTCTCTCTCAACTCTGAAGTCTGAAACTGAGAGGGTTTAGGAGCGGTTTTGGTTGTTCGCGGCTAAATTTTATGCCTTCTTTCTCTTGGACCAGCAAACGACACCGGTTTTAGGGACCTCTTTAAACAAACGAACACGTGGTCTATCTTCAACCCACGCAGGAAGTTTTCATGTGAAAAACCGCAATGTTTGATTGCAACAGTGACACACAATAGATAACTTTAGGGCTAATTATACCCAATTAAAATTTAAAGTAAAATATTTTTGAATCAAATTTCCTTAATTTGCATCCTAATGTTTTAAGATTGTATTAATTTACACGTTCTGTTAATTCGACCACAGAGGATCTGTCAAAACTCAAGGCCCACAAAGAAATACAGATGCGTGTCTTGGTGGGTGTGAGAGTAGATCTAGAGGGGAGGGATCACTCATGATCATATCAGGAGGTGATAAGAAGCAAAAACAGAAAATTTAAAAATAAAAATCTTAAGATAGTTTACACCAGAAATTTTCTATATGGGCCCCATGAGCATTAATGACATGATATGGGCCATTTTTGTCACAAACTTGGCCCAACTGACCAGATTACAAACCCAGCTTTAAAGGCCCATGACCATGACAACGGACTCGGCCCAAGCTAGAATCACGAGGCCTAGTGGATCTTGGGCCGAAGTGGAACCACGCCTTACACCCAAAATCACGGTCCTTCGCAAAGTGAGAAGACGCCACGTGTCAAATTTGCACTGCTCAATGTCATTGTTTACCAAGACCCGACCCACATGCTTGGAACCTCGCTACAAGCCAAGATTCAATAACGTCATAAAAATATCTAAGCCCTGGAACTCGCGACCAAGGCAGCATCCTTCCCTAAATTCGGCCGCTCTTTACCCTACATTGGCCAAGTCACGATTTGCTCGACCCTAACACCTGCACATGCCTTAAAGAAGCCAACACTTCCCCTATAAATAGAAGACCCCCATCAACGGAAAAAAAGTTCAAACACCAAATCAAAAAGCCTCAACGAGCAAAAACCCCTTTTGTCTGCCATGTCAAAGTTTTAATGCTTTCTAGGAGTATAAATAACTTCTATAACTTTTGAAATCCCAGAACCTGTTCTGGGTGAGTGGGTAATCCCTATTTCCATCCATCTTTATATAAAGTTATAAACAAGAAGAGTTCTTGGAGATACTTGCATTTCTTTTAGTCTTTTCTTGAACACCATAATATCAGTCTATCCAGGTTTCCCCAAATACCCATATTTCTTGAGGAGTCTGAAACCAGTGTGCTACCGAGTTTGGCGACCCATTTGGTCCATTCGCATTTCTCCAAGAGACCCTTGTCTCTTGGCCGAGTTCGAACCCACTGTGATACCGAGCCGAGTGCCATCTTGGACCTGCTCTGCTACCGAGCCCAGCACATCGCCAAGCTACCAAGTTTGGCACTCCATCAGTCACCCCACCATCTCCACAAACAGACTTGTTGCTTAGGACGTGAACCTTAAGGTCGAGAACTGTTCCTCACTCGGCCACAATCATTTGACGTGAAGTTAGATCCATGCGCACTCAACCATTCACCACATCCATGCATCACAAATCACACTCTAGGCCGTCTCGGCCTAGATGCTGGCACGCCTACACATCGCACCACACTAAGCAGGACATTTTGCTATCTGCTCTTGCCAAACCAATAGTTTGGCCAACCTTTGTCGCCTATCTTTACAACCAGGGGGCAATATCATCTCCTATCGTTGGTTCAATTCGGTCATTTTCAAGGGATCATACTCACAAGAAACTAAAATAGTTTATACAACTTGACCATGCATGACACTACTCCCACTTATGTTAAGGAAAATAAATCAAAATTCGACATAAAAAGGCGGTTCTTTAAATAATACCTATTGCATGGTGGTCAGTCTCGATCTCTAACCAATGTTGTTCAAATTGGATATTGAAAAGGGCTTCCTCCAATTTTGCTATTTGCTCTAGCAAGGGTGCAAAATGCTCTGCATAAATCCATTGAAAATCCAGTGATCACTCTTCCGCTTAAAAAATAAGATTAATTTTGAAACCTGCTGGGGCAAATGAAATAACAAGTAATGAACACCATCTTTAGCATGCTAGTCATAGTATGTAAAGTGAGCAGCATGTACATCAAAGTCAATGGTTTCATGGTAAGGAAACTTACTAGTGAAGCAGAACTGGTGAACACCTTGCTTCTAAAACCACAAACTCAAACTTATCTGGAGACATTGGAAACAAAACTCCAAGGTAAATGATAGACTATGGAAATTGATTGCCACCATTACCGCTGTTATATCATTCAACAAACAACAATGTCCCAATTGGAAAACCAGCTCGGATTGTCTTATAACTTTTGCTTAAACCAATAACCAAGGAAAAACATCATTCTAATTTATGTTCTTTCTGTTAGTTATTTAAATTATTTTATTTTGTTTGAAGGTTCACTTGTTTTTGCCACCTAATAAATTATGACCATTAAAATTTTCAGGTTAAACACTATTGGCTTCTTCTTTAATCTAAAGGTCAAAAGAGTGTGTCATATTTTGTGTCCCCCAATCTATTCATATTTATATTATTTTTAAATATATATTATCTTAATCACCGTATCGGTGTAGTACCCGTATTCTATTTTTGGAGATTTATTGTATTGGCGTATCTGTATTCGTATCGGTGCAACATAGGTTCACATGCTAGATTCTCTTTACCTTTGTTTCTCTTTTATTACCTATCGTTAATTGTGTTTATTGTTTTAATTGGGCGTATTTACTGTTTCATATTTACACAAATTTGGGGTATAGTTTAACACGTTCTCCCATTTTCACAAATAGAAATACACAAACTTCATACACAATTCAAAATTCAAGTTTTCAAGGAAACAAAAACCCATACAAATTAGCTCTTCTACTTTTCTTTTACTTTTATGGAATAATAACTACTTTAAAAGAAGAAAACACACTAGGGAATACCTAATTATAAAGTGGTTACATTAAAACTCGTCCAAAACAAGATATACTATTATATACATGGTCAATATTAAAATTTACTAGTGTCTACCAGCATTTCCCTTTTATAATGCTGAAAAAGATCTAAAGTTGAATCCACACCACCGAATGATAAATAAATAAAAGTTGATACTCCATAATTTGTATAATTTGATTAGATTAAATTTTTGTTATAAAGAATTTGTAATTGTGTGAATGGATTATCATCACACTCTTCTACGATTAACAATCACACTAAACTCAGATGGTGATACTGAAGCACTTTTATTTGCAAATTAAATTAGCAAAACAAGAAATAATGAATAATATTGCAAAACTTAACGTATTCACATTTGCCTCCATCCCATCAAAGCTTCTATGTGTGTGCCCTGACACTAGCTTGTTGCATACAGAGGACATTAGTGTTGTTTTCGATTCAATAACCGCACCAATCTTTGACAATCGTGACTGGTTCTGTAGGTTGCGGTTTATCTCACTGTGGTTGAACCACATCGTCGGCCGGTCCAGTTTGGTTGTGGGTTTACTGTGAAGCCTAATTTTTTTGAGTTACTCCCAGTTTTGAAGATTTTGCCTAGTTTTTAAGCCCTTTTTCAGAAGCCTTTTGAGGGCATTTGTTTAAAGCCTTTGTTTATATAAGTTTTAGGCCACTTAACTTTTGTCATTCTAAACTTTTGATCATCATGCATCATCATATCATCAAAAGTAAACTTAATTAAAAAAAGTTACAACCCAAATAGAAAATAAAGTGCAATGAAAACTTAATAAAAGTTACAAGTCAAATAGAAAATAAAGTGAAATAAAAACTTAATAAAAAGTTACAAGCTAAATAGAAAATGAAGTACAATGAAAACTTATTTAAAATTAAATTATAACCCAAATATGAAATGAAGTGCAATGAGAAGTTATTTAAAATTACAACCCAAATATGAAATGTGCAATGAAAACTTTGTTACAAACCATGCTGTCTCTCACAACTCAAAGAGTAGGTAATGATGATGTGGAAGCAAATGGAGGAGGTAGTGATGTTGTAGAAGCTTGAATACGAGCCAAATCTAGTAATAACAAGTAAAAAAACAAACATGAATGTTAAAAAATAAAAAAAATTATTATTATAGAAAAAAAAAGAGGAAACTACAAACATAATTTATTTAAAACAAAATAGTAGATATGTCCAAGTTTTATTTTTTTTTTTTTTTTTTTTTTTTTTTTTTTTTTTTTCATACGTTGGTTCTTTGTAGAAGCCAAAATTCATCTACCCTAAGCCAATCACTAGTACACACTAATGCACTTTACCATTTTAGATTTTATCAATGAATTCTAAAAGGATCCACAATCCTCTTGCCTAGGCTAAAGACATTCTCACTAGCAATGGTTTAGCTTGGGATTGCAAAGATATCCTTGGTAGTTTTTGAAAGGATTGGATATCTACCCTCATTATCTTTCCACCAATTCAAGAATTTGAAGCCTTTGGTAAAAGGGCTTTCAAAAGGATCAGTTAAATATTTATCCACTTCATTGGATATTTCCACAAATTGTTCCTCATTTATTTGTTGCACAAGTTGATGAAACATTTTGGTTTGAACATCATCATAGCCTTCAAGATCATTTACAATATTTTCATCTTCGCCTTCATTCATTGGTTGGCTCATTAAGCCATCCACTCCTCTATTCTCATTATACAAATTGAATAAGCATGTTCTCACTTCACAAACAACCTCAACTATCTTATTTTCTTCGGCCTTGAGATTTTGGAAGCTTATCTTAAGTATTTGAAATTTAAATCTTGGGTCTAGCACTAATGCTACAAAAATCATCTTGTTTACACTTCCAAAACTCTTCCAATACTTGTCAAACTTCTTCTTCATTGATGAAGCCAACCTTTGCAAGACCGGATCTCTAGGATCATTCATTTTGAGTTTAATCTCAACTTGTAAACTAACCAATTCATGGAAAATTATATTGGATATAACTGTTTTGGTTGCACGTAGTTTCAAGGTTATGTCATAGAATTTCTTAGAAAGTGAACAAAGGAGATTGACTTCTCCCAATCTTCATTACTTGGAGGACCCACTCTCTTCATCTCATCATTCTCTATCTCCTCAAAGTAAGCTTGAAAAGCTATATTTTCCGCCGTCATCCTATTGAACACTATCTTGTATTTGAACGCACAATCAAGCATTTTATACGTTGACTTTCACCTTGTCACCACATCCATTGACACATTTGCCTTCCCATCCATCCTCATCTCCAAAGCATGGCCCCTAAAAGAATCCAACTTGCCGGGATGAGGGAACACATTTTACACAATTCCTTATCCCCTCAATTGAGCTAAGAAGCTCCTTCAACCTATCCTTAACAATCAAGTTAAGGATATGACATGCACACCTCAAGTGCAGTCACTTCCCATGAAGTAAAAGGTTATTAAAATCCTTCATCCAATCTCCCACATGCACAACCGCCCCATCATTTGCTGAAGCATTGTCAACCGTAGTGCTAAATAATTTTTTAATCCCTCAAGCATTCAAGCATGCACATAAAGTCTTGCCTATGTCAATACCCTTATGACTGGTGATCTTTGAGAAATTGATAATCCTTTTATGCAAATTCCACTTACTATCCATAAATGGGCTGCAACTACCATATAGTTGATGTTTTAGATCGAAGTCCAAGTATCAGTTGTGATACTTACCCTTTCATTACCTATCACACTCATTATCTTGGTCTTCTCAACTAAGAACAAATCCGTTACTCCAACAACTATCTTTTCTCTATTAGGGATCTTGAACTTAGGGTTTAACTTATATACAAAGTCCTTAAACCCGCTACCCTCAACAAGCCTAAAAGGGATCTCATCCCTTATGACATACTTCATACACTTGGCTTCACACCTTTGTTAATTAAAGGTGTGGGGAACTAATTGAGCTTGACAGCCCATGGTCACATTTGTCAAGACCAATTAAGTCTAATTGAGCTTGCATCTCTTCTTTAGGTGATTTCTTATACCAGTTGTCCCATTTTTCCTAGAATCACCTAGTATCTCTAATTTGTAATAGTTGCAAACTACAAGTACCCTTTCCATCCCTTATCATCTTTCTTGTGGACTTTCCTGCAGTGTTGCCACATCATAGATTTTGGGGGTTTCCTCTTTCTTCCCACATTACATGAACCTACTTGTGATTAGGTTTCGGTTTCTGTTTAGGATTGAGGTTCTATTCGAGCTTGAATGAAAGGTGCACTTCATAAAGCATTAGTGTTGGATTGGCTAGACTACATCCTATCCTAAACACAAAAGGCACCATAATAGACTAAAACATAAGAAACAAAATAGAATCACACACAACCAAACCAACCAGACTATAGACAAAAAAAAAAAAAAAAAAAAAAAAAAAAAAAAAAAAAAACATAAAAACAAATAAGCAGCTAGCACAAAACATAAAAACACACCAACATATTCATAAAAACCTAACCAACCAGTAGCTACAAATTATATACTTTCAAATTCAATTCCAACCAGCAGCTACATGCGTTTAAGTTTTTAGGGTTATTTGTAGTAATGGTCCCTCAACTATACTCGGAGTTACATTTTGGTCACTCAACTCCAAAAATAATTACAGAGGTCACTCAATTAGGTGTTGTGTTGCACCATTAGTCCTTACCGTCAAGTCTGTGACTTTTTCTGTTTAAAATGATGATGTGGCAAGCATCTCACAAATTCTTGATGGGCAAATGTGACTTTTCAGTTAATTAAAACGAATCTCCTTCTTTTGAAGAGAACGACACTTACAGAAATGATAGTCTAAGCAAAAGGGAAAAATCGTAAAGGTAGAGAATCTAGGGTTTTCAAATCGAGAGGTATTTGGCTTCGATTTTTGGGGGATTTTGGAACATTATCTTAGCATTATGCTTTAATGGACTCAGTAGCGAAGGATTTTGAGTTAAAATAGCGATAAAATACAGATCTAGGATTTCAGTTTCGTGAAAATCACATAGAAAAGTGTCAGGTCTACTGTGTGTGGAGGCTTGAAATGGAGACAAATTTTCGGTGGTTGGAGACCCCCCTAAGTATGGTAAGTTACAATAACCTAAATATTCCTTCTTCATTTTATATCGGTTTATATTCTGTTTGCAAATGTGTGGTCCTCTTGTGTTATATTATATTTGGCTTTAAAGTTGGAAAAAATGTAAGTTGGAGTCTTTATTAATGTTTGTGGTCCCATTTTTGTCGATTTGTCATGGAAGTGATTTCACACTTGCACATGCCTACACTTACTTTGTCTTCATTGTTTAATTTTGTTTAATTTCATTGAAGTTTGTTGTAAAGGTTGGTCAACATTATATAATCCATTAAAGTATACCTTTGTGTAATGCGGCAAATAAAGCAGAGCTTTGCACTCCTAAACTCCACCACTTTGGTTTGTTTAAGAATGGTGTGTATAAGGGAGGCAAAGTATGAAATGTTGACAACTATGTTGATGACTATCTGTTATTATTGGATTTAAAGAAAATTAGGATAGATCTTGGATACAAAGTTGATATAACACAAAGGGTTACAAACTTAAAAGTTTACTATAAGGGACCTGCAAAAAGTGGTAAGCATGTTGTGAATGAGGTTGTAAATGATAGTTGTATTCCAGGGTGGGTTGGGAGCATTTCATCAGATCGAGTATTGGTGTTGTATTACCATGATCCTACTTAGAACAACAAGCTAAGGAGTCAAGATGAAGAGGTATGACCAAGTTTGGAAGCTTAGGAGTATCAAGATTATGCTAATGAAGATTTTCCAAGTGATGGTTTGGATTTGGATGGATCATATGGTAGATGTGCACCAAATGTTGAATATGCACAATTTTTTAAGAGGTGAATCAAATTTCTCTTAATGAAGCTACAGGGGAGATATCAGACAATGGTGAAGATAGTGATAGGCTTCCTTCTGATAGTGAAAGCTCTGGTGGTGAGGAAGATGGTGAAAAAAAAGACAAGTAAGAGGAAATGGAAGATGCCAAATTTAAACAGTTTAGGAAAGAAATTGATTTGAGAAATCCAGAGTTTAGATTTTGAATGCAATTTTCCAATAGGGATTAACTCAAGGAAGCTATTAGGGAGTATGCAATTGTGCAAGGGAGGAATGTCAAATTGGTGAAGAATGATAATAAAAGGATTCAAGCAAAGTGCGTAGCTCACACGAGATGCCTATTTATTCTGTTTGCTTCTAAGATAGATAGAGATAAGCATACATTTTCCACAAAGACTCTCTTCTTAGAACACGAGTGTATTAGAGTGGACAAACTTAAATATACTAATTCAAGGTGGCTGTCAAATAGGTTTGCTGACAAGATTAGGGAAAAATCATGAGTGGGATGTAGGGGTATTCCAGTTTGAAGTATTGGAAAGGTACCATACAAATGTTACAAGGCATCAGATTTATAGAGCAAAGAGATTATCCAAAGGGCAGCTCACACAACACAAAAAACGCTTCAAATCAAAGCAGCATCAGCAAGTCTCTATTCACAATTAACAGAAAGCGTAATTAAAAAATCATAATACAAAACATCCTAAAAACTCTAACATAAACCCTAATAAAAACCCCCAATTAAGAGGAACCCCTAATCGAAAGGCCCCCAATTCAACCCTAAACCTTAAAGATAACCCCTAATTGATTTCATCCAACACAAACCCTATTCAACAGAAACCTAAAGAGAGAATGGATAAGGGAGAAAAAGATAGGATAGAAGAAAGAAAAGAGAAAAAAGAAGAGAGAAAGAGAGAAGGATAAAGAGACTTACCAAAAGGTCGCGATTTGCAGAGGAGGAAAAGAGCTCATCGAGAAAGAGGCGAAGAACTCGTAGGAAGAGATGAGGGAAAAGAATGCAAAGGAGGAGAGAGAGTTCGACGGGTTTTTTTTTGTTGTGAAAATGAGATGAGATCGATGATTTCAAAGGATACAAAATTTTGGGTGATTCAGTGTAGCCAGCTTCATTGTAAACTAGTAGAACTCTCCCTTACACCCAATAAACAACTGACACGTGTAATTAAAATATTAATTAATAAATAATATATATTTACCTTGGTTTGTTCGGTAACCGCTGATTTAGGGAAAATGAATACCGCATCCGTGTCGGAGACTCGTAAGCTCGGTTCTGAAAACTAGACCGGCGTTGACTCTTCAGTCAACGCTTTTACCACTTGCAACAATCAGTCTGAAACCGTCAATTTGCAATTATTTCGGTTGAACCACACAACCCTAGAGGACATCGTGGTTCCACTGATCAATAAAATAATAAAAATATCAATATAAGATTTATAATTACATAATTTGATCATCGCATGAACAATCAACTTCAGATATCATATAGATAGAGATTGTATTTTGATTGGATTGACAAAAATAAAATGCTTGTCTTAAAAAAAGAAACAAAAGCCGAAAAAGAATTCAACCGTTGTTTTCACTAATGCCCAAAATATTCAAACATTCCGTGGAGACCCACACAACCCACAAACTTCACCTTGCCTAGTAAAGGTTTCAAATGAGTTATGTCTTTCACCACCTACTCATATCTGCCTTTTTACACAAGGAAGATACTTTAAAAGAAAATTAAAATAGAGATACCTCGTTAGAGTTGGCACAAGGCTTTGGAGCTCAACTATAAAGCTCCCATGATACCCTCCTCTATTCTTTCACGTATTAAGATTAACAGTCTCTCTATCTCTCTTGAAACTCTCTGTTTGTGTGACATTTCTCTCTCTCCATCTCCCAACTGGCTGAAATGGGTAGGTGATCTTTGATTACATGTCTGTACTTGTAGTTCTCACCTCCATCTTCACCACCACCTCCATATTCAACTCCACATTCACCTCCAGCTTCAGCTCCACATTCACCTCCACCTTCACCACCAACTTCACCTCATCCTTGACCTCCAACTTCACCTCCACCTTGACCTCCACCTCCACCTCCACCTCCACCTCCACCTCCAACTTCAACTCCACTTTTAACAAAAATTTGCATTGTTTGACACTATGATTTGGATGTATGCTTCTTGTGAAATTATACAGTTTTGAGCTAAGGTTTACTTTTTCAAGTTGTGAGCTACAATAATGCATTTACAATGAGTGTAAATATAGCACAATTGAGATGCAATTACAATTTATGTAGTGTCATTAAAGGTGTTGTTGCAAGGTTTGGTGGAAGCTAATGTATTCTTAATGATTTAAGAAATGGAAAATGAATAGTTGTTCGCACAATATATTAGAGATGAATATTCTAATCATAATTCAAGGGTTGTGGTTATGGGATCAAAGGTCTACTACTTCAAGTTTAACATTGATTATTGGAGTGATAGGTCTTTCTATGATGGAGAAGCTCTTTTCAGACTAAATAGTCGAGGTAAGAAGTTAGTATCATTGCATGGAGTAACAGTCTAAGGGAGCTCATTTGGATAGAACAAGTATGAGAATAGAAATGGTTCTAAAATTTGTGAATCTTACTTTGATTGTATTATAGTTGAATTTGAAATCATTGTTCCATTATGAGATTTACTAAGTGAGAGGAGTGTGATATTTGTGTAATAATCTTTCTTCGCTGAACTTTGTTTGTTCTTGGATTTTCCTGCCAGCTTCCACACTCTTTTCTTCAATGAATTATTTCACTAGACTTTATCACAATTGTTAGGAATACATATTATTTTAAATTATTAACTTCTACAGATTTTCTCTCGTGCAGATTATGAAAATATAGAAAACCTTAGGGGCCTAATTTGAAAGGCAAAAATGTTTAAAATCAACCTATGACATGCCACAAGTGAACTTAACTGAAATTTAGAGCAACCTGTGCAAAACACAAGAGTGAACATAATGAACTCATGATATGTCTCTCATTTTAGTGGAAGTGCGATTTCGAGGTTGCTATTGAGAAACAACGGAAGAAAAATACATGTACATAGAGAGATCGGGAAAGAGTTGCGGGTATCACAATAAATGAACATTGGATATTAATCATACCAACAATAGGCTTTTGTGAAAGTGGGAGTATGCATGCGGAATACTATGTTATACTACTTCTCAATGTATAAGTTAATACATAAACCACAACTCACATTCCACCAACAGATTTAGAGACTTGCTTCATAGCATTAGAAACCTCATCAACTTTTGTTTTCCCACTTACACAGGTGACCAGGGGGATTTTGGTACTTAGTAAGATAGGACGACACGTATTTACGGTTATACCAATCATGTACGTAATCTAACTGTTCTTTCGCTATGGATGTTTGTGTTTTGCAAGCAGAAGTGCATGGATGGCATGAATGATACTAACGTCATCCTCCGTGATAAGCATATATTGATGGGTTGGTTTAGACTTTGTTATGATAAATTTGAAAAACACTTTATGAATAGAGTGAAGGTTCTAGGCTAAATAGTGATCCAAAGTTCAATATGTATGAAGGCAAGAGCTGTCTAGGTGGTTTTTGGATCAACTGCATTAGTGGAATGCTATATGCTATTTCCAGTATGCATGTTTAAAAACTCTAGTACAAAGAGTTGTCTTTTATGTCCTCCTACGTCTTTGGTGATGGAAAAGTAAAGTTGACTATGTTGACCATAGTTTGGATTCAATTTAAGCACAATTTTTTTTTTTTTTTTTAGGTAATTATTGTAGAAAACCATATGCTTGCACTAAATGATTTATGAGAAAAATGTTTTAGAGTTTTTTTTTCTTGTTTTGATGATCCCTTAAATCTGAGTTATTTTGACTATGTTGAGAAACTAAGTGGTCATCCATTCTTGAAGTCTCCCAGAGATACAATGGATTATTTCAGGAGTCTCAATCTGAAGGCTTACTATGCTTTTATTCATGCCATGAACATACATACTAATTTTTAAAGGTTCAGGAATTGGGAAACACGATTGAAGAAGGGGAAGGCAACTCCTCAATTTTTGTTGAATGTGTATAATTAGAGGGATGTTGGATTCAAAACATACACTAACAAGCCCGCAGAACTTTTCAGTTTCTTGAGGAACATGAACGAATACTTCAAGCAATCTTGGAGGAGGTTGACGGTTGATTATGTGGATGAGATTGTCATAGGGGAATGGCTTGGGTTTCTGAAGACTATTCACTTACATTTCCATGGATGAGTCATTTAAGAATGGATTTTTGGAGACTGTTCACTTGCATTTTGTAACTAGGATAAGATGAGGCATTTCAAAATGGGTTTTTGGAGACTATTCACTTACATTTCCGTTAGTAGGATACGATGAATTGTTTTAGAATCATTAGAACAGTGGTTTTAATGTTTATATTTTGTTCCCCTTAAAAAAAAAGTGTTGTTGCAACGGTGTTTCATGTTTGTAGACAGTCGTTTGGTTTATAAGATAATCTACAATTTTTGTAGTTAAAATTTAGCTTACAACACCACAATCATGCTCCCTATGCTTTAATTCACTATGTGGATAAGGTTGTCAAAGGGTTGGTTTGGATTTTGTTATGATAAATTTGAAAGAACAGTTCATGAATAGTGTGAAGATTCTAGTCTAAATAGTGATTCAAAGTTCAATGGGTATGAAGATAAGAGATGTCTAGGTGGTTTTTGGATCGACTTCATTAGTAGAATGTTGGGGTGACATTTCTTGTACGCATGGTGAAAAACTCTATCACAAAGAGCTACTTTTTATGTCCTACATCTTTGTTGATTAAAAACTAAAGTTGAATACTATTTAATGTAGTTTGGATTCAATTGTTGCGGCTCAATAGGATTTCAAAAAGAAGTAACACTTCTAGATTTTAGGGACTTGTTTCAAAAACATATGCTTGCACCAAATGATTTTATGGAAATTTTTTTTTTTTTTTTTTTTTTTTTAATAAATTATATGAGTTATGTATGTATGAAACTAAGTGTGTCATCCATTCTTGAAGTCTCCAAAAGGTGTAATGGATTATTTCACTAGTCTCAATTTGAAGGCTGACGATGCTTTTATACATACCATGAACAAACATACTGATTTTCAAAGGTTCAGGAATTTGGTGGCATGGTTGAAGAAGGTCAAGGCAACTGCTCAATTTTTGTTGAGTGTGTATACTAATAGGGATGCTAACTTACACTAACAAGCCCGCTGAACTCTTTAGGTTCTTGAGAAACGTGAACGAACACTTCAAGAATCTTGTGGGGGGTTGACAGCTGATTATATGGATGAGATTGTCAAAAGGGAATGACATGAGTTTTTGGATACTGTTCACTTGTATTTTAGTGGATAAGTCATTTAAGAATAAGTCATTTAAGAATGGGTTTTTGGAGACTATTCACTTGCATTTCCATAAGTTGGATAAGATGAGTCGTTTAAGAGTGGATTTTTAAAGATTATTCACTTACATTTCCATAAGTAAGATTGGATGAGTCGTTTAAGAATCTTTAGAACAGTGGTTTTAATACTTATATTATGTTCCCCCTAAAAAAAGGTGTTGTTGCAATGGTGTTTCATATTTGTTGACAGTTGCTTGGCTTGTAAAAGCATCTACGATTTTTTTAATTAAAATTTAGCTAACAACACTACAATCATACTCCCTATGCTTTAATTATTTATGTGGATGAGATTGTCAGAGGGTTAGTTTAGACTTTGTTGTGATAAATTTAAAAGAGTGGTTTATGAATGGAGTGAAAATTCTAATCTAAATAGTGATCCGAAGTTCAATGTGTATGAAGGCAAAAGATGTATAGGTTGTTTTCAGATCGACTTCATTAGCGGAATGTTGGGTGCTATTTGTTGTATGCATGATCAAAAACTCTATCATAAATAGTTGTCTTTCATGTCGTCGTACATCTTTGTTGATGGAAAACTAAAGTTGACTACTATTGAATATAGTTTGGATTCATTTGTTGAGGCTTAATGGGATTTCAAAAAGAAGCAACACTTCCAGATTTTAGGGACTTATTGTAGAAACATCTGCTTGCCCCAAATGATTTATGGGAAGAATGTTTGAATTTTTTTTTTCTTGTTTTGATGATTTCAGTAAAATCTGAGTTATTCTAAATATGTTGAGAAACTAAGTGGTCATCCATTCTTGAAGTCTCCAAGAGATAGAATGGATTATTTCACTAGTCTCATTTTGAGGGCTGACAGTGCTTTTATACATACCATGAACAAACATAATGATTTTCAAGGTTCATGAATTGGGACGCAGGGTTGAAGAAAGGGAAGACAACTGCTCAATTTTTGTTCAATATGTATACTTACAAGGATGCTAACTTACATTAACAAGCCAGCTGAACTCTTTAGGTTCTTGATGAATGTGAACGAACACTTCAAGCAATCTTGCGGGGTGTTGATAGCTGATTATGTGGATGAGATTGTCATAAGGGAATGAATGGGTTTTTAGATATTGTTCACTTGGATTTTAGTGGATGAGTCTTTAAGAAAGGGTTTTTGGAGACTGTTCACTTGCATTTCCGTAAGTAGGATATGATGAGTCGTTTAAGAATCTTTATATAGTGGTTTTAATATTTATATTATGTTCCCCATAAGAAAGAGGTGGTGTTGCAATGGTGTTTCATATTTGTTGACGGTCGTTTGAATTATAAGAGCATCTACGATTTTTTTAGTTAAAATGTAGCTAACAACATTACAATCATGCTCCTTATGCTTTAATTTTTTATGTGGATGAGATTGTCAAAGGGTTGGTTTAGACTTTGTTATGATAAATTTGAAAGAATAGTTTATGAAGAGTGAAGATTCTAGTCTAAATAGTGAACTGAAGTTCAATGTGTATGAAAGCAAGAGATGTCTAGGTGGTTTTTGTATCGACTTTATAGCGGAATGTTGGGTGCTATTTCTTGTATGCATTATCAAAAACTCTATCGCAAAGAGTTGTCTTTTATGTCCTCCTACCTCTTTGTTGATGGAAAACTAAAGTTGACTACTATTGAACATATTTTGGATTCAATTGTTGAGGCTCAATAATACTTCAAAAAGAAAAAACACTTCCATATTTTTGGGACTTGTTGCAGAAACAGTTGCTTGCACCAAATGATTTATGGAAAGAACGTTTGGAGTTTTTTTTCTTTTTTTTCTTTTCTTGTTTTGATGATTCCTTAAATCTGAGTTATTCTTGATTATGTTGAGAAACTAGGTGGTCATCCATTCTTGAAGTCTCCAAGATATAGAATGGATTATTTGACTAGTCTCAATTTGAAGGTTGACGGTGCTTTTATACATACCATGAACAAAAATACTGGTTTTCAAAGGTTTAGGAATTTGGTCACATGGTTGAAGAAGGTGAAGACAACTGCTCAATTTTTGTTGAACGTTTATACTTATAGGGATTCTAACTTACACTAATAAGCCCGTTGAACTCTTTAGGTTCTTGAGAAACATGAATGAACACTTCGAAAAATCTTGTGGGGGGTTGACAACTGATTATATGGATGAGATTGTCAGAAGCGAATGACATGGGTTTTTGGATAATGTTCACTTGCATTTTAGTGGATAAGTCATTTATGAATAAGTCATTTAAGAATGGATTTTTAGAGACTATTCACTTGTATTTCAGTAAATAGGATAGGATGAGTCGTTTAAGAATGAGTTTTTATAGACTGTTCACTTACATTTCCATAAGTAGGATAGGATGAGTCGTTTAAGAATCTTTAGAACAGTGGTTTTAATATTTATATTATGTTCCTCCTTAAAAAAAGGTGTTGTTGCAATGGTGTTTCATATTTGTTGACGGTCGTTTGGCTTGTAAAAATTCTACAATTTTGTTAGTTAAAATTTAGCTAACAACACTATAATCATGCTCCCTATACTTTAATTCTTTATGTGGATGAGATTGTCAAAGGGTTGGTTTGGACTTTGTTATGATAAATTTGAAAAAACAGTTTATCAATGGAGTGAAGATTCTAGTCTAAGTAGTGATCCGAAATTCAATGTGTATGAAAACAAGAGATGTCTAAGTGGTTTTTGGATCGACTTCATTAGCGGAATGTTGGATACTATTTCTTGTATGCATGATCAAAAATTCTATCACAAAGAGTTGTCTTTTATGTCATCTTATGTCTTTGTTGAAGGAAAACTAAAATTGAAACATAGTTTGATTCAATTGTTGAGGCTCAATGGGATTTCAAAAAGAAGCAATACTTCCAAATTATATGCACTTGTTGCAAAAACAGCTGCTTGCACCAAATGATTTATGGAAAGAACGTTTGGAGTTTTTCTTGTTTTGATGATCTCTTAAATCTGAGTTATTCTGAGTATGTTGAGAAACCAAGTGGTCATCCATTCTTGAAGTCTCCAAGAGATAAAATGGATTATTTCACTAGTCTAGAATAGATTATTTCACTAGTCTCAATTTAAAGGCTGAACAATGCTTTTTTATACATACCATGAACACGCATACTGATTTTCATAATTTGAGGAATTGGGACACACGGTTGAAGAATGGGAAGGCAACTACTCAAATTTTGTTGAATGTGTATACTTAGGGATGCTGGATTCAAAACTTATACTAACAAGCCCACTAAACTCTTTAGGTTCCTCAGTAATGTGAACGAACACTTTGAGCAATCTTGTGGGGGGTTGATGGCTGATTATGTGGATGAGATTCTTAGAGATGAATTACATGGGTTTTTGGAGATTGTTCAGTTGCATTTTAGTGGATGAGTCATTTAAGAATGTATTTTTTGAGACTGTTCACTTGTATTTTTGTTAGGATGAGTCATTTTAGAATCTTTAGAAGAGTGGTTTTAATATTTATATTATGTTCCCCCTAAAAAAAGGTGTTGTTGCAATGGTGTTTCAAATTTGTTGACGATCATTTGGCTTGTAAGAACATCTATGAATTTTTAGTTAAAATTTAGCTTAAAATACTACAATCATACTCCCTATTCTTTAATTCAATTTTTTTTAGTATAATTGATAGTCTAAACTAGAGGGAGGACGTTTCTCTCACACACATACACACAATCAAAATGTCATGGGGGTTTGGACATGAGACCTCTACTATGCAAGTCAAGGTCCCTTTTCGTCGGGCCAGACTTCGTTTGCTGCTTTAATCATCTTTAAATGCGCATGAATTCTCCCACTCTATATGAAATAATGGCAAAAAATAGTCAATATTAAATAAAAGTTTAAAACATCATTTTATTTTTTTAAGTATATACGATAGTTTAAACTAAAGGGAGAGAGATTTCTCACACACAACTAAGATGTTATGGGGTTTGTAACTTGAGACCTCTTGTTTACAAATTAAGACCCTTTTTCACTGGGCTTGACCTCGTTAACAGTGTTGGAAATATCATTAAAGTAAAGCATAGTTTAATTATAGAAAGACACTAAAAGTTTTATGTCTATCCTCATATTTAAGAGCACTTAGAGATTTCCTCTTTTTTAAGGAGAATTTGGAGTTGTGTTTTATTAATTCCTCCCAAAATATAGATGCTCTAATATGTTTAGTATGTTTCTCGATATAATGACTGGCTCTTGAAACAAGAGGAGGAACTTATCCTGAAATGAACATGTAGCCAATTGAAAATAGACACACAATAAAAAATAAAAAATAAATAATAACTGGAAAAGTAACACCAAGAGGCAAGAGCTGACCACCCCAGTCCAAGATTTTTAAACTTTTTAATTGTTTGGACATATGTTCATTCGCAGCCGCATGTTCATTTCAAGAAGAGTTCTTCTGGTTTTTTTCGCGAGCCAAGTACATTTTTTTTTTTTTTTTTTTTTTTTTTTTTTTTAAATATTGTTTTAGCAGTAGCAGTGCTTTGTAAATTTAGAATTTAGAATTCTTTATTTATAATAAAAATTGAAAATTGTCCACAATAATGTAATGAGATGCCGAACATTTCCGTAAACTCTTTTATGGAGACATGCATGACCCCTTAGGGAAAACGTGGAGTGGGTGGCTCCCATCATGGAACAGTGAAGCCGAACACTGTTTGAGTCTGCTCTGTCTGTTCCCAATCATGGAAAATAAAATATGCTGCAAGGCCACGCAGGCCACGTTCAAGATTAGTTGAGGAGATGACCACACCCAGCTCTTTGGGTCCCCTTCTCTCTTTATCACAATCCCAAATGATGAGATTTTCAGTCAACCCTCTTGGCCTTGAATATGCTTTCCCACAATGACCACAAGAAAACCAATATAACTTTCATCTCATCCATCGGTGCCCACCAACAACAGTAACAACAACCCAACAATTTATAAAGTCAAGAGGTGTTTCTGGCTTTGCCATTTTCAGGCCTCACTCACAATCGCATGGCTTCTTCTTCTGGGTTTATTGCCACCCTTTTTCTTGTTCTTGCTCTACACAGTTCTTGGGTCCTTCTCTCTTTTGCTTCACAAAATGTGAGTCTTACTAATTTAAATTTTGTGGTTGTTCTTGGATGTTACAGGTTGATCAATTTGCTTTTATGGGTTTTTTCTTTTTCAATTTATAGTTGTTTTGTGGGTCTTGGCAGGTTTACATTGTGTATATGGGAGAAAGACAGCATGAAGAGCCTGAACTGGTTTCTGAGTCTCACCATGAGATTCTGTCAAATGTGTTTGGAAGGTTTCGCTCTAAGCTCCTCTTTGTTAGCTTTGATTATATATAAGAAAATCTTTTGATTAATATGTCATTTAATTTAAGTAAATCCAATAAAAGAAGATAAATTACTGTTGTAGTTTTACTGAGAGGAGATTCTTTTGCTATAGAGTTATCGAATTTATTGTATTCAACTGCTTCCCTAGACCTGTTTTGATGCATTTTGTGCGTAAACTTTCCAATTGTTGATTCTCAAGTAAAATAAATAAATAAATAACATGCTGCAACTGCTGCTTTAGTGACTATCATAGAACAAAATATCGATAATTTCGGCGAAATTATCGTTTTTTTGGGGCAGCGATATTTTAGCACACTTCCATATATATATATATATCGTCAATTTATCGATAATTTCACCGATATTTCAGTAATGATATTTTCGTTCAAGTTGCAGCTTTAAATGGCCAATATATCGCGATATTATCGATAATATCGCGATATGAACTTACAAAATTAAACTCAGCCTTCAGATGAATCCCTCATCCTCCGAAACTCAGCATTTCTCTGTCTCTCAACTCAATCTTAACTCAACAAAAAAAAAAAAAAAAAAAAAAAAAAAGAGAAAGAGAGAGAGAGAAGGGAAGAAGAGGAAAAAAAAATTATGGAGTGGGTTTTATGTTTTGTTGTTTTGGATTGTGATGAAGTGAGAGAGAAAAGGGAAGAGGAAGCAGGGAAAGAGACGGAGAGATAAAAGAAGAAAGAAAAAAAAAGATAGAGGAGAGCGAGAGAGAGAGAGAGAGAGAGAGAGAGAGAGAAGGGAAAAAGAGGAAAAAAAAGGTATGGAGGATTGTGATGGAGGAGAGAGAAGAGGGAAGAGGAAGAAGAGAAAGAGAGACGGAGAGATAGAAGAAGAGAGAGAGAGGAATAAATAAATAAAATAAAAAGGGAGAGATGGGTGAATGCCCAAAAGAGAGAGAGAAGGTTGCGTGTATTTATTTGCAACCTTGGGAAGTCAGACAAAAAAACGGATAAAAAAAGCCTTGGGAAGTGGAAGAGGGAGGTAGGGAAACGTGAAAACATTTGGGAAGTGTGAAATGTGACTTAAATACTTAATATAATTTATTTCTTTTTTATTTAATCTATTTAATGTTATTAATTATTTTATTATTCATTATAAGTACTAACATTACTAAATTCTCCTTCAAATTATTGCTTAATTACTTAAATCTCTATAATCATTTTCATTATTTGCTATTTAATTCTTCCTTGGATAAATTTATTTATGTTCTTAGTTAATTTTCAATCTTCACTATTATTTTTTAAGCATGGTAAAGTGCCTAATTTTCATGAAAAATCAAATTGGTTTACATATTTAATTATTTTTCAATTTTTGATAAATAATAAATATAAGAACGTGTACCATGTCTAATGAATAACGTGAAATAAATTGTTGCTTAATTACTTAAATTTCTATAATCATTTTCTTTATTTCCTATTTAATTCTTCATTGGATAAATTTATTTATGTTCTTAGTTAATTTTCAATCTTCACTATTATTTTTTAAGCATGGTAAAGTGCCTAATTTTCATGACAAATCAAGTTGGTTTACATCTTTAATTATTTTTCAATTTTTGATAAATTAATAGATATAACAACGTGTATCATGTCCAGTGAATAACGTGAAATAGGGTTACTCATGTATCTTATCATGCAATTTATAAAATGTAAAATATTGTACTAAAAAATGATAAATAAATTACTAAGGGGTGTTTAATTCTCTTTCATTAATTACTTCAAAATTTCTAAGTCACAGAGTTTGTCATGTCGCAATATAATCAACTTAAATCACACAAACCCACTATGCAATGCATTTCCTTCCAATTTTTTGTGTCAAAATAATAGATGATTGACTAAATAAACTTCTTCTAAAGTTTCATTAAAAATTTCCATGTATTTATCATAATTTCCATGGATTTTATCCAATTTTTATCGATATCGATATTTTTCCGATATTTCCATCGATATTTCCGTGTTTTTGAACCACCGATATTTCCGAAACTATCAATATTTAAGACCTTGGTTACTATAACCAAAAGCATGTTTGGCGTGAGAAATGTGACTGAAAGTGGGATGGAAGATTTGTCATGGAAGTGGCGGTTCGTGACCGCTTTGACAGGAAAAGCAGAAAACTCCCTTCAATGAAAATGCATATTGTATTTTCATGTATGCTGTTGTATACCATTAGCGTGCTGATTTTGTATGCTTGGGCATGGCTTTCTTTTTTGCCTGCAATGCACGAATAGGGGTGCTCTTTGTTATGCGTTTAATATTGTTAGGCATGGACATGAAAAAATTCACAGCAAAGAAGCCGCGAAGCAATCAATTCTGTACAGCTACAAGCATGGATTTTCAGGGTTCGCTGCTGTCCTAACTCAGTCTCAAGCTAAGCTTATTGCAGGTGTTACAATGTTGGTGAACTGTAAACTATTTTTTCTTTTTTCTTTTTGAGTCAAACTTGTTCTTTGCTAACAAGTAACTGTAGTTAATGTTTCCCTTTACTGTATACTTGCAGATATCCCTGGCATTGTTCATGTCATCCCAAACAGAGTTCATAATTTGCATACAACTAGAAGTTGGAATTTTCTGCAAGTAAACTCTCATATTAGCAATGGAATTCTTTCAAGAAGTCAATCGGGCTCTGGGTCTATTATTGGAATCATTGACACTGGTCAGGGTTGCGAAATTCTTACACGCTTGCAAAGTGTTTTAGATCAGGTTACACCTTTACTTATAGTTCGTTTTGATACTCAGGAATTTGGCCCGAGTCTGTAAGCTTCAGAGATGACGGTATGGGAGACGTCCCATCTCGTTGGAGAGGAATATGTCAAGAAGGAGAAAAGTTCAATCGCTCCCACTGTAACAGGTTAACTTATGTCATCTTCATATTTGTACATATATATAATATTTGATACTGATAATCTCAAATACGACCTCTGTGCATGATATACAACCATGTTTAGATAACTAACCTCAACAGGAGGAGATTTTGACTAACTTTCTGGAGTCCATTAAGGGAAGAAGTTTATTGAATCAAGATTCATCCTTGATTTACAGAGTGACTTCCTTCACTGAACAAATCAGAGAATGAAGTGGTTTAACATGTACTGTATTTGCTATGGTTCTTGCAGGAAAATAATTGGTGCACGGTGGTATATTAAAGGATATGAAGCTGAATTCGGAAATCTAAGTACAAGTGATGGATTTGAATTTCGGTCTCCCCGAGATGCTGTAGGACATGGTACTCATACAGCATCTACTGCAGCTGGTGCTTCAATAGAAAATGCAAGCTTTATGGGATTAGCTGCAGGATTGGCTAGGGGAGGTGCTCCATCAGCTAGGTTAGCTGTCTACAAAGTTTGTTGGGCTACTGGCGGCTGCAGCTCAGCAGACCTACTAGCTGCATTTGATGATGCGATCTTTGATGGTGTAGATGTGCTGTCGGCATCTCTTGGTTCTCCACCTCCACTTCCTTCTTATGTTGAGGATGTTGTGTCCATTGGTTCTTTCCATGCTGTAGCTAAAGGAATCTCTGTTATATGCTCTGCTGGAAATTCTGGTTCATACCCTCAAACTGTCATAAATTCTGCTCCCTGGATTTTCACTGTTGCAGCAAGCACTATTGATCGGGCTTTTCCTACTGCGATTACCCTGGGAAACAATCAAACTGTTGTGGTACATCATCAGTTCCTTCTTTCAGCAATGAAATTTGTGCCTGCTTCCTATTTGACATGATTGACACTATGGTAAAACAAGCAATGTTATTCTCTTGATTGACAGTCTGGTGTGATATGTTGCCAGCTATTTTATCAAGGCCATTGGTCAGGTAGAATAATTTATAAATGTGTGGTTCCGAGTGACGGCCACTGGAAACATAACATATCACATTGTCCCACAAGAGAACATTATTGCATTAGGCTATTGTGAAAGTTCCTTTTCCCATGCTGAGAGAAATGTGTGCCTGAGTAAAGGATACTTTCACATAATGTCAAATATTGAAGTTAAGATTTGAGACTTTTTACTATGTATTTAGCTGTTTTAAGTTTTAACAATCGAGACCAGCAATACAATACAGGTCTTTATTTGATTTAGTTTCAGAATCTGGGAGGCTGGGAGTTGTTAGGAAATGTCTGGTATAGTTTATCCTGGTTCTGTTTTCAAAATAATTTGGGTGTGTGCTACCAAATAGAAGTGTTTTTTTTTTCTCTTTAATCACTTCTTAAAAGTTTTCAACATGATGAATCTGGGATGTGATTCAAATGAATAATGCAATGAAATAACTTTTTATTTTGTTTGAAGTTGAAATCTTAACCATAAAAATTATGTCCTTTATGCTTCAACTTGTTTCTGAGTTTCCATTTAAATGTTTAAATTGGTGTTGGTAATATCAATTCATATGCAGGGTCAGGCTTTGTATACAGGGATGAATACGAACAAGTTCTATCCTCTTGTGTATGGAGGAGACATTGCCTCTATTGATGCAGATGAAGACAGTGCCGGGTATAAAACCTTTTTGTCTACCTTTGAGCTTAAATTCTACATGAACCTCCTAGCTAATACTAGAGAACACGCATTATAATGGTATGCACTTTTAACAGGAACTGTGACTCAGGAACTCTAAATGATACTTTAGCAAGGGGAAAGATGATTCTTTGTTTCCAATCTCGAACACAGAGGTTAGCTATTACTGCAATCAGAACAGTGATGAATGTTAAGGGTGCTGGTCTCATTTTTGCTCAGTTTCCTAGCAAGGATGTTTCTTTGTCCTCGGGTAGTCCACCATGTGTCCAAGTTGACTTTGCAATTGGCACATATCTGCTAACATACATAGGAGCAACCAGGTATTTTCTAGTATGAGTAACTTTTCTTCATGCAGAATCTGTACAACTTGGAAATAAAAATAAAGAGAGCATCGGGGTTTTCTTGACTTTAGTTCTTGTCTGGTGTAATATATATTTCTTCATGTTTTTTACATTACTTTGCAAATTTCCATGTCCATAAGCACCATGCATGTTGTAAGCTTTATTCATATTTCTTACAAAGGCTTAACAATCATCGTTTGTGTTAATAATAATAAGCTGTGAGACTTTATTTTGAGGAGGACTAAGAAAAATTCCCTAACCGTGCCACAGAAATCCCGTAGTCAAGTTCAATCCAACGAAAACACAAGTGGGACAACAGATATCTCCAGAAGTGGCATTCTTCTCTTCCCGAGGACCCAATTCTCTCTCTCCTTCCATATTGAAGGTATTAAAACTGTGATATAATTTTCGTTGATTTTTTTAAAAACTTTTAGGACTAACATATTCGAATGTGTTGTGCAGCCTGATATTACTGCTCCTGGTGTTAATATTTTAGCCTCCTGGTCCCCTGCTCGTTCCCCATCCAAATCTCCAGATACCTTCAAAATTGAATCAGGAACTTCCATGTCTTGTCCCCACATATCTGGTATTGTTGCTCTGCTTAAAGCTATCCATCCAACATGGAGTCCGGCTGCAATAAAATCTGCCCTGGTTACAACAGGTGAGAAAGTAAATTTCATGGAATTTGCTGCATTCAAGAAACTTCGTAACTTCATAGACAAATGATTTTCCTTCTCTTTACAGCTTCTCTAAAGGATGAATATGCTCAAAGTATTGTGGCTGAGGGAGCTCCTCACAAGCAGGCTGATCCATTTGACTATGGTGGCGGTCATGTAGATCCTAACAAAGCCATATCCCCAGGTCTCATATATGATATAGAATCCTCGGATTACATCCGTTTTCTTTGCTCCATGGGCTATAACAACACAGCCATCAGCTTAATGGCTGGGACTAAAATCACATGCCAAAAATCGACCAAATTCATTGTAAATCTTAACCTGCCTTCCATCACCATTCATGAGCTGAAGCAGAATATGACAGTATCAAGAAGGGTTACAAATGTCGGTCCGGTTAATTCTGTCTACGTTGCTCGTGTTCAAGCACCAGCCGGTGTGTCTGTGAAAGTTAAGCCATCAGTTTTGTCATTCAATTCTACCGTAAAGAAGCTGGAGTTCAAAGTTATCTTTTGTTCCCTACTAAGAGTTCAAGGAAGATTCTCTTTCGGAAATCTGCTCTGGGAAGATGGTTTGCATGTAGTGAGAATACCACTGGTAGTTCGAACCGTCCTTGATGACCTTTATGCAGACGCATGATGAATTGCCATTTTAATTTAAATACCTGATCTAGACCATTCATAATTGTAATTTTAAATGTATCCCTATGAATCAATGGTTTATGGTTATAACTTATGTATCGCTTGTTGCTACATTCCTCTAAATCCGTTACCCCACCCTCGCTCAACACTTGTGCTAAAATCTTTTCGCGAACGAGAATCGAACTCTGACCGTGGTATATAGGGGACAAAATGTTAGAGGAAGATCAGAGAGAACAAAAATAAGGATATGAAGTATGATGAACAAAGAAATCATAGTACTGCTTCTTTATTAGAAAAGATGGAGTAAATGGACAATAACCATAGGAAAATCAGAAGTCCAATAAAAGAGAAAGAAGGGAAAGGAGTGCTGAAGCAAGAAATGCTCTGTTGTGTTTTGTCCACCTTTTGTCTTTCTCTGATAAATATTTTTCTCTTTCTCTTGTCTTTTTTATTTATTTATTTATGCCGACATGACATTGGTGATAGCGAGAGAGACACAATGTGGAAATGAGAGGAATAAAAAGTCAAGGCATAATAGTCTATTCATTCCAAAAATAAATACAAAAAAATTCGAAGATCTTTATAGACTAGCTGATCATGAAGCCCTATTTTTCGTGTAAAAAAAATAATTTGGAACTCTATTTTTCTATAATAAAATATGCTATTGTTGTACACCGTATAGCAGGAAAATACCATATTAGCATTTTCCTGGTCTTTTATAGTATTTTTAGATCATGGAGAAAGAATTATTGATAAAATTGGGGGGAAAAAAAAATTGTCTGAATGGATCCCAAGCTTTTACATTTAGCAACTGTGCATTTATCCGCATTTCGCAAGATATGAACCATTTTAATAATTTAATGACTCTTGATATGTGATGCAGACCGCTTAGCACTTACCAACATGGACCGTTGGGCTCGCATTCATGCATGAGGATGACCTATTCTAAATACGTGCCTTTTCACATATGGGAGTTATTTCAGTTCATGAATAAAGTTATGGAAAGTCTTTTCATCTTTGTGAATTATAGGGAGATTTAATGTGAAGTTATCATTAAGAGGGAAGTTGGGATAGGAAAGGTTTAGGATAATTGTCTAATCTTATCTTATCTCATTTTAGGGGAGTTATGAGGAGTTATCTCATCTTGATTGAGAGGCTCCTATAAATAAATCATGAAATTTTAAGGGGGCAGTTTATGAATCAAATTTTGAGAAGAACTTTCTCTTTTCTATCAACTTGGGTATTCCATGGGAATCAAAAAGGCAAAGAGCCCTTTGTTCTTAGCTATTCTCATTCAAGAGAATCAACAAGGATTAAAGGTTATTTGTTTTATTTCTTTGTCCACTATGCACATTGTCAATATGACACGTCAATTTTTTACTTTTGACATGTATCTATTTAATTAACTACAACTTAATACTATTAAGTTTAAAAGAATTATTAAAACAAAATAAAACAAAACAATAAAGAAAAATTAAAAACCTAGCAACACCCCGCAACTGCCATCCCACCCTTGATTCCCCTTCACCGTCCACAAATCTCTCCCTCTCTTCCATGAATGTGCATCATAGTAGCTATGGTTTTTTCTTATTGTGGCTTTATCTTTGCATCATAGTTAAATACCTGATCTCGACTGCCATCATATCAAAAATTGAGAGAGAGAGAGGGGGGGAGAGGAGGTTGGGGTTTAGGGTTGGCGTGAGTGGGTGGGGTGGGGTGTGTCATGAGTGGCTGATAGGTTTATGATTTTTTCTTTAATGTTTTTGTTTTCTTTATTTTAATTTATTTAGACTTAATGGTGTTAAGATGGAGTTAATTATATGGATGAGTATCAAAATTTAAAAATTGACATGTCATATCTTGAGTCATAAGATTATTAGAATGGTTTAAATCTTGCGAAATGTGGGAAATGCAGTAACTAAATATAGAGGCTCAGGATCCTTGTATGAAGTACGAGATTTAGCCTTAAGTTTCTTTTATTATTGTTAATAGACAAGACACACAAAACTCAATTGGTTAAGAGTAGTTACCTGCAACTGTGGCCACTTATGTGTTTATCACGCAAAGCAAAAAATACATTTTGAGTACAAGCAATTGAGCAATACCCCACAGACCGAAGTAGAGAATGCATTAACATCCCAAAATATTGGGTTATTATGTAATCAATAGATAGCTGGTTGGGGTTTATTTATGTAGGCAATCGTCTCGTGGATTAGATTTAGAGTAAATAATGTCGTTGTGTGGTAAAAAATCTCAAAGGAAGTGTATGGCACAATGGGTCTTCTTCTTCGCCATCTTACACCTCGAACGTCATTATCGCTGCCTTAATGCACCTTGGAACGCCTCCCCACCGTGTTGCGTTGGCCAAAGGGTGTAACTTGCTAAACAACAACTAGCACCTTGAGGTGATTCTTGGACGCCTCTCTTATTCTTGTTAGGTCATGTAATAGCATATTTAACTTAATTCAACATCTTACTCATATATAGTATGCGTTAGTATTATCGTCTCCAATTCAATGTAATCTAATGCAATACAATTCTATCCGATCGAATTTCAGTCACCAAACATAACCATAGTGCTATTTACAAGTCTTCCCTACAACACAAGAATCCAAAAGGGCCAGCTAGAAGCCAAGGAGGCCATGGTGCAACATGCTTTTTAACACGTGTTTGACAACTTGGAGCACTAAGCTTTGAAATTTCCAAATTGAAAACCAAATCTCAAAGCCACCTCAAAACGCATGCCACTTTTGCTTTTGAGAATCCCTGTTTTCCACTCTAAGCAATCGAAAACTATTCAAAATATCACCCTAAACGCGTGGGTCATATTACTTATTACTAATTATCAATCAATTATCATTAGGCCTCCCTCAAATTAGAAAATATTAGGCGCGGGAAGTACGTTGCAGATTAACCAGGAAACGTGGCGCGATTAACGCGTACAAGCAAAGCAAGCCATCGCAATCCCAATCTCGTAATAAACTGTAAGTCCTGGGGCGAATGTTGAGGGTAAAAATGCCACCCACACACAAACACCAACCATTGGCGGTTTCCTGGGTGGTTCGTTTTGTTTTGAACCATCCGAGCGCCAAAAATCCCCACAACCCATTTGTCACCAATCAACGCAACACCCACCGCACGTTCAAACATTCAAATATCTTGCTTCTTGATCGGTATTGTTTGCAAATAAATAATTGCACATGAGAATTTGTATCCAATGTCAACAATAACATTCAAAATATAGATTATTTGAACAGCTAATTTTGATTCTTATTATTCGAGAAAAAGTTCGCTCAACAGTAAAATTGTGAACATATAACTTCTAAGCTAAGAGTTCCGAGTTCGAACACTAATAAAAAACTCTTGTGATTTACGATTGATTACACAAATATCTATCCAATCATTATCTTAAGCACTGGTTTTCGATGAGAAAGTGGACCATGAAACTCATTCTTCCTATCAAAAGTCAATTCCACACCCATAATACATATTACTATTGTAAACAAAATAATTGGCAAAAATATTTGTATCATGTCATTATTAACGGAGTTCGTGGAAATTAGATAGAAGTTCAAAAATCATTCATAATTAAGAATAGTTAAAAGAGAGTTTTATGTTATTCAATGCACACATTCTGACATGTTTACTTATTAGTAATGAGTATCAGAATGATTTCAATTCCTTATTCCTCAATGTTTACTAACATATGGGTATTTGAATTATTCAAATCCTTACTCCCCCAAGTTTACTTACACATGCGAAATAAATAAATAAAAAATTACGAGAGGTCCATGGTAAAATTCGTTAACAAACACCCTTAAAATTAGGAATTAGATCAACAAGGAGGAGTAGTTAACCCGATTCCAAATTCTTATCCAAAGTCCCTAATTCATGACTTCTCCCATCAAGGGAGAGTAGTTGCTCAAGATCAGTGTAATTACGTGGTAATGACGGTCCACATTTGCTGTCATTTCTTAACTTTACAAGATTTTGGGCTGGTTGGAGAAGTTGGAAGGGATGGAAGCTTGAAGTTGAAATGTCACTAGCCAATGCCATGAAGGTCACGGCCTCACAGAGGCCATATAGGTCATAGTCAAACCGTACTAGAATTTGGTCATGGGGAGGGACTTGGTCCGAATAGGCCAAGCATGCCCTTGCCAACCCTTTAAGACCTAGAATAGTCAGCCACCCAGCCACCCCTACCAAATCACCCCATCTCATTATTTACTTATTTATTTTTTAATGTGTACTAAATTTACAAAAAATAGAATAAATAAATAAATACAGGCAGACTTTGAAAGAGATAGATAAAAACAACACAAAACCAATAACTCAGCACTTGCTTTGCCCACAACGCCAGCCTTTATTTCAGTGCTTTTTAACCCAACAAACTCTCTCTCTCTCTCTCTGACCCCATCATCTTCCACAGTTTCCATCTTCCTCAACTCCTTTTCCTCTTCTCTCTTCCTTCTTTCATCTTATCAGGTACACCCTTTTAAAATAATGAAATAATATAATTAAAAAAACTGCAATGAATGAAACCCATGTAGAACTAAAGCAGAGCAAACTACAAGTTTAATTTATTCTTTATGTATTTCTTTGGGTTAAATTTTGATGGTTGAGGTTTTGGGTTTGTAGAAATGGAGCTCTGCATGGAAGCAAAGGCTTTGAAATCAAGTTTACGCAGAGAACTGGCCTTGAAGTCGAACCAGCAAGCTTTGATTGATGAGTTTTGGTGCGCCACTGGAATTTCTGGTGTACCCAGTGAAGATTTTTCAGTGGACGACCTTCTTGACCTCTCTAATGGCGAATTCGAAGATGGGTCTGTTGAAGAAGAAGAAGAAGAAAAAGACTCAGTTTCTGTGGATGATGAAAGTTCCAATTCAAGTAACTTTGTCTCTGCCGACTCCGAGTCTTCTCTGGCCAGCCAACTCTTAGTCCCGGTAACAAGCTTTGAAGTAACAATTTTTGCTTGAATTTTCTGTTAAATTAAGAAATTATTTGAAATTAATTTATGGGTTTTTTTGGGTTTTACAGGATGATGATTTAGCAGGCCTTGAATGGGTTTCTCACTTTGTGGATGATTCTGTGTTAGACCTCTCTCTGCTTCACCCAGTCGGTACCCAAAAACCAGAGGCTCTTGCTTTGACCCGGTCTGAAGCGGAGGCCAAGCTGGTTCAATCAACACCCACATGGTTTCCTTCGCAAGTTCCAGTGAAACCCAGGACCAAGCGTTGCAGAGCGGCCAGTCGAGTTTGGTCGTACCCGTCTTCGTCTTCACCATCGTCGTCGTCTTCTTGTTCTTCTGGGTTTTCATTTTCAACGCCTTGTCTTATCTTCAACAACCCGGTTCAGAGCACGGACGTGTTTGTCGGTGAACCGGCGACCAAGAAACAGAAGAAAAAACCGGCGGTTCAAACCGGGGTCGACGGTTCAGTTGGGGTACAGTTTCAGAGGAGGTGTAGTCATTGCCATGTTCAAAAGACCCCACAATGGAGAACCGGTCCACTTGGTGCCAAAACTCTATGTAATGCGTGCGGGGTCCGGTTCAAGTCTGGTCGGCTTTTTCCGGAGTATAGACCCGCATGCAGTCCGACTTTTTCTGGTGACGTCCACTCGAATAGTCACCGCAAAGTGTTGGAGATGAGGAAGAGAAAAGAGGCGGGCGGACCCGAGCCCGGGTTGAACCGAGTAATTCCGAGTTTTTGAGGGTTTAGAACTAGATAAAGTGAACTTAAACCCGGTTGAACCGGTTTTGTGTTGTACATTTTTGTGGTTGTAGACTTGTAGTGTAGTGGTAGGCTCTTAGGAGCTTTTAGTCTTTAGCCTCAGTTTTAGGCTTTTTAGCTTTATACTTTTTTTTTCCTTTAATTATTTGGATGATGTTATGAATGTGTTTTGCAGGTCTAAATTCTAATGGGGGAAGGGAGAGATAGATATAGATATTAGGACTGAGGGACAGGAGCAGGAGGTTTTGTTTCGTAGGTCTGTTTTAGAGTTTAATGGAGTCTTTGGACCGTTTGATTTGTTTTTCTTTTAATTTCATTTTGACAAGGCTTTGAAATGTTCAAACGTATGAAGTCGTTCAGCGGTTTTTGATGGATGTTGAAACTTCAATCTTGAAAGGCCCACATGAGAGACAGAGAATGCTGTGCTGGTGAAATTGGGGGGGGAAAACATAATTGTTTAGGTCAATCATATGGCATGTTTGGAAGAAAAAAAACAAAATCATATGGCATGACGCATCATTTAAAAAATTATTGTACATCACATATTTGATTATATTTGAAAAACTTACGGGAAACGAAAATAGCACTATTTTGCTATCTCCGACTAATAACATAATAACATATGGAAAAGTTATTTTATATGTCATTATATTATTTGCCAGAGATAACAAAGTGTTATTTATGTTGCGTGAGAGTTTCTCTCCCCTTAGAGAAGCTAATTTTGTGACTGACGCTCTAGCCACTTATGGTCATACGATTAACTTGTGCCATATTTGGAGGGTTGTCCGACAACACTCTCATTTTTTCAAAAAGAAAAAAAATAACATATGCATCACGGCACGGCATATGCACTTGCACTTGCCACATATGCTAAGTAAAAGATATTAAGAAGAAATTTCATCCTTAAAGCAATAAATGAGAAGACAAGGTCTAGGAGTGAAACTCACCGATTGTATTATTTTTGTGAAGAGATTTAGAGCTTATCGTATCCTATTTATTCCACTATTTTTTTGAAAAGATACTTGACTTTAGGGGTGGTGTCACTATTGTGGTTCCACTTGAAGTCAAACCAATCAAACATTAAGCAATGCAGTTTGGTTTGGTTTAAGGGCATGTTTACGTAACTGGAATAGGAATTGGTAGAATAGGAGTCATTCCCTTTTTGGATGACTCCTTTGTTTGCTTACACGAGGTGGAATGAACAGTAACATAGGGTCCATAATAAATTTCATTTTTTATTCCTGATATTGAAGAGATTTGATTCCAAAGAGAAGAGGTGGAATTGGAGAAGGGTGAAAGGAAATCAAGTTTTTCATGCAAAAAATACCCCTCACAAATCTTTTTTTTTTTTCATACAAAAAATTGTAGTAGACTTTGGATAGAAAAACATATTTTGTTTAAAGGCATTTTCGTAATCAAAATGTTTTTCATTCCAATTCATGATGGATAGTAAACATTTTAATGGGAATGAACTCTAGTTTCATTTCGATTCCTGACAATTAGTAAACAATTGGAATGCATGCCTTCGATTCTTAGTTAAGCCGATTCTTGCTTAACACGATTCATGGTTACTCCAATTCCTGCTTATCTCGATTTCTGATTAGTAAACATGCCATAAGTTAAAATGAGAGGATAAATCAAAGCAAACCAAATCATTGTTGGATGGCTTGGTTTAAGAGATTTGGCTAAGATCAATACTCTCTCTTTTTAGTGGCTAAGGTCAATATAGAGAGCTTCAGTTGAGGGATTCCTTAAATAAAGACACCCTTGTAGGGTCCACCATGCATTGTATTTCAATTATCCGAATAGTTAAGTTTTTAGATATTCCCTCAAAGATCAACTCTGCAAAAAATCACTTGAATTCAAAACTATTTGACCACTCAATCAAGGGCGGAACCACACGGGCTACAGTGGGCTGTAGCCTAGTGTGGTTTTTTAAGGAAAAAAATAATAATATAAAACCTATATATTTAACTTATTTTCAATATTAGCCCAATCGGTGGCGTTGTACAAATTACCTTATTTCCATTTTCAACATTTAAGTAAATTTCTTTGTCATTTTACTTTTATTTGTTTTTATATTACTCCATTTACTTAAGTTTACAATGTCAATAAGGAAGTACCCCCCATTTGGATTCAAATAAAAATACTAGAAAATCAAATTCCCACCCAATCAAAATATGAAAATTTGGTTTTAGTGCAAAATACGTTTTAGACTAAAAATGATGGCTCATTAAATCAATATATACTTCATACTAAAACCCCATAAAATCAAGTTTTCTTATTTGATGTGTGAGGAATAAAAGCCACAAAAAATTATCTTGAGAAAATGATTATTCCGAAAACCCATTTTTCATACTTATTAGTCAATATTTTTACATAAAACAACTTTTCATGTATGATATGAATACATGAAGGAACCTAATGTCAATTTAGGTAAAAAGTCTTAGATGTTCAATCCACTATGGTGTTAAACCCTATTTGGTTTATGTTAAAACTTATTCAAAATTAGTCTATGGAGCTATGAACTAGCTAGTTTTATATGATTTAATGTTTACTTTTATTTCTGGAAAGACTATAAAAATTGTAAGTACCAAAAAAAATAATCATTAAATTTTAAGCTAATAACTTTAGCTAGCCCACTCGTTGAAAAATTCCTGGTTCCGCCCTTGCACTCAATTAGATGGTTATTATTATAGTCTTTTCTTGAAGTAACGTGTTCGTCTATTTTATTGGTCCTAGCTGCCTTAATGATATTCAATTTTCCTAATTTTTTGCGAAAATGATTTATGAATGAAGACTTGAAAATTAGACGTTTTGAATCGTTGAAAAAAAAAATTATAGGATATCCTAAAGGATTTTATTTGATAGATCCTTCAATGGCTATATATATGAGTCTGGACATCCCTATAGCTTTTAATATACGGATGTTATGCTTTAACCAGTTTTCTTGCATCCAACTACTTGTTTAGATAACTCACAACTTACATTAAGATGAAACAACACAGTGGAACACCAATTACAAAGGCATCTGCCATTGAAAGCCCAAACCAAAGTGCAACATGTGTTTATACTTCCTATGCACTGACATATACGAATACGATGATATATAAGTTCTTGAGTTGATTTAGTAGCACTACAAATGAAAAGAAAAAAAAACATATCCGGACATTAAGAAAACTACGGGCGTCGGCATTAGAGAACTATTATATATATTTTGTGTGTTTCACTTTCACATTTTCCAAACTAATAGTCGTGTCTAATTAAACATAACTAAGTTGAAATAAACACTTTGAATTTTTCTTACTTCTTATAACCTTATGAAGCCAAATCGTCAACTTGACAATCTTAACAATTTCAAACACGTAAGGCCAACATTGCATTCTCTGTTCTAATTTCTAAGGGCTCGTTTGATAACCATATTTTATTTTAATTTTTAGTTTTCATTTTTCATTTTTTATGGTAGAGTATAGAAGAAATTGAGAGTGAGAATGAGAGTAGAGGATGGGAGAGAAGAATAACAAAAGTGAAAATAAAAACTTGAAAGTGAACAATTTCAAATAGATTTCAGTTTTTTGTTTTTATTTTCACTTTTATTACTCAGTTCTCCCTTCTTCCCTCTCATCTTTCCTCTCAATCCCATCTTCACTCTCATTCTCACTTTCATTCTCCTTATTTTTCATCTATATTCTAGCACAAAAAATAAAAACTAAAATTGAAATGGTTATCAAACGGGCTCTAAATCTCTAAGTTCCTACCTGTTTGAGCAAAATTTCGCACGGGGAATATTCGTGGCTTGATTCCTTGACCTTCGATCTTCCTTCTCTTTCTTCCTCGATCCCTACAAAATAAATAGGAGTAAATAGATCACACCCAAGGGGTGTTGGCCAAAGACCCTCCGATGCCTAAGTTCAATTGGATCTTGATAAAGATACAACAATAGCTAAAATGGATGGAGTTTTCTCTCACGGGGAGAGCTGGGTTGCCGGAGCCTTGTGTGGTGGCACTTAGCCGTGTGAGGAGAGAGAAGAAGAGGGGCTGTGAGAGAGAGAGAGAGAGAGAGAGAGAATGGAAATTGACATGTGAAAAATTACCTTGAATGCCTTGTGTATCTATGTATTTATAGTCTACTTGTGTGCTAGAGTTTTGGGAGAATAATCTTTATTTGGTCATGATTATTCTTTTCCAAAAAGATGATAAGAATTACTCCAAGAGATTTAGTGAAAATTGATTTCTTGATTTAATGAGATATTCATATATTAAATCAAAGATAATTTTCCGAATTAAATAGAATTTGATTGGAGTAATTAGTTGACCTAAGGAATATTCATTTTCCATGTGTCGTCTTCTTATTGGCAAGCAAAATATGTGTTCCTACACTACCAATAATCAACATTCATAAAAGAAACAAACAATCTAATTTTATTAAAGGTTGATATCAACGAAGCATCATAATAAATGATAAAAGCCAATAAAAAGTGCCAAGTGCCATAAAAGGGGACACTAGAACAATTAAACCTAAAACTAATATAAGAGATTTAGTTTGATTAATGTGGTTTTCGTATAGAACAAACCGAATCAAACCAAACTAATTACTATTTAGTTCAACTTGCTCCAAAATTACACTTTTTTGAGTGTTAAAAACTGAACCAAACTAGTTAATGCATTGGTTTGATTCGGCCCTACTTAACCTGAACTAGTTGGGGAGCAAAGAGATCTTAATGCCCAATGGGTCTTCAATGGACTTAGTGGCCCCCCATCCTTTTCGGTGATTTAGTTACCCATATCTTGGGGTTCTTGATGTGCCACTGCCAAGGGTGGGGTATATGAGGAAGAAACCATGATTTGGGTAGTGCTCTACACGACACTACGAATGAACCCACAAAATTCCTAAGACCGAAAAGCTCAAACTATATATGGTCTAGCTAAAGAAAAGGTTATGTTAATAGAGCCAATTGTTGCTGCTAGTAATTGTATAGGGAATTTATAGGATTAAAAAAATTAGAAAGTGAGACAACAGTTAACATTAAAAAAAAAATAGTAAAATAAAAGAAAAAAAAAAAAAAAAAAAAAAAAAAAAAAAAAAAAAAAAAAAAAAAAATAAAATAATACGCGGCCTTTTGCTAACTTTACTAGACTCGACTTGGGCAAGGCCCTAACGCATAAGACGTGCTGGACCAAAGACCGAGAAGAAGAGATATAAACGCAAGCCGTGTGCTTTTCGCGCACGCAACCGCGAAACAAACGAACGCATAATAAAACGCAACCCATCCAACCACGTTTTTTCGCCGCCTCTCTCACTTCAAATACTTTACCCAAACAAAACATTTCGACAACTTTCTCTGTAAATCGAAAACAAATACATGGCGCTCTGCAAGCGCGTGCTTCAAACCGGTGCCGATTCCGCGTTTCTCTTCGCCAGCTTCCGACGAAACCTCTACTCGCCTTCTTCGACGAGCAACAATGGATTTGGGCTCTTCAGCAGGCAGATTTCGGGACTGGTCAAACCGAATGGGAATCGCGCGTTTCTCGTGGACACGTTGGCTCTGGTGAGGGGTTTGGAGGCCAAAGGCGTGCCGACGAAGCAGGCGGAGGCGATCACAGCTGCGATCACTGAAGTTCTGAACGATAGCTTGGAGAATGTGGCTCATGCTTTTGTTTCCAAAGCGGAAATGCAGAAGGTAAAACTGTTCTCCAACTGTTTGTTGATTTGCTTCAATGAAATTTTAGCTGCGGTGTTAGTTTCGAAGTTGCACGCATTATGTTCGATGTTTGTACGGCGAATCTTGTATGTAGTTTTGATGCGTTTTCTTTGGTGTTTGTAGGCTGGAATGCTACAAGAATCAAACCTGTCCAAGTTTAAGTCTGAAGTAAAAAGCTCACAGGTTCTAACAGATTTCTCCATCCTTCTTTCTTAAAAGTTATTCTTTTGGTTTAGTCTTTAATGAAATTTATTATCACTAGCTTAGTCGTTTCCTGCCATAAATTTTTTTGTTTACTCCTTAATGCAATCTCAGTGTGGGGTAGGGGGTTTTGGTGGGCTTGATATTAACATGTGACAAAATCACGTTGAGCATTGTTGACCACGATCAGCTTGGGCTTGTTTTGCCTTTCACATCATTGCACAAAACTAAATGTACAGATGCATGCATGTCATCCAAAACCGTAAGTCGAGGGGAAAATACTGACCGGTTTCTATTTTTGGATGGTTAACCTTGAAACAAAAGCAAAACATACGGTGGTCTTTTTGTGGGTAGATTTGAAGGTGGCCGGATGGAAGGCTGTGTTGACTGGAGTTTGTTAGGGATAATTGAAAATATGGAAATTAGCAAGTGTTTTCACAGCAGGATTTGCAGGGGATAGGTTTGATCCCCAACGTAATGTCACCTTTCGTTGAATAATCAGAAAATTGACCTGTTTCTTCCAAGGGTTGACTAAACTAATCAATATTCTCATGAAGGTTTCTATCGTGAAATGCTCAATGAAGTGCATTTCTTGCTTCATAATAAATCAAGGAATTCATTTTGGAAAACTGACTTGATATGCTTGCATAGATGAGGAAGTAGTAGAGGTGCCATTCACACTTCTAATTTGAACTTCCTGTTCAACAACAAAATCCCTTCAAGAGACTAAGGACCTTAAATCTGTAAACATTTGTGCCGTATGTTCTTCCAGACCTGGAAAATGCTCGTTCAAGCACCTTTCCACTTCAAATGAGTTGAATAAGTCCATGCATTGCTTTTATCAACGTATTTATATCTTCTGTTCACATTCAGTACTAGATGCATGTGATGGATTTAGGAGTCTGGTAAACACTTTTGATGAAGCATCATATTCTGAATACTCCTTTATATAAGACCAAAATAAATAATCGTTAATAGTAGTACATTCTTAATAGTAATTTATATGGGACCGATATCATTGTGTTGATTCTAATTAACCCACAACTTTACGTAGGAGCACCATTTTTCGATGTTGCAACGTGAGACTGAAAAACTTCGGGGTGACATCGAGAAGATGCGTAGTGAATTGAGGTATGTCTTATGATGTATAACGTTTGTGGTTTCTACCATCAGGTGGCATATTGGCTCTTAACTTATTTTTTTCAATATTTTATTGTGTTATGTTCTTAGCTCAAATATTTTATTTCCTGAAACAGATACGAGATTGACAAGGTTACAGCTGGGCAACGCTTAGATCTAAATCTTGAAAGAGGGTAAGCAAACTTTTGTTTTTCTCTGTACTGTACTATTGTATCTGGATTTTTTTTTTTTTTTTTTTTTTTTTTTTTTTTTTTTTTTTTTTTTTTTGGTTCTTGGTTATATATTAGTACTGAATGCCTGATGTGCCAGGCGCATACGTGATGAGCTAGCCAATCAAAATGCAGAAACCACCAATCTCACAAACAAACTTGACCGAGTGAGCACCATTACTGCACTGGAAGTTTTCTGGTTTGCATCAATTGATTATAACTTTAAATTTTATTTAAACTTTGTTTGAAACTTGTTTACAGGAAATTCATACATTAAGGGCTCAGTTGGAAGCTGCAAAGTACGACGTGATCAAATATTGCATAGGAACCCTTGTCTCCATATCTGCAGTTGGTCTCGCTGTACTTCGTATTTTGTTGTAGGATTATAGCTACTTTGATGGTCAAATGTGACAGAGAAACTCAAAGGTCACTATTCTTTTCATGGCAAGGTGATGCTAGATCCGTTACAGGGTTATAGCTACTCTGGTCATGGCAATTTGATGCTAGAACAATCAGTTAAATGAATGGAAATGTGAGATTGTGAAAAGCCAAATCACAGTTGGCCTTGTTTTCTTTCCCCTTTGCCATATTTGAGAGGCAAACGAGGAAATAAATGATACAGTCTGCAATCACTCTTATTTGTCAGGATACTCTAGTTCTGAAATCTTAGTTTAGTTCTTACAGGGAAAGCACGACAAGGAAAAGCACTTTCAGCGGCAAAGCTGATTGGTCGCCTGTTCTTGCATATCCCTAAACACTTGTATCAGCAATGTATGATGTGGCTGGAGGTATTGTAACTTTGGCCACCTTTTTCATTCGTTTTTCCAAATTATTTTACATACAGAATTTGCTATTTGCTTTGTTAAAATTTTCCAACATTGTTTTGATCAAGTAAATTTTTTAATTTTTATTTTTGGAACAATGCTCGTTCTCTGATCACTCAATGAAGCTCATATAGTTTAGTATATCTCTTCAATATGTATTGACTTGCTATGTTAGTGAAATTCTTTGAGTCAACATGTTACACGTGACACGTCAATCATATGAATTGGTCTGAGTAGGACAATAGTTGATTTTCCCGTAACTCTGATCATGAAATTGGATTAAGATTATAGCACCAAAGAAATTTGATTTGGGATTATGTTCGTGAGGTGGGGTTATGGTTATTGTTAGTTCATAGCAAGGTCGGCTCTAAGTGGGGTCTCATGAGCTCACTGTCTAAGAGATCAAGGACCCCATTTCCTAACATAAAGTCCATCATTGAAGGCATGGCAGTCGTGACCAACTTCACATACCCTTTATCGAATATCATTAGCCAACAAGCAACCCGACAATCGATGATAATCACCTAAGATTAGCATTTAGAAACTCTAATTCCCAACACAATCGCAATTTAAATTCCCAAAGATTAGCTGAATGGTTCCACTACTAATATCACTGAGGCATTTTGTGATAAAACTTCACACCTATTGAATTTTGTAGAAAATTAAGTTGGGGACAATATCGATATTATTAGTAGTGGGCCACTGACCCCGTCTCTCTGAATTTAAGATCTACATCATAAGCAGTCCAGATCACATATTATACATCTGACCTTTTATATAGATAATCTTTTGTATACCAAACAATATAATAAGTCCCCAGTAATGACTTGCCACATTAGCCCAATCTTCATAAAGGCTGCAGATCACATTTTAATTATATAAGAACCTCATCCTTTTCTTTTCACCTTATCAAATTCATAATTTATATTAACCTCCTCACCAACCCCATTTTCAAGAACACAAACCAAGCCATGGATGATCTCCTCTTCACCAAGCACTTGAATCCCTGCAATCTGCTCCCATGTTGCTCATTCTTCTTCTACTCATCTTTTTCTTGATTGTTTTGTTCATGTCACGCCCAAAACTCCCATACCCATCAGCATTGAAAAGGGTCCAGTTTCATTCAATTACTACTAACACACACCTCCCACCCCAACTTTCTTCACATATGATGGCAATTTGAAAATTAGAAGTTAACAAATTAGTGAGAAAAAGGAGACAAAATCGCTGGTCTTGGCGTAGGCTAGCCACCGAAAGGGTGAGAAGAAGATTGAGCAATGATTAAGCTGTTGAAGAGAGAGAGAGAGAGAGGCCGGGAAGGCAGTGCGAGGTCGACGATGGGTTGGGGTGGGTGGTGGCTCTTTTCTTTTTTCTTTGAGTAATGCTACTCTTACTACATTCTCCTACCACCTTATGTAGCAGATGAAGTAGACAACTATATCAATTAAAAAGTATTAATAAATCTTAAAAGAAAAGAAAATATTAAATTAATTTTAATTGATGTGTATGTCCACCTCATCTACCACATAAGGTGGTATACAAATGTGGCAAGAATAATATTATTCTTTTCTTTTTTTTTCTTAGTTTTATTCAAAAGGATAATAATAATTAGATTCCAAGTCCAGCTACAAAAAATATATATAAATTGTTATTCTTAAATGACACATGACAAATTTTTAATGGAAGTATCACAAGCTGAGGTGGAGTAGAGTACTACTAGGAGTGTACGTCAATTCGAAACCAATACAGTTTAGTCAATCCATATTAGATGTTTAAATCCCTAGAGAAAATTGAATTGTGATATTTAATGAGTCCATTTTCTCTATTATATAAATTGGATTGTGATATTTTCAATTCAATCCAATCATATTAGATGGTTAAATCCAATCTGATCTGATCCAATTGATATTGGACTAGATTGGATTGGATGATTGGTTTTGATAATTAAAAAATATAATAATGAAATATTAAACATTTATCCTTAGGTTTAATCTAATCAAACATATTAAGATGTAAATGTAAAATATAAATGAAATACTAGAGAAAATTGTTTTGATTAAATAGAGAAAATGGACTCATTAAATAGATGTTTATAGTCAATCCATATTAGATGTTTAAATCCCTAGAGAAAATTGGATTGTGATATTTAATGAGTCCATTTTCTCTATTATATAAATTGGATTGTAACATAACTCCATTAAATAACTTAAAATATTCATAAATTTTTCAACTACAAATACCTATAAGGGCAAAATAAGCATAAAACTAACTATATTGGATTGGATTCTCATAAGCAAATCCGTCATCCGATCCAATCATGTCAGTTTTAAAAATTACATATTCAATTCAATCCGCCAAATCCTCAAAACCAATTGAAATTGAATTAAACTGGATTGGATCGGTCAGCTTGAGTGGATTGGATTGAATCTTGTACACCCCTATGTACTACTATAATGTTAGACCAAGTTTTAGCTAGCTAATTGGTATGTATGAATTAATTTCCTTATAAAAATAATACGTTATGGAAATAATATCTACACGAATCCCGAGTCTCTAGATTTAAAGACATTCCACTTCTACATAAGCAGCCCAGATAACATATTATATGTTATAGAGATCCTTATTAATCTTCTGTATACAAAACAAAACGAATTAAAAAAAATTCCAATACCAAAACAAAAATCCAAACAAATTTCAAATATGTCCTTAGTGCAGACAAGTGGAGCCAAAATTCCCCGCTGGGAATGGAGTTGGTGAGATTAGATCATCCTCTATGGTAATTAAGTCCCCAGTAATTACTTGCCACATTAGTTCAATCCTCGTAAAGGCTGCAGATCCCATTATATATATATATATATATATTATCAAATTCATAATATATATATCAACCTCCTCAACAACCCCATTTTCAAGAACACAAACCAAGCCATGGATGATCTCTTCCTTCACCAAGCACTTGAATCCCTGCAATCTTCTCTCATGTTGTTCATTCTTCTTCTTCTACTCATCATTTCCTTGTTTGTTTTGTTCATGTTACGCCGGAAACTCCCGTACCCACCAGGGCCAAGAGGGTGGCCCATTATTGGGAACATGCTCATGATGGACCAACTCACTCACCGCGGTTTAGCCCAACTGGCTAAACAATACGGTGGGCTTCTCCATCTTCAGATGGGGGTCTTACATATCATGGTCGTATCATCTGCGGATGTGGCCCGAGAAATCCTCCAAGTCCAGGACAGTTCCTTCGCCAATCGGCCTGCAAATGCTGCCATATCATACTTGACCTATGATCGGGCTGATATGGCTTTTGCCAACTACGGCCCGTTTTGGCGTCGCATGCGCAAAATTTGCGTCATAAATCTGTTTAGTCGGAAACGGGCAGAGTCATGGGCCTCAGTACGTGAGGAAGTTGATGAGATGGTTCGACATGTGGCAACAAAAACCACCTCACCGGTCAATATCAATCAATTGGTTTTCACTCTAACGAAGAACATAACTTATCGGGCAGCGTTCGGGTCAAGCTCCCATGAAGGGCAAGGAGAGTTTGTGACGATTCTGCAGGAATTTTCTAAGCTTTTTGGGGCTTTTAACATGCAAGATTTTCTTCCATGGTTGGGTTGGATTCATGCACAGGCTTTTAAGGACAGAATGGCTAAGGCTCGTGGGTCACTAGACGTGTTTATTGATAAGATCATCGATGATCACATGGCTAAGAGGAATACAAATAAGGACAAGAAAGATGACAACGAAGCTGATACAGATATGGTGGATGAATTAATAGCTTTTTTCAGTGATGATGCTGCAAAGGAAAGTGACGACCCCAATTCTACCTTTAGGCTCACCAGAGACAATATCAAAGCGATTATCATGGTAAGTCTTACATTAAAATATAATGAGGATCCATAATATATCGATATTATTGTTGTCAGCAAAATATACTGACATGTTATATTTTTAAAATATTGATGTGCGTGTCCATTCTTTAAAGAATATATCCTGCATAAAGAATTTTTTATATGTATAAACAGTTCATACATAGATATACATTAACAATTATTCTTTTAATTTTGAGAGAATCTCGACGGAACAAGGGAAATAATTATTCTTTTAAAAAACCTTTTAATATATTACTATAATTTTCTTTCCAATATTATGAAGGACAAACTATAGAAAATTCTTCAACTTATAGAGTCATTTACGAGTTCATACCCGATTTTAAAGACATTTATTAATACATACTCAACGTCACAGAAATCCTACAATTTGTCTCATCTATTAGCGAGATCGTTAGAAAATCCGTTATCTATCTACATGGTATTTGTGGGACCCATTTTTTAACTGACGTGAACTCCACATAAGAAACAAAATTAATAAAATAAATGAAAATAAATATAAAAATTTAAAAACCCCAAAAAAACCTCATCTTCTCCCATTTCCCCTGCCTTCCAGCCTGACCTCCAACCCACCCTCCCCACAGCTTCGCCCCACCTCCATTAGATCTGACTCTCTCCAACCCAGATTAAGTCGCAATCTCTCTCTATCTCTCTCCCTCAACCCCTTGGTTTCACCTCCATGGGCGTCTTGTATGGTCACTCAAGGTCTCATTATGGTCAGTCATAAAATGTTGATCTTCGAGTCTTACGATTCAAGCTTGTGAACTTTGTTCTTTGATTCAAAATTACAGATCTGCAACTATGCTTGTTCTTTGATTGATTTTATTTTATTTTTTCCTGGTTAAGTATCAAGGATCTGGTTGCAAGACCCCAAACCTCTTATTCGAACACAGCCTTGTGCCACCCAGATCTAAGCAACAAGTCGAGTCGCGTCCGTACATTGATGAGGTCGAAGAGAGTTAGGTAGATCTAGAGTCACAATATTGGTCAAATTTCTGTTAGTTAAAGCACACCTAAAGCCAACCAGCTCCCAATTATAGTTACCTAACAGATCTCTAGGCAATGCACCTAACAAACCAACCAACCCAAACAAACCCCAACCAACCCAATTGTCCAAGACAAGAGAAGCAGAAGCAGATCTTAAGCTCACTCCTAAACTCCTATTTTTCCTCGAGGACATCAAAACCCGGGAAATTTCAAATACGGACAAGAAATAGGATCCCAGAAACGGAACCAAACAGCGGATCTCATAATCCATGGCTGTTAGTTGGAGGGTCAACCGGAAATAGTAGAAGAAAGAGAGGAATTGGAGTATACCTGTGAGGCTGTGAGTGGAATTTGGGATTTGGGGGAAATGTAAATGCTGGAATTTAGGGAGGATAGAGGAAGTGTTTAAATAGAGAGGGAGATATATATATATATATAGAGAGAGAGAGAAGAGAAGGGAGGGAGAGAGAGAGAGAGAGAGATGCGACTTGATCTGGGTTGGTGAGAGTCAGATCTAATGGAGGTGGGGCGGAGCTGTGGGGAGGGTGGGTTGGAGGTCAGGCTGGAAGGCAGGGGAAATGGGAGAAGATGAGTTTTTATTTATTTATTTTTTGGGTTTTTAAGATTTTTTATTTATTGTTTTTTCATTTATTTTATTAATTTTGTTTCTTATGTGGAGTCCACGTGAGTTAAAAAATGGGTCTCACAAATGCTACATAGACAGATAACGGATTTTCTAACGATCTTACTAACGGAAGGGGTAAATTGTAGGATTTTCGTGACGTTGAGTATATACTGGTAAATGTCCCCAAAATCGAATATGAACTTGCAAATAACCCTATAAGTTGGGAAATTTTTTGTAGTTTGTCCAAACCCCGTTCTACCGATCACATCGTTCTCCAATATTGTTGCCCTTTATTTGAGGTGCCAACTCGGTCTAGGGGTTTTCCTTTTATTTATTTTAATTATCTAAAATTGAATTTTTTTATTTAGGTAATTTCACAAGCGGATTACATTGTAATTAATATTTTGTAATAGGTGGGTCAACGCTTTTTTCCTTTTCTAAATCAAAAGAAACAAATCTGATTTCTTGTGTTTTTATTATATTTACTCAGAATTTATGGTAAAATAAAGCACATTCTCATTTCTCACTCAGAAGATCAATATTATGTGTTAACTATTTTGGTAATGGAAATTATGTGTTTAATTATCACCATCTGTCACTTCTGATTTACTTTTAGTGACAAAATCCACTTTGCATTCATAGGATGTAATGTTTGGAGGAACTGAAACGGTGGCATCAGTGATTGAATGGACAATGGCAGAGCTGATGAAGAGCCCGGAAGATCTCCAAAAAGTGCAGCAAGAGCTCATCAATGTTGTTGGCTTGAACCGTAGGGTCCAAGAAACCGACCTCGAAAACCTAACCTACCTCAAATGTGCAGTCAAGGAATCCCTCCGTCTTCACCCACCAATCCCTCTCCTCCTCCACGAGACTGCAGAGGAGACTTCCGTGGCCGGTTACTCATTTCCAGTTGGGTCACGGGTTTATATTAATGCATGGGCTCTCGCCCGTGACCCGACTGCATGGGATGAGCCAGAAACATTCAAACCCTCGAGGTTTTTGAACGATGGCTCGCCTGATTTTAAAGGGAGCGACTTCGAGTTCCTTCCATTCGGGTCGGGCCGTAGGTCGTGCCCGGGTATGCAACTGGGGCTGTATGGGCTGGAGATGGCTGTGGCCCATCTTCTTCATTGTTTTGCATGGGAGTTGCCTGATGGAATGAACCCTAATGAGCTTGACATGAATGATGTTTTTGGACTGACTGCACCCAAAGCAGTTCAGCTTGTTGCTGTGCCGAGTTACAGGTTAAATTGCCCGCTTTGAATAGTTTGAGGAGACTGTGAAATACTACTTTGGTTTTAAAACAGTGATGAGCCTATTTCTTTGCGTATTGGTACTGCCGGTCTTGAATTTTTCAGGGCCCAGAGCAAAAGTAAAAATTATGTCCCTATATATATTTTTTAAAATTTAGTGATGAACTCACTTTCATTTTTCAATCAAGATCTAACCTGTTCACATTAACTAAAAATTTAACACTCAAAGCAAATAAATTATTTCAATTCAAACTTCAATATATAAAAATTCAAAATAAAAGGCAACAATGTATAAACAAGATAAATACTTGTAACAATTTAATAAGTTCTTTTTTATCCAGCAACAATCAACCAACAAATCAAAAATTTCTATGCATGTTCAATAGGCAAAGCAAAACAAGGTTAGCCTAAGAAGGGTCAACATTATTAGCCTAAGAAAGCCATGAACATTAACATAATATTTTTTATATATTGTATAATTTAATTGTTATCTTCCAAAATCATAACCCGCATCGCACAATAAATTACAAAGAAATAATTTGACATGAATCAAATCAAAATACATTGCTTAAAAGAGAGCTGAATAGCTAGTATTTGGAGATTTACTTGGCTAGTATTTGGAGATTTACTTGACTGATGGTCGATTCAATAACAAAAACTGTAAGAGAACTCGATAAATGAAAGAATAGAAAGATTGAAGTTAAAAAGGAAAAATGGAGTAAAGATAATATAGGAAAAATTATAGAAGTAAAGAATAACAATTAACTAGAGTCAGAAAGTTAGAAGGGTCATCTATAAAAGAAACCCAAGAAAATCAAATATAACATATAACAAATGCATTTGTTGCATAAATTGGAGGAGGGTCAGCTAATCCTTCTGGGCCTCAACTAGCTTCGCCATTGTCAATCTAGTTGAAATCCCTTTGCATCCCCAACAACCCGCAAAATAAAAAATCTCTTTGCATCCTCAATAACTCAAAGAACAACATAACTTGGAATTTGAGAAATCCCCCTCCACAACAACAAACTTGATATTTCCAAATTTGCAATCAATTAGAGCTTAAAAGAATTCCTGTAAAGAGAATGTGCAATTCACGTGAGTTCACAAATCTAAAAAAAACAAAAAACAAAACAAAACAAAAAAATAATATTTTCCTTTTCATTTGAAATCCCTTTGCATCCCCAACAACCCGCAAAATAAAAAATCTCTTTGCATCCTCAATAACTCAAAGAACAACATAACTTGGAATTTGAGAAATCCCCCTCCACAACAACAAACTTGATATTTCCAAATTTGCAATCAATTAGAGCTTAAAAGAATTCCTGTAAAGAGAATGTGCAATTCACGTGAGTTCACAAATCTAAAAAAAACAAAAAACAAAACAAAACAAAAAAAATAATATTTTCCTTTTCATTTGATATCAAATCATGAAAAATTACTTTCAATTGATTTTTACAGGGACCAATTTTGTATTGAACAAAAGTCCACACTTCGGATTTTGTAATCTCCCCAATCTACCAATAGAAAAATTAATTTAGGGATTCACAACTCTGTAACTAGTAGGAGAGGCTTAGATGAGATGATAAGAGATGAGGAGAAGAAGAAGAAGAGGAAGAAAAATTTAGAATAGATAAATCTAACGTAACCTGGAGGAGTGTGGCGGGTAGCGCAAAAGGGTTCTTCTTGAGGAGCGGAAAGGATGCGTGTTCTTGCAAAACGCCATCCTTTTTTATTATTTTTTTCTTTCTCAAAAATATTAAATCAGTTTATAATAATATAATATAACACTTTTTAAAAAAAAATATTGAGCCCTTGAATAAGAGGCTCAGGGTGGCACTGACGGCCCCTGTTCAGGGCCGGGCCTGTTAATTAATAAGGTAGTTTATTATGCTATTTGTTTTAGTCTTCTATTTGTTCAGGTCCTATCACTGACTGGTTAGTACAGTTTGTTTGTATGGATCGATCAAATAAACAAACGAAAACATTGCCAATAAGAATCAAATGATTAAATGATGTTGGCTAATTTTTACAAGGGATGATCTTTGAATGATAATCTAAAAAACCGAATGTCCAAATTATGAGATTATATTGGTAAGTGGACCAAAAAAGTGATCAAAGCCGTATTAACTTACTAATCGATTAATGCTTGATCACTCCTGATCAAACTAAGCCACATAATTATTTATGTAAAAATTTGGCCGCAAGTAACAAAAATCACTTGTAGACGAAAACCATACAAACCGCTCCCTCCGTATGATGATTAGTTAGTTCATACAAGAAGAAAGAGGGAGGGAGGAACATTTCAATTTAATCATACAACTGGGATCATGCCATTTCAGGCATTGGGCTTCTTTTATGCTATAAATTACTTATACAATCAAAATTGTTACTTAGGCCTTCTACGGTAAGGGTATAGAATGTCATCCACACTCTGTTTGATGTAGTTTCCCACTCTATTCACATTCTTAGCAACACCTGATGCTACTAGTATTGCATTCCTCTTAAACCTGCATATATACAAATACTCAGAGTTTTAAAGTCTAACAAGAACAAACTGAACTGGAAAACTCAAACACACAACCATGTGAAAAAAAGAAAGTCATGGATAACTTCTTTTCTTTGCTAACTCAAAGTTCTGCCATACCTGTTGAGATATTCATCTCCTGTTGAATGTGGTGGTCTGTAGCTTCGGGGTTGAGGAATCGGCCGAACATTTTCTGGAGAGGGAAAAACACACAAAGAATTTATAAACAAGGTTGCTGTGAATGTTATAAGAAAATTCAATCATTTTGCAACAGTAAGTATTCACATTAAATATTAAGGTTTGTTGGTTTACTATGATTCTCAAAAGCTGAAGTTGTCAAGTGGATAGACCTAATAGGGATATATAGCTTTACTGGACACTTAGCCCAATCAATGTGGAACTAGTGCTCAACACTTTTCCTCAAGTGGATTCCCTCTTGTGGGTGATCATGCACGTGACAAGTGGCCTCAACCAAGAGTTCTTATGTATAATAAGGTAACCTACACATTGTGGCTCTAATACCATGATAAGTTTGTTGATTAACCAGATACATATTCTAAACACAAATAACACAGATAGATTCGGAAAAGAAATATTATACTTAGATGTAACAAAACAGGCACATGTTCTTCAAATAAGTTAATTGCCTTTACACATTCACAAATAGAGCACATACTTAATTAATAGTAAGGCATTTGGAACAACAAAGCCTTATCCCAACTATTTGGGGGTAGGCAACGTGAATCATGGTCCTCTATATCATCCTATGTCCGGCCATATTATCATCTAAGTCACCCTAATTATATTATCATATTTGTCCTCTTTCCCTCGAACTACTCTCTATGTTGATTAAGTTACTCTTTCTGACTACCATATTGATATGCACTTAATATGTCCAAAATCTCCAAAGCACCATAGTCAGTTTTCTCTCATTTCCTATCTACTAAATGCTATTTTTTGGCCTGTCAATGGGTGATACTTCACCTTTCTCACAAATGCGCTCATTTTGAATCCTATCTTTCCTTGTCTTCCCACACATACATCTCAATATCCTCATTTCTGCCACTCACTTCATCAAAATGTTGCTTGCCCTGCATCTATCCCATATAGCATGTTGACCTAACAGCTATTATATAAACTTTACCAAGCATTTGAGAGCCAAATGAAAATGGACCCCACATGAGTGCCATGGGCTTCATTTATCAAGAGAATAAATTATACATCAAAACAAGGAAAAAAGTGGGAGATCTCAGTCTGATGGTAACCAAACATCCATTAATGAATGCAGGAAAATCACATTGCAGATGAATATAGAAAGACTTCATCTAACACTTCAGGTGTTTATGGTGAAAGCAACAAAATAGAGAGAAGTATACGTACACAAATAAAGTCACTGAATCAATTAGTATCAGAGACTAAGAAGATACAGGAAGATGGATTCTTTCTATATTCCAACAAATCAAAGTGAATTGAGATCCCCACAGCCTTTTCAAATAAATAAACAGAGAAAAGAAAAACTTCATATACCTTCAATTTTATGAGCAGGAGCATCAGCCTGAGCATGGCCTGCAGGTTTTTTGTCATACAATACCTGACACAAGCTAGTTATGTCACATATCAACTGAGTTTATGAGAAGATCATAAACATACAAATATGAGCATTATGAATTATCAATATAATTATATAACTAACTTAGACATAAGGACAGGAAAGACAGGAAAGTGACATGGATATTCGCCTAGAGAAATTCCAAACAGTCTTTAAGAATAAAATGAAATGTAATATGAGCTTTACAAATCAAGAAAACAAGAAAAAGATAGAGTCAAGATATAACACCTCAAGACCAACACAAAACGGCAATTCCGCTTGTTTATTCTGCTGATCACTAGGAGAATCTTTTCTGTCTAGGAACACCGAGTAACCTACGCAAGCATACTTGAAATCTGTAAGGCTGCGGTCCGCTTTAGAAGCCTCCAACTCAGTCTCTCCCACAATGTAGCTGGGCACTGGTCATAAATCCATAAATAAGCGCATATCTTATAGATGACTATAAATAAATAAATTTCAGATGCATCTAAATACACAGGAAGAAAATTACAAGAAATTATTATATACTAACAAATAACAAGGACATCATAAACAATACATACTCCACAAAGACAGAGCCCTTTTTTTGTGTGGGAAAATGTAGGCATCAATTCAGCCTGTGAATGTTGTAGCACTAGAATATCAAAGAACCGATCTTTCTGGCTTCCAGATTCAATTTGAATTATGCATCAAAGTAATTCATCAATTCATTTGGAGAGTCTATGAACTTTGGCAATCAAAATGAGAGAGAGAGAGAGAGAGAGAGAGAGAGAGAGAGAGAGAGAGAGAGAGAGACCTTGTTGGAGGGTTTTGGAGAGGCCAACGCAGGTGGGATATTTGGATTTGGATTTCTGTGTGGAAGAGTAATAGAGGCAACCCTTGCATGACTTTCCCTTCGCTGAGCCATTGCTGAGATTAGGGTTAGGGTTTGGAATTTTGATACCTCCTCCATGTGCGTCTTCGCCTTCCTTATCCATCTCTCTCTAAGAATTAAAGATTTATTAGACTTTTAGATTATTATCTCTCTCTCTCTCGCTCTCTCTGTGACTCAATGGTTCAATTCAATATCATCATCATAAAGCTCTCCATTTTGGTTATGGTTATGTGGCCCTACTCCTACTCCTACTCCTCTGTTCCTTGTCTGTTGTTTGTTCATTCACTATTTTTTTGTTCCAAGTTGTTCATTCACTTTTCACTTCCCTCTTGATTTGCACTAGATTCTTCTGGACGTTCGATGCTAATCGGACGGCGCAAAACTGAGCACTAATAACCGAGTAAAATGATACATGAATTTGGCTCATTTTCAAATTTTTTTTTGAGAAGGAGAATTCATTCATAAAACCACATACGCTATAAAGAGCGACATAATTCAATGGCCTCATTATAACCTTCATAGGACAACCTCATGGGACAAATCCCAGGGGAGGAAAAAGTACCACATGTGTCATGGACTAACAGGAGAATCCAATTCAGGTCACTTTGGACTATGACAATAAAAGAACAAATCAAAAACAAAACCTAACACAAAAACCTCCGATGAGAACCGCAACTAGAGACCAACACAGTAAACCCACATGAGAGGACCGTAGAAACCCCAAATAGTAAACCTACAAGAGAGGACTGCAGAACAACCCAATTGTCAAAAGAAGCCTTCTATGAGCAAAATCATAGTCCTTTGACACTTATACAAACTGTAAGTCATATCATAACAGAAACCAGGAGAGAACATGGAGGACGAACACATAAACAATTAGTAAAAAGACCCATGAGAAGCATTCCACTTCAACTCAGAACCTGACAAAGAAAACCTCATATGACCAAGCATAGTTCTTCAGTCGGCCCAGAGTAAAGAAGAGCACCACATCCCAACAACTACTACCAGCGTTGCTGCTGTCGTCGCCGTTAAACAGAGACAAAACATCAGCCACCAGGTATCACAATTCTCCCAAGGAGAAACACAATCCAGCGTCACTACTGTCGCCGCCGCCGAGACAAAGACAACACCAGTCACTTGGAACACTACAAAAACAACCAAACAAAACAAACAAACAAACAAACAAACAAACATACCTAGATCCAAATAGATCTAGACTATTTGGGGAGGGGAATGGGAGGAGAAGAGGGTATATGAGGAAAGGAAAATATGGGAGAAAAAGAAGGGTAGATGAGGAGAGGAAGGGGAAGATGGGCGGAGGGGAGGAGGGGCAGTGGCCACCTCCCCCCCTTATCTGGCTCATCTTCATTTTATTTATCACTTTCCATATATTGTATATAAGTTAGGAAGGATGTCCTTGTATTTTCATTTTATTTATCACTTTGGCTAATTATATATTTATCACTTTTCATATATTATATATATAGCAAAATGCAGAGAATGGTGAAACATTCAAAATACCAAAAAAGACCCTTGGTTAATGCAAAAATTAAGAATTGAAATTGTTAATTAAATGAGGATAATATGGTAAATTCACACTTTTTCATATTAAAAAGATCAAAATTAAAAGAAAAATAAGATAATGGATCCTATTTTTATGGAACATAACTACCCATTATCTTTTTCAATTATAAAATAAATTTAAATTTTAAAAAGAAAAAGCCTCACGTGCATAGGCTAGTTGTATATAAGTTAAGGCCCACCATGTATTGTTAATTTTGTTGTTGTTTACATAGTAAGAACGAGCATGTTAACGGTGGCCTTATTAAAATTTTCTCGAGGAAAACCACAAGGGATAAAACCTTGGGGTAGGAAAGAGCACCACCCATGCTAATGACTAAATAGAAAAGTCAACACCCCTATTACAAAGTCAGACAAAACGAGACAAATCCTCCCTAATGCCTTCTAGGAGCCAGGAAGGTCCATCACCCAACCAATAACAAAGCTCCTCGGCATGTGTGTGTGTATTCATTACATAGTGCAATATAGAGATCTTTGTAGTGTCTCATAAGTGAGTCCATATAAGAGAGTTCAACACAATCGTGGTTTGCTAGGGCCTTATGATTTGGAGTGCTACTATTGTAAGGATGGGGTCGTTGTATCTTGGGACACAAGCGCCGATCAACCATAGTGGGGCATAAATTGTCTTAAGGACAGAGTACCTAGCACTTGCCTCGACCATTATTTCTAGGTTTTTCTAATCCATATAATGTTAGCTTAGCATTGTATGTGCTTGTAAGTATGCATTAATTTTGAGCAAGAGTTTGCATAAATTATTTATGAATTTTCTATGCATTAAATATAGCAATTAGACCTAGTTGTTATTTCCAACACTAGATGCCTTAACCATTTCGATTTGCCTAATTTTTTTTTGTAAGGATGACCTATGAATGAAGGCTTGAAAAATAGATGATTTTGATTGTTGAAAATAAAAATGGTATGGGACCCTAAAGGGTGTCCCACCTTTAATGGAAGGGAACTATATATATATATATATATATATATATATATATTCATAATATAATAAGATCACCCCAAAAAGGTCAATACTATTTCTTTAATTATAATTTTTTTTATTTTTTATACAAGGGATATTCTACATTAATCTAATCTAAACTATGGGAAAGATGATTCAAACTCAGTGCATAGTGGGAAGCACATCTACTCAAGCCAATATTTCTAAGCCCATGTATGCTCTTATCACATTGAAATATCTAAACTCTAACCGAATAAAATGTATCTAAACAAAGCAAAAACTATGTTTTGTCGACTAAAATGTACAAAATGTCAAATATATCAGTAAAAGGGAAAGAGTTATTCATAGAAATAGTCCCTCAACTATACTTGAAGTTGTATTGTGGTCACTTAACTCAAATATTAGTTGCGGAGGCCATTCAATTGGTTGTTGTATTGCACCATTAGTCCCTACCATCAAGTCTGTGACTTTTTCTGTTTAAAATGATGACATGACAAACATCTCTTATATTATTGATGGGCAAATGTGACTTTTCAGTTAGGATTATTTGTAGCAATGATCTCTTAACTATACTCGAAGTTACATTTTGGTCACTCAACTCAAAAATTAGTTGCAGAGGTCACTCAATTAGATGTTGTGTTGCACCATTAGTCCCTACTGTTAGAGAGACTTGACTGTATGGACTAATGGTGTAACACAACACTCAATTGTGTGACCTCTGTAACTAATATTTGAGTTGAGTGACCAAAATGTAACTCCGAGTATAATTAAGGGACCACTGCTACAAATAACCAAAAGGGAAAATATTTGGCTTAGCTCCATACACAAGATTGTGATTGATAAGACTGATTGGGCTGTAAGAAGGAATCTTGATGTCTGAACAAATAACCATCAAGTGCACAGTAAAATAGAAGAATAGGAAGGTAGAAAGTTTCCCACTTTCCACTCTCTTACATTTTAAGGATTCTCTTTCTACACCAATTCCACTCTCTTTGGGGATTCTCTTTCTGCACTAATTCTATCTAACACACGTAGAGAGAATCATTTTGTATTTCTATTATAATAATGCAAATTACTCTGTGCTAACTATGTTTTGTATACAATACTAGATTGTAGTCTGAGTCTACAACTTTTGTTACTTCAAAAAGAGAAGAAAATCTACCATATAATAAGGCTTTTAATGAAAAAGCTGGATAAAAGGAAGCAAAAATACACTAAACTGCCCAAGTTATGGTAAATAGGAGATTAAAAAAAAGTTTATACAAAGTCAAAACTCTTTATGGGAAATTGCTGTACAGTAACTGCTCTGCTGCTGTGTTCCCTTAATGGTCCGGGTGCAAATAATCGCACGATGCGCCCTTCTTGCAGTGACCACTTTCGAAGAACCTGCACACTCTCTGCCCTCTGAAAGGAGGCCTGGAAGAACCTCCTCCCCCACCTCCTCCACCACCAAAAGACGACTGCCTATTCCAAGGTTTGCCACCACCGAAACCAGGATCACCATGAGAACCTCGATCCCTTTGATTTGAGAACCTATCTCCATTCTGAGTTGCATTGGGTGCACTCCAACCAGGATTGGCATTCCCAACAGTTGGCCCTTGACCAGGTGGAGCCCAACCTGGATTTGCACTTACCGATGGTGGGCCTTGACCAGGTGGGACCCAATTAGTCACTGCATTTCCAGGTACGGGACCTTGGCCGGGTGCAGTCCATCCTGGACCTTGACTCGGAGGTCCCCAGTTCATGTTTGTATTACCAGGCACTGGTCCTCCCCAGGTCACGTTTGGATTTCCTGCCATTGGCACCCAACTAGTATTTTGATTCTCTTGCCCCGTTCTTGGCACGGCACTTTGGTTATCTGGAACTCCCACGCCCCAAGGTGCCTGTGGTTGTGCTGGAGGCTGAATGTATGTATGATTACTCGGAACTGGGGGTCTCCAAGGATCAGAGTGCGGAACACCTGGGAAGCCTGATGTAGGGAAATTTCCAGCTAAATTCCCTGTGTTCATAGATGAGGGAGCATTGTTGGTAGATGGAGCATTATTCCAGTAACCATGGGTGTGATGTTGTGCAGGCACAGTAGCAGCATTATTTGGTTCTATCCTTTGAGAGGGAGCACCTCCCCAGGGTTGAGATTCACTCCCAGGTACTGGGCCGGAGGCAGTCATTTCCTGTTTCGGAACTGAACCAGAACCCCATCCTCGAGCATCGCTGGCAGGAGCACGACTAGTCACTGACTGAACCAGATTTTGCAGATTTGAAACTAGGTTATTCACATCAGCTACTTGATTCATTGAGGCATTGGACAATACAGGCGCTGACCCTGTTACTTGACCATGCATTCGAAGAGCAGTTGTAGAGCCCAGAAGAGTAGCATTTTCAGACTTGGGGCCTACATTAATGCCAGGAAGAGAACTTGAGCGATCATTTCCAGAAGCTCGCAGTGCACTTTCTGGAGTAACTACTGCAGTAGGTTGCAGCACTCCGTTGCCTCCCAAGACAGAGCCACCTGGATGAGCAGGGCTGGGTGACCAATTACTTTCGTAAGCTTGCCCCCTTGCCCCACCCAATGGAGTTTGGGATGGAGTAGGTGAGGGAAGGTTTGTTGTGCTCCAACCATCTGAAGAATACTTGGGGACCTCAACTGATTGTGGAGTACCTCTGCCTGAGGAAGAATTAATTTCATTTTGAGATCCCCAACTTACTCCTCCCGCTTGGCCTTCTGTACCTCGCTGAAAGAGAGCTCCTTGAGACTTCCCAGAATGTACAGGTGAGAGATGTGAATTGTGCACCATTTGAGCCTTTGGAAAACTGCTGTCAACGAATGAAGGGTCTTTCTGGAACTTTCCAGCCAATGCATCAGTTACCAGTATAGAATCTTCTTCTTTCTCAGTGTTTTTCCAAACTCTCAAGTTGGCAGGGAAATAGCCAGTGTGATTCCATTTACGCAACTGTACCATGGAAAATGGTCCCTGGACTTTTCCAGAAGGATCCTTGTAATGCCAAATTTTTTCTGATTCATTGACTGCAGATTGTGCTACACCAGTGGAGAGATGCGCCACTGAATTTTCTGACCCCCCAGCAGGAGATGATTCAGATGGTACCGGAGACTGTGTACTCCTAACACCAGTTTCTAAACTTGAAATATTTTGTTTCTTCTCCCAGTGGTTTGTTTGCTGTGTTTCTCTGTCTCTTCCATGACCCCACGAATCATTTACTATCTCACCAGCTGCACTTGTATTTTCTGCTTTGTTGAAGAACCCTTTATTTGACATGTTCCTGCTTAACTCCCGATTCATACTGGAAAAATTCCTTGTCCCACTCCAGGAATCATTTGAAGAAGGTCCTGCTCTTCGTGGAGAGATTGGCTCCCTCCCCTTCCTTCCAAAGCCCGAACCTGTAGGTCTAATATAACTTTCTGCATGAATTGAAAGCTATGTTATTAATAATTTAATTAATGACAAAGATAGTTGTGCCAGAGAATTTAAGGTATAAAAATTTCACAAGAAGTTGAATGCGACCTTGTTTTTTATCATCTCCTTCACCTTCATCTTCCTCAGACTCATAACTTGGATCCATATTTGGATCCACATGTATTTCTAGAGTTTCCTCTAGTCTACGCTGGCGCTCCTCAGGTGTCTTCAGTAGCTGCAACTTCTCTACACACTCTCTAAGCGTGAAAAGGAAGTTAAGGATTACTTCATACCTATTCCTAGTCATCTTAGAGTAGCACATACAACAAAGAAAGAACATCTTTAATAATAAAAAGTAATTCAAGTTTTTATTTCCTAGAAATGAAGAAACTCATACGATTGTTTTACTTTAATACTGGTAAAACGTATTTGGGGCATCAACTTTTGGTGCAATTGCAAAGATGGCACCCCAAGCAAAATTGTGAACAAAAATGTACTAAACATTAAAAGATAAGGATATTCCTTCCTACGCCCTTTTTCACTAGCTCGATCACGAAGATGACTGAGTCTCACTATCTCCGTTTCTAACCACTGTATCAGAATAAAAATAAAGAAATAAATTAGTCATCAAAGAAAATCAAGAAAAATTAAAATAAAATTATATAACAACCAAGCTATAGGAAAGTACAGAGGACAAAGAAAAATATTTGATTTACATCTAGGAGATTAGGGGTTGAGAACATTAAAAGGAGACAGAATCCATATTGTCTCTAAAAAGAAAAGGACAAAACAATCCTGTTTTAAGAACAAATCTGCTTGAGCTTATTACGAAATTCGCTGGGGAGATGCCACTGGTTCTTGCTGATTTCCATGTTATAGTCGCCCCATGATAAAGAATTAGGTGCAGATACGTTAGGTCTTTGCTTTCTTCTTGAACACGGTAATGTTAAACACATACTGAGCCGCTCACAACTTCAAGGTTGGATTGAGCTTGTCTATTCTATATTTGGGTTGATCATGAACTACAACAATCAAGTACTTGCCTCATCTCGAGCTTAGGTATTTAAGCCACATGACCATATGTACATATATAAGGATCATGAGAAACCAAGGCTTATAAAAGGATCCACAGCTCAAGTTCAAGCTTGATTGGGTTAACGATGCTAGGCAAGCCAAATGAAGTCAAACTTGAGTTTTGGATTGACCTCCCCTCAAGGTGAACTCGACCTTGCTTGTTCAAGCTCAACTCGAACTCAAGCTGCCCTCAAGCGCTGCACCTCTACAGTTCACATATCCAGTCAAGTTGGAAAAAGAAAATAAGTTGGTTCACCTAGGCTTGTATGCAACCTTATACATCATGTTCCCCATCCCACATACTAAATTGAAATAAGTAATAACCAATAGATTCTCCTCTTTGTTGCTTCATTATGGGTGGTAGGGATAACAAAAGCCAAAATCAATTATACTTGGATAACATAACCTAGAACCTCTAATCAAACCCATTTTAGTAAGGACAGGGGAAGTAGGGTACCTGATTACCAAACCAGCTTAAGAGAACAGGAGGATTAGGGATGGGGACAGCAGCTATGCCAAGCAAGTTTACTCTTTACAAGGCAAGATCTAAAGTGTAGAACCAAACATGAAGAAAGAAGCCATCTTGGCCTTAAAAAATAAATAAATAAGAGAGAGAGAGAGAGAGAGAAAAAAAACTTGGTAGTAGTTCAGATTGCTTGCTAGTTCCCTAATTTTAAGTGTGTAAATACAATATTAAGTTTCTAGTACGATGACCACGTGATTTATAGTTTCATAATTAGAGTCTTGGTTCTTATGAGGATGGTCAGTAACCCTACATAAATATTTAGATTTTGTTACAGCTAAATGTTATAGAAGATTGAATATGTCTCTTGGAATAATGGAAGAAAAAAAAATTGCAAATTTGTGAGTGTACTTCTTTACTTCTTATTTTTATTTATCTTTTCCTTTTTCTTTTGCTAAGATACTTCCTTTTGGTTTTCTGTCTTTCTATCACTCATCTTCCACATGGATTACCATAACTTCTTGCAGCACCTTAGAGCCAAAATCCAACAATCAACATACATGGTAAAGCTCCACCACCATGTGTCAACCAATTAATAAACTTAAATTACAAAACAAAAAGATGCTTGTAACTTCACTCACACACTGTAAAGGTTCCTCGATATTCCCAAGTCTTCACCTATTTAAACTAAAAACCTAACATCCCAAATGCTTTTGAGAACCTTTCGACTCTCAAACACCTATTAAAACAACCCTGCAAATCCACAAATCCTCTACTTCCCAGAAAATTTCACCAACCAAATATCTTGAGCACCAACCGCTTTTGTCCCTTCAAAATATGTCTCAAACCTTAAATCATCCTGCAATCCCAAACGAATTCCCCTACAACCCAAGACCTATTTAGTAAGACTAAATGCACCATATAAGTGCATATGCTGGAAAAGACATTGATAGATACAAATCACTGTTGTTTTCCATGTAGAATTCCAATTGAAGTGGTTAAAGGATTGAAGAATTTACGAGGGATCTTATGTGGGAACGGAGAGAGGAGGGAAAGAACGAACACCTAGTGAGATAGGAGGTAGTGCATAGAGTAAGAAGGGTGGTTCAGTATTGGCAACTTAGTGAAAAGGATAAGGTATTACTTGGAAAGTAGATGTGGTGATCTATGGTGGTTAGGGGCACAAGCTGCTACCCTTGGCTTTGATTCATTTTATATTTGCTGCCAATCTATGATGGGAATAGGAAGTGTCAAGTTTTGGGAAGCACCCTCATCCATTTCTTTTACAAATTGTCAATCCTTCATAATGCATACAATAAACTCTTTTTTGTTGTTGTCATTTTTGCAGATTTAGGTTTTGGGCTGTACCTTTTATGAATGATTCTTATATTTTTTCTGGCCGATTGATAGAACTTTAGAGTTTTATTATATTGTATGCAGTGGATAAATTGTCCACAAGTCTTTTATTTCTTTCAAAATTTAAGGGCCCGTTTGATAACCATTTCAATTTTAGTTTTTAGTTTTCATTTTTTGTGCTAGAGTATAGAGGAAAAAGAGGGAGAATGTAAGTGAGAATGAGAGTGGAAATAGGATTGAGAGGGGAGGATGGGAGGGAGGAGTAACAAAAGTGAAAACTAAAACTAAAAACTGAAATCTATTTCAAATTGTTTTCACTTTCAAGTTTTTGTTTTCACTTTTGTTACTTCTCCCTCCCATCTTCCGGTCTCATCCTCACTCCCATTCTCACTCCTCCTCATTTTCCTCTATACTTTAGCACAAAAAATGAAAACTAAAAACTAAAAACTAAAATTGAAATGGTTATCAAACGGGCCCTAAATTTTTTACTAAATTTTGTTTCTTATCAGAAAATGAACCATAATTTTGCATTTAAAAGCTAGATATTTTTTTTCTTGTAAATAGCTATGATAAGAAAAATATTATTTCCTTCATCGTCATCGTTGTTATTGCATCATCATAGTCTGTTTTTCTTTCCTCCTCTGTGCAACAAAAGTTTCCTATGTGCACTCCAAAACCTTATCCTGACAATCAAAACCACAGATATCCCTAACGCCAATGCTGTAATATAAAGCTCAATTTCAAATGTACCAATCAACCTCAGATGCAACATAAAACATGTGCAAGCCCAATCGTACAGCCACACATGTAGATGCAAATGATATAAATTTATGTAAAAATAAATAAAAATAAAAATAAAAGAGGCAAAAAAACTACTTTGAGGTAAAAAAGGGCAAGAAATTTACATCTTTGACTCTGACTGCTTGGAGTGCCAATGCTTTCTCTTGAACATCACCCTACAAGCAACCACTTTCTCAGGACCACAAAAAACATTAAATAACAACACACGAAAAGAGCAATGGAACAGAGAAATACCACAGTTAGCCGGTTGATAAGTCCACATTTTATGCTCTGACGCAGTCGTTTGCATTCGTCCTAACAATGAAACAAAGAAACAATGACATATATCAAACAGAGTATCATTCAAATAAAAAGTTTTCAAACAAATAATTTATTTTCCAGCAATCTTCCTTATGCTGCACATAAAGCTGCAATTACTCTCAATAATGAGGGCAAAGCCAACAACGCCATTGGATGTGAGAATCAAGTTCATTTCCCTGGTATGTAACATATATTACCTAGTGGCAAGCATTATCTGGCTTTCTAATGTTATTTCTAATAAAGGCCATCCCCTTCAAAGCAAGGAGATATTCAAATCATGCCTCTTTTACACCCACATTTATGCTATTTTTTGACCATGTTTGGAATTGAAAAAACAGTTAGTTATGAAGATTGAAGCAACTCTCAGTCTCTCACTCCTGCCATTGAAAAGAGGGAAATGTTATATGCTAAATCACCTCAGTGAAGTCTTGGTTTGAGATGATGTCAATTGAAATGATCTCTGTCTTGTTTAAGTTTAATATCTCTAGCAAGATATCTGTCATCCTTTTACCAACTTTATATGGCTCAGCAGCTTTGCATGTACCTGTTGAGAAAATCATTTGAAAAATGAACTTTACCATTCTGAAAAGTTTAATGCCTTCTTTGCTCAGGCCAAAAAAACAAAGAAAGACAATTAACCAAATGATTACCTATAACTTGGACCAGCCTATACAAATCTTGCTTTTGACCACTACCAGAAATTCTAATTCTGACAAAAGAATGAGCAACCTTGTCCCCAAAGTTATCCAGATCATCAAGTAGATCTTCCACTAAATTACGCTTTAAGTAAATTAAATTAATGTTGTGTATATCAATGGCTGCAAAGTCATCAATATTAGACTGTGGTCCTCTCCCATCACCCTTTTTACGTGTTTTGCGTCTCCTGTCTTTACTGGATTTGCTGGTGTATCAGAGTTTCCATCAGCCTCCAACTGATTGCCTTCGGTATCAACAACACTCCCCTGAAGATCATCAGCCTGAGAATCCTCTTTTACAAGAAAGTGGGATTCCAGAAGTTTTAACATTTCAAAATGCCCAACACGTGGTTTCCCAAATAAATTTTGAAGCCTTATATCACAAATTATCTGACTTTTCCGGCGAGGGTCACGAAGTTTGTTCCTTTTTATATATTCTAGCAAAAGAGCCTGGACATCAAACTGAGACAGAGCAGACTTGTCACCATTTCTCATGTGCATAACAAACTCCAAGAGTTCCTTTGATCCCCACCCTGTACTGTCATCTGCAGATGGGCCTCCAGAGCCAGTTGCTGTAGCTAGACTTGATGAATCCTTCCCCTTTCCACGGGTTCTCAATCGTTTCTTGGCCTTTCTTTTTTTAGAGTTGGCCAAATCCAAATTCTCAGAATTGTCTGACTCAGACCCTTCATCATTATTAACATCATAAGGTTCATCATATGACTCCTGTTTATGTCCAGTTGCTCCTTTCCATGGATTCTTGGCCTGAGCAAGTTCATCAACCGTTAGAGATAACCTCTCTTTTAAGTCTATCCAATAATCCTTGAAGAGGTACTCCCAGCTGGTTTTATCATCAAAATCAACTTCATTCTGCACAAGCACAACAAAAATAAGTACAAGCTGAATGCCACTGCAAGCATTTAATTTAGAAAATGTGAACCAGACTTGTAAAATCGCACTACAGAGTTAAAGCAAAACAAAAAGTCAAAAGAACTAAAAAGATAAACATGGAATTAATTCTTAACAATGGAAGTACTTATTAAGGACAGAAATTTTAAAGGTAGAAAATTCCTGCAATGTTTCCAAAGGTTCTATCTGATGATAAGACAACTGCAAAGAAAAAAAAACCGGCTAACAGATTTTTAAGGATGTAACAAAAAAGAATTGCGTGACACATTAATTTCACACGCTAAAATACTTTGAAGTAAGATATATCTTTCACCCTAATAATGACAATGCTCGCAAAAGGAAAATATAAAAGCGGTGAGAGAAAAACAGAAGACAAAGAGAAAGAAGGTATCATACCGTGTCCTTGTTTCCTTGCTCATTCTTTTCAATCAACATGACAGTTTTCATGCATGTCTCACAGAAGCCTTTGTTTCCTCGAACACATAAGAAGAGAGCATCTTTGGTACACCCCTTGCACAAGGAAAAAGTACATGTATAACACATGTAGTGGGCATTCTTCTCACAGTTGCTGCAAAGGTGCCAACCTAATATACATTTGCATTAGATACCGGCCAGCAACCCAAAAACACTAAAACCATTTTAAAAAATAAGAATTTTTATAAATGATGAGAAATGATGAAACTAAGTCACAAATGCAAAAGAATTGGAGCTGATAAGATGAAATCAAAAGGCAATCATAACGCCTGCAATCTCACTCAAAAAAGACAATGCCCACTACATTCAGTAAAACTAGATGACAAATCACAAACGGAGTGCAAAAAGACAGAACTTCCAGGAATAAGGCCAGAGTCTGAACTACTGTAAATGCAGCATAACATAAACCCAAATCCTTCCAAAACCAAACAGATTGACCAATGTTGCCTAGAGCATGGTTCGCCCTGGTACTTGGTAGGAGTCTGGTACTCATTATGTTACTTTAACTTTAACTGTACACAATGCAGTAGGGGTAAGCTTAGTTCGCATATCTGGTCATGGGAACACATTAGAATTTCTTATTAAGATTGCTTTGGTACTATTAAGTATATATTTAACCACAGTGATAGATTTACAATCAACTTGTAAAAATATATAATCCTCAGAATCAGATTTAAAAACTATGTGACCAATAAAATGGATAGTGTGTGTGTGTAACAAAATGGAAATGCTCTCTTGCCAGACTGTGAATCTGGGTCACACATTAGGTTGATTCTTTCCTGAATGTATGATCTAGATAGATGCAACATATGACAACATAAGCACCGGCCTAGAAACATAAATCTGGCAAGAGAACATTACCCTGGAATCGAATATATGTATAAACCTTTTGTGTTCTTTTCTTAAATAAAGCATAACTTTTTGTTTCATTTAATCCTTCATAAAAAATTAATCCAAGTATTATGGTTTCTCATGGATGAAAAAAAAAGAAAAGAAAAAAAGAGCGAGAGAGAACAGAATAAAACTAGGGACGCTAGTTTTAGTGATCTGGAGTTTGGTGTACCATGTTTTGGGTCATGGTAAGTAGGGGGTGTAGCAATCATGTAACACTTAGATTGACAATATAGCATATATAAATTCAATGCCACTATCTTGATTATCTATAAGAATATAGAAATCATCTAAAATGCACAACACAAATTTTTCTAAAATGTAACATCTTAAGTAGGTATAAGATTCAAAATTTGACAAAGTAGGACTTGATTTTCATGCTTTAATAAAGATATATCTCCTAACTCTTGAATTTGATACATCATAAAGTGTAGCCCTATGAGTTCCACAGATTTGATTTACGCTGCTTAAGTCCTCCTTACTTAAGCAGCATTCCATATTATAAAGTAATCTGACACAACAAAGAACAATTCTGGGACGATAACTACACCAATAGCATGAAACTTTGGTCCAAACTTTCCATTGTTTCCCTAAAATACTGGAAGTATGCAAAAAGAAACTTACTGGAAGTATGGAAAAACCAAAATTTAAACAACAGTATCAATTTTTCAGACCTTGCCAACAACTGGTATTGCTTTTTCTTCTGTAATTTAAACAAATTTCAAAGACAAAAACATTCAATTTTTTACAACATGAAAACACTAACCCAATCATCACTAAAACTAACGATTTACTTATCCAGCTAGGGTTTTAAGGTACAAAAACCACATGCCAAACACATAAATAATCACCAAAAATCAAACATCTGAAAGACACTGAATGAGTAAACAAAGGAGTATTAGATAAAAAGATGAGAATTTGGCAAAAAGTAAGAGAAAGTTACCGCAATTCCATCGACCCTTAGCCCGAAAGAAAGCCTCATCACGATTAACACATGAAGGATGGTATGCTTTAGGACATCCCCTGAAAACCACCAATTAAATCAATATCATTCAATCAACTAATCACAGAAGTAACATTAAAAGAAGCACAAACAGTGAGCAGAGTTTAACTGACCTGCGATCACAAAGTACAAGCTCACCCCCATCAAAGCAAATGAAACAGACATCCTCTTCCATCTTCTTCTTTGAGAGGAGTTTACTCGTCGCCTTAGAACTCTTCCCACGCTTCCTCTTCCCGCCACTGCCGGCCCTATTCGTTTCCTCATCCTCCTCCTCCTCCTCTACTTCCATCCCTTCTGCTTCTTCCTCTGCTGCCTCTGTCTCCTCTGCCTCAGTTGTCTCCTCCATTGCATCATCAGCCATATCCACCTCCTCCACCATGTCGGTCTCAGCCACCACGTCCGTCACATTTGCCTCATCATCTCCCTCCACCTCTTCCTCAGTCTTCTCACCCTCTGCCTCAGCCTGCTCTCCCACCGCTTGGACCTTCTCAGCCTCTGCTTCGGCCTCCTCCGCTTCCACTTCGGCCTCCTCCGCTTCCACTTCGGCCGTCTTTTCCTCTGCTTGGTCCTTCCATGAAATGACAGTCTCCTCAGCCACTTCAGCCACATTAGACTTCTCAGCAGCCTCCTTTGCCGAGTGAGCTACAACACCTTCCTCGGACAACACCTTCTCCGTCTCCAATCCCCTTTCATCCTTTTCATCCACGGCCCCAACTTCAGTTTCCTCTGTCACCTGACCTTCGGCGACACTCAGCTCCTCCACAATCTCGGTATCCTCTGTCCAATGACCTTCAGCGACATTCAGCTCCTCCACAATCTCAGTATCCTCTGTCCCATGACCTTCTGAGGCATTCAGCTCCTCCACAATCTCAGTATCCTCTGTCCCATGACCTTCTGCGACATTCAGCTCCTCCACAATCTCAGTATCCTCTGTCCCATGACCTTCTGCGACATTCAGCTCCTCCACAATCTCAGTATCCTCTGTTGGAACCGCATCAGATTCCCCCTCAACACCGAGCCCGAAGCCCTCGGTTTCGGGCTTGAGCTCGGGCTCGGGTAAAGACTCCGACATGCATTGGGGCTCGGTTCTCCGGAGCTCCTCCTGTGTTTCAGGAGACAGTACAGCGTCATTTTGAACCGGAACCGAAGGCTCGTTCACCTTCAAAACATCTTCTTCTTCGGCTTCCATTTGAATATACTAAATTCGGAAATCGGAGATTGAAAACCCTAAAATCGACAGAGCTAGGGTTAGGGTTTTAAGGTTCCGGTTCCCTTCCCTGGTAGGATGATGTACGTTTTATCGTTAAACACTAAAAAGATTTTGTATTAAAATTAACTGAGAGTGGTAGAGAAGGAGAGGCCAACCGTAAGCAAGAAGGGGTTTCCCGTGCCGCGCGGTCGAGTCCGCTCACTTATATGTAGTCACTGTATCCGCTCACCGTTGGATCTAATCCAACGGATGAAAAGAAATCCAATCTTACAGTAGAAACGGGTAAAATAAAACCCGTATTTCTAACGAACACCCGACCCGACTAAACCTTAAACAAAAGTTACGTATTCTCTCCTCTCCTTCTCTAACCTGTGAAACAACTTCCTCTTCTTCCACACCAAGCCCAGCATGGATGATCGCCGAGATCCAATCCCTCCCTCTCACATTCGCCTTTCTCTCTCTCTTTCTTTCTCAAATCTTGAGACCCATCAAGAAAAAGATTATTCGCTCAAAGAATCTACAGTCGCAACCTTTAATCTGCTACCTCCTCAATTTCATCCTGGTGTGTCTTGGTTGGTAGCCTAGAGAGGTAAATATGCACTTTTTTTTTCTTTTTTTTTTCTAAATCAGCGAAATTGGTGTACTGAAACCTGGGATTGTTAATGCAAATTGGGGAAAACCGATTTAATTGTAGCTTGGAAGTGAATCATCTAAGGAGAAAGGGTTTCTGTACTCGGTTTTCTTTTTTGCTTTGTATCCACGGCATAATTACTTTTTGTTATTTTTAGGCTTTCATTTTGAGTTTTAGGTTATAATATCTGCCTGTGATTTATGCTGGTTTTCAGTTTTCTAGTTTCTAGTGAGACACACCATTTGCAGAGAAGGAGAGGATCATATATTAATTCTGCACTAGCTGATGATTTTGTTTAATTTTCAGTTTGGCTGCTGCATTTTTTATTGATGAAGAAAATGAAATAGTGAATAGGTAAATGAAGACTAGTTCCAAGTTGATTGGCATGGTCTAGTCACTTAGAAATGGATTCAAGTGGGGAAATTTATAATTGGATCCTTTGTTTTTATCATAAAAAAAACTCTCCCAGTAGAGTAGTAAGATTGAATTACGCTTGAATTTACGGTCAACATAAATGAAAGTTTTTCGCATTAGAGCGTTTTTGTTTTATTTAATTTGGCCACATTGATGAAGGGATTCGTTTTGCATCGGAATTTTGTTTTTGTTGCTTCCAAAACCACACTACTGTTTGCCATAATTTCCCACTTTCAAGCAACAGAGTTTTGGTGCTTTTCCCCCCAAATTCTTTCATGCTACTAATTGATCATTTTCGTACAGTATCCAACAATGGTAGCCGAAAACAATTTCTGTAAGCAGCAGTTTATCTGTTTGCATTTAGTAATTTGTTTATGTATTTCAGTTCAGGCCATATATTATGAACTGATTCTGTGTGTCTCTCCTTTTGTTCAATTAGGATTTGTTTCTTCAGCAAAAATGGTAACTAAAATGGTGGATCTGCGATCCGACACGGTCACTAAACCTAGTGAGTGAAACAATGCAGGCCGCAATGGCAGCTGCCGAAGTTCATGATGATGTCAAAAGGTATGCCTGTCAAAAGTTATTGGTGCTCCTGTCGGATCTGTCCTTGTTGGTTCCAAATGCTTTATTACTAAGATACTGTTGAGAATTCCTCTCGTAAAGATCAACAACACATCTTTTCTCTTTTTTTATCGAAATTTGATTTGTTGTTGCTTTTGCTTCTTAGCCTAGAAGGCTCAGGAAAACCTTAGGAGGTGGAATGAGACAGGTTGCTATCCTTTGTGCTGCTGCTTTGGTCGCTTTACATGAGAATGTTACAAACCTCGACACCGATCACAAGAGAGCTAAGATTTTAGCAGGTATATTCTCAGTCTACTTGATTTTGTATACCAAACTTGTTTGGAGGACAGTCGTCGCCTTCTCTTCGCAAGCTCTATTCATGGATTTCCTTATATTTCCTTTTGATAAATTCAGAGGGACTGAATTAAATCAAAGAAATCGTTGAGACCAACATTGTGAATATTATCTGCTCAAATTTAGTCTTAGCCGGCTCTGAATTTATTTCTACCATTTACTTTTATCGTTCTTTCAGGGAAACTTAATATACATCATCACATTCACATGTTTGCATATCTGCAATTGCTCTCTCTCTCTCTCTCTCTCTCTCTTGTTGCCCAAATCTATGCTTCTTTTCTATGTAAATGTTGCAGCGAGCTCTGACCGGAGGCCATGATGAAAATGGAAACTATACATGGGACAACACAAGCTCCACCCTTCTCTCTGTGTCTCCAGCATGATTTCATCTACCTTTGAAAATGCGATTATTCAATCTTTGCCAAACTTGTAAACTTCTTTGCTAGTTTCATTTGTAAGATATTATGGTGGCAGAATTTAATGTGTTTTATTTTATTTTTTCATGTATATAACATGACAATCAAGGACTTTCACCTATCCTGCTTATCAATATTTGACTTTCTCTATTAAAACATCTGACTTATAATAATGGGAATAATCCTTAATGTCTCTCTATTGAATCCATGATGAACGCTCTATCGATAGTGCCTATATGGAGGTGCTTTGCCCAGCACATACATAACACATAAACAGTGCCTCTATAGTGTCTTAGCAGCTGCCATTATCTTAATCTCTAAAGCTTAAAAATATAATTTCTATGTAAAAAATATTCAAATAAGTTCGCAAACTCAAGTTTGTTTATATACTGTTAAGTTGTATGTCATTACACTTCTTCGCTACAACTCTTCCTCCAATGATTTCTTAAAATTTCCCAAAATCAAATTTCGATTCTCACGCTTCATCGTTGAAGCAAATGACGGTAGGGCGGTACCATGAATAGTTGGATGGGCAAGGTTCAAAAAATGAGACAATTATCTTAACATCTATCAATACAAGAGATTTTGGCCAAGCTACAATAGAACCAACATCATCGTTGACAGTTAAGATATCATCTCTCACAAGGATTAGATTCAACTTCAATTGATATGGTAAAGGCAACTATGTGATCCATTGAGTCTAAAGCCAACTTGCATTCCTTCACACAAACATTAAATACAAAACCATGCAAATTAATTTATACCAAGACAAACCGATAGAAAGCATTTTTTTTTAAACCTATAGATATTAATTTATAGGGATTTTTGTAGAAATGTTACCTGAACTTATACATCAGTTTTAATTTGTCACCTTAAAGAAAAATTTAAGCAAAATGTCACCTTAAGTTTTCAAAATCCATGATTTATCACCTGACTTTAACATCAGCCAATTTTCCATCCATTTTGAAGGGTATTTTAGTCTTTTCAATATGTAAACCCTCTTTTTTAATTAATTAGCTATGTAAACCTTCTTGCTTGGAGAGACTAAAATACCCTTTAAAATGGATGGAAAATTGGATGATATTAAAGTCATGTAACAAATCATGAATTTTGAAAACTTAAGGTGACATTTTGCTTAAATTTTTTTTTAAGGTGACATATTGAAACTGACGTATAAGTTCAGGTGATATTTCTACAAATATCCTTAATTTATACCTTTGGAATCCTTATCCTTCCATTCGTATTGTATTACTGGGACCTGACGACCACTATCTTAGTGTAAGATCCTTAACAAGCAGCATAGGCCATGACATGGTTTTGGTGTTTTGCACCATGCCATGCCAAGACAAGCGAAATGTGCAGTGGTGGTGCACGTTGAAAGCAAGATAAGGTTGGAGGAAAATATCGAATCTGGTAGCAAGGCCATCGGATTCTCTCGGCAGTGCATGGCAAGCAAATGAGCGCAGCACCTGTCGAGCAGCGCATGTCCAGCAGGTGAGCAGCGCATGTCCAGCAGATGCATGCAGCGTAGCATGTGCACAGGCCTTGCACCAGACTTGGCAGGTGCAGGCAGACGTGCTGAGCAGGTACTCTGACGTGGCCCTAGCAGTTTTTAGCGGTTTCAAGGATGGTGGAACGTGGTTGGGACAAAAGAGCACGAAGAATCTGTTGTAACAGTTAACATGGTGGTTAAGGCGGAAATAGAAGGGCAAAATGGTCCCCGAAATAGATTCCGACATCCCTCTTGCAGTTGTTTGAAACTGTGCTGGGGTTGAAATTCAAAATGTGGATAAGTGTTGGAGAGGTTGAAGGCGGTTTACGAGGATGTGACTGCATGCTTCAAGTAATGGGAAAATTTTCTAGGAGTGAAAATCGGCCTCAGAGCATAGTGGGCTGCTGGGGAGGCGCTAAGAGGGGGCTCGACAGTTTTGTGGGAAAACTGAATGACTAGGTAGCGGACCTAGGGGCTGCCAGCAATGCCTAGTAGATGGGGATGTCATCTACACGTTTTACGCTTATAAATAGACCTTGAGAAGGTTGAGTTGAGATACAAAGTTGTGAGAATTCGTATTCTTAAAAGTTTATTTAGGAAGGTTAAACATTTTATTTTTAAAGTAATTACTATGGTAAGTGTTAAATTATAATAATTATTGTACTTTTATAATAAATTATATACAAATTTATAAATAAACCCAATCCTAGACATGTATTTATAAAAAAACCCAAGCACTATTTAAACATAGAAACACACTCAAAATCAACCCCAAAATCAACAATTGTATATTTTTTGGGTGTGTTTATAAATGAGTTTTGAGTGTGTGTAATGATGGGTTTTGGGTGTGTTTATAAAGTGTTTTGGGTGCTGGGTTTTTTTATAATTTTAGCCCCCATTTTGGGTGTTTTAGTGAAACTCCCTAAATTATAGTATTATAATCATTTTATGGAAGTCTATGTTTTATTTAATTGCTTCACCTAGTGCATGTTCATTATTTTTAATTAAATGGTTTTGATGATTTCCTTAATATTTTCTTTTAAATATTAAAATTAGTTAATGGTAGTAAGATTGTTTTGTGCATGGCTATCTACTTGGAATATTTCATGCATGGCTATGTAATTGTGGAGTTATCTTATATGCTCCGCGTGGTTAGAATGTGTCAATCAACTATGCAAATTACTTGCATGGTAGCCAAATTGGTTTACTAGTATTATTTACTTGGAAACTAATGAGATATCAATGAAATAAATGGTTGTGTTATTTAACCCATCAATACGTGTCCTCATGATATTTCTTCTTATCCTTCTCTGACTTGGAGTGAAAGAAAAGCTACTTGGGCTTTAAGAAATAAGGAGTTGATCTTTAAACATTGAAGTTATCTCATAAACATAGCTACCACCCTTGGAGTCCTATAAATACAACATTTGTTTCTTCAAATCCCATTTCCCTCTTCAGAAAAGCGTAGAGGCAATAGAACGAAGAAATAAAACAGAAAGCAAGAGAGAAAAAGAGGTAGAAAGAAGTAGAGCTGTTAACAAAAGAGTAGGAGACTAAGTTTGTGGATGCGGTGGAAAATTGGGAAAATACCTTACATTTCTAGCAAAAGCTTTGGTGTCAAGATAGGGGGTTTCTTGAGGGCCTTTTGCAGAGATTAATTTAATTAAATTTCGTATGCATTATATTATGCATGGTATTACAGTTTGGTTGACGTTCCTTGTTATTGGGTGTTTACGTATTCTTAACTATTTGAACAATGTTGGCATAATTATATATACATTTGTGATGTTTTAAATGGTTGCATTGTTGGGAGATATATAGGATATGTGAAAGGCATAATTATATCATGTCATGGAAATTGGCTAGAATTGTTGGGTTGAGAAAATAATTATGGAAAAGAAGGTAATGGAAATGATCTTTTGTGTAGTTGGGTCTAACTCTTGGCAGGTACCAGATCTCAGGGATCCCACAGTGCACATGGTTTTTATTGGGTGATACGGGACTGGCAACAGGGAGTTAGACAAGATGACTAACAAAAGAGGATTTATGGGATGATTGAGATGTGGGTTAGTTCATATAAATGGGCATTCGGGACCAAGTGGTATAAGCATGGTATGAGACGAGCATGTCTACTTGTCTAGTTATATGAATTAACGGGAGTAGATGAAGAGCATTCATGCATTATTATTAATAATGAAATATTTGGTTGTGTGATTGTTTTCACTTAATTTAGTTATATCAATTTACCTTGAAAAAGTTTATGTCCCTACTGAGCTGTGGTTTAGCTCACCCCTAACAGATTTTGCAGGCACTAAACCTGAAATCTAGGATTTGTGATGATTGTGGCATGTCTATAAGGTGTATTGTGTACATAGCTTGTGGTTGAATAATGAGCTACCCTTTTAAGTGAACTTTTGAGTAGTTCTCACTTGTAAAATAAATGTAAAAATGTATGATTACTTGTCAAATAAATGTAAAAATGTAAGATTTCGAATGTTGTCGTGCCACTGAATATTCTATGTGAAATATTTATTTACATGTTCTTCACATTTTAGTTATAGCTTTTATTAAATTCTATAATTAAGGTGTGAATAACGTCTTAATCCAAGATTATGTAAACCTGTGGATTGGGGCGTGACACAAGTGATGTGGTAGTCTAACAAAAGTAAGAATCTTGTAATCCTTGTTATTGAGAGAAACAAATAGAAGGCTGGGAACCCGTATATTGTGTGTGATTTTTCATGTTTAAACAAGTCTTGCTTAGGTGTGTTGGCATTCACTTGTTCCGCTGCGTGAAATCTGAAGCCTCATAAGTTGGAGGTGCGAGAAGGCTGACTTATGAGGAGTCTAAGTGCAAGGGTCAAAAAATTTAAAGCGTTTCTCACCCCTATTACAGTTGGTATCAGAGCGTGCTTCAGTCATGTTTCTAGTTGAGTTCGAGTGCGTATTGTCCCTAGGGATCTATGGAAGAGTGGCATTTTCAAGCGAAGAACAGTCTTGGAATTGCAAAGCGAGAAATGAATGGCTGGAGGTAGTGATTCCTTGAAAGAGAGAGTAATAATGTTGGTGAGTAGAGCGCCAAAGAGCTGGAGAATTTCTTGTGGGATATGGAGCAGTATTTCCAAGCTACCAAGGTTCCGAATGCCTAGAGGATGTCCATCAAGAGCATGTACTTGGCTGGGGATTCTTAGTTCTGGTGGATTATTTGTGTGCAAGAAGTGATGAGTGGGGGCAGACCCATGATTGATAAGTGGGTTGTACTGAATAAGGAATTGAGAGCTCAGTTCCTTCTATGCAATGTTGCATGGTTAGTAAGGGAAGCCTTGAAGAATTTGAAGCAAGTTGGTTCAGTGATGGACTACGTGAAGGCTTTTTGTTCTTTGATGCTTGATGAGTCCAATATGTCAAAGGAAGACAAACTGTTTAACTTCCTCATGAAATTTGCAGCCCTGGGCACTATCGGAATTAAGAAGACATAACGTGAGAAGCCTCAATTCTGCCATTGCTGCAGCTGAGAGATATATGGACTACCGAGCAACAGTCATTTCTAGTAAGAAGAAGAAGTAAGGTGGGAAGAAGCATTCAAACAACAGGACAGTCGAGAAAAGGAAAGAGATTGGGATTGCTTCAGATGGAGCCAAGGGCAAGAAGCACAATGACAAGAAGAAGTTTTCAGGTTGCTTTCTTTGCCAAGGTGCCTACCGTGTGAAGGATTGTCCAAGGAGAAAGAACTTGAATGCAATCGTGACTGAAAGAGAGGGAGGTGCTGAAGAGGGCAGCAATCTTCAGGTGAGTCTAATGGTGTTATTGAATTCACTAAGAGTAATCCCACCAGAAGATCTATTGGGAGAGGATGCAATTGAGCAACCGGTGTTGGAGGTGATTGAGGTGTTCATAAATGTGTTTGTTATGGAACCCTCAGAGATTTTCATTGATTATTCTTTGGTGCACAAAGGTATGCTTATAGAGGCAATTGAAAATATGGAGCTGAATTAGGATCTAAATTGTGGGCTAGAAGAGATGCAGTATGAGACGTTGGCGCATTGCCTTGACACTTGAAGAATTTATTTGTTATATCAGAAGTTTATGGCAAGGACTTGTGTGCTACACAGCCACATGTACAGCATAGGTACCATTCGAGATGACTTTAGTATTTATATAGATGTGCTAGAGGAGTTCGATTTCAAGTTGGTCTATATTTCCATGAGGCATAGGGACTTCGAGGAGCGATTTGATGAGGTGATGTAAAATGAGGCCCAATTTGTGTCTTCGGCTTCGGACCTTTTTAAAACTGAGTCAGAAGATGAGTCGTGAGTGAGCTTAGCAATCGATAGCATCATAATGGATGCTATGCTTAGAAGAAATAGTGAAAACCCCGAGGCTAATGAGGAGCCACAATGGGTAGATGAGCTTATGGTGGAGTCTAAGGACAAAATTATTAAGGTCTCAAGTGATGATGAAGAGGAGTCTATGGTAGAGTCCAAGATGGAGGTGATCTTAATTGAGTTAAGTGATGAAAGGTCTATGGAGGAGACCAATGGAGAAGTGGTTCAAGAGGAGCCAAGAGATGTTCAAATGAGTGAAGGTGCCAGGGAGTTAAGTCAACGAGAGCGTCGTACTCTTGTGGTGTGGGTGGTTTGTAAGACCCTTAGCAAGCTGCATAGGCCATGGCATGATTTTGGTGCATATGCAGTGCACGATGAGCAGGCGGCAACGCATGTTGAGCAGATGCGTGCAGCATAGCGTGTGGATAAGCCTTGCACCAGACTTGGCATGTGTGGGCAAATGTGTTGGGCAGGTACTTTGACGTGGCCCGAGCAGTTTTTAGCTGTTTCAACGATGTTGGAACGTGGTTGGGATGCTAGAGTATGAAATTCAAAACATGGATATGTGTTGGAATGGTTGAAGGCGATTTATAATGATGGGATGCTGGGGAGGCGCTGTGTGATTGTGTATGATTTTTCTTGTTTAGACAAGTCTTGCTTGGGTGTGTCAGCATTAACTTGTTTCGTTGCTTGAAAACAGAACCCTCACAAGTTGGTGGTGCGAGAAGACTGACTTAGGAGGAGTCTAAGTGCCGAGCAAGGGTCGACAAATTAAATGTGTTTTTCACTCCTGTTACACTTAGCATGATGAGTAAAAGCTTAATTAAATTAAATGTGGCTGTTTTTTTTTGTTGGTTAAATTAAATGTGCTCGCTTTATTTCTTATTGATAACCACAGCACGTACTGACATAATGAAGATATTCCAAAGTTTCAATTACAATGGAAAAAAAAATTGTTGATTCAACATCAGCCGTCAAAGGGTGATTTGAACTATTTGAAATTAAAAATATATATATATATATATATTCTTGGCAAACACATACATTTTTCTCCATAGTCGGGTTGCAAATTAATCTCTTGACCCTCATTTTCAACAGATCTAAACGAGCTGAAACCCCATATATATTCTTTCTATAAATCTCCAAACTGTTGGTTTTAGATCTTAGGAATGGCATCAGCATCCGACGACACCGATCGGTTCTTAAAACCACCTCCATCAGTCAATTTGCTAATGCAAGTGGTTCATGATCAGTAATTTCTCCGACAATTTTACAGTTTTTTGGTATAAATTTCCACCCTCAATAACACCTATCTCGCCGTCCACACGTCGCCAGGGTCCATGTGTCTTAGGGAGTGACCGAAATACTGATGTCATGCGAGGCTCATTTGTATAGGTCATAAAGCTCTGTTTTTGCACCAATACATTGATTTTTATACAAATAGGTGGTTATTAGGATTATTACACCCTTTTATCTAATGGGGTACCAAGGAAGAAAATATTAAAGGGTAAAAGAGTCATTGTCTTTCTTATACAAAGGTAACTAACTAGCCCTATTCCTAGCTCTAGCCCTAAACCTAGCCCTAGAGATAGAGCTGCTAGCTAGCTAGAGTTATTGTTGATATGCTTCGATAATAAAGACAACGTTTTCTCAAACTGGGAAGAAGAGGAAAACCCTGGCTAATCTCATCCCCTTTTTTCTTCAGTGTTGCCACTTTTTTTAATATTTATTTTGTAATGTTTGCTAGTCACTAGAAATACATTTCTTTTTCATGTAGAAGTTCCGTCTCCAGCAGATAATCTCCTCCCTCCCTCCCTTGTTCATGTAGGAATTCATGTAGGAGAGGACCTTGGCAAATGAATGCATTTTTCTCCATATTCGGGTTGCAAATCAGTCTCTTGACCCCTATTTTCAAGAGATCTAAACGTGTTGAAACACCATATATATTCTTTCTATCAATCTTCAAACCGCTAGTTTTGGATCTTAGGAACTGCATCGGCATCCGACGACACCGATTAGTTCTTAAAACCGCCCCCATCGGTCGATTTGTTGATGAGAGCGGTTAATGGGCGGTAATTTCTGCGTTGGTTTTACAAATTTTCAGTATAAATTTCAGCTCCTAATAACACCTATCTCGCCGTCTACATGTCGCCAGAGTCCATGCGTCTTGGGGAGTGGCCGACATACTGATGTCATGCGAGGCTCAATTGCAGAGGTCATAAAGCTTTGTTTTTGCACCAATACATTGATCTTTATAAAAATAGGCGGTTATTAGAATTATGACACCCTTTTATCTAATGGGATACCAAGGAAGAAAATATTAAAGGGTAAAAGAGTCATTGTCTATCTTATACAAAAGTAATTAACTAGCCCTATTCCTAGCTCTAGCCCTAAACCTAGCCCCAGAGATAGAGTTGCTAGCTAGCTAGAGTTATTGTTGACATGCTTCGATAATAAAAATGACGTTTTCTCGAATTGGGAGGAAAAGGAAAACTCTGGTTAATCTCATCCCCTATTTTCTTCAATTTTGCCACTTCTTTTAATATTTATTTTGTAATGCTTGCTAGTCACTAAAAATACATTTCTTTTTCATGTAGAAGTTCCGCATCCAACAAATAATCTCTTTCCTCCCTCCCTTGTTCATATAAGAGAGGACCTTGTTCCACCTCCAGTTGGTCACTCATTGTCTTTTAGATTTTCAACTTGCTGATTCTCTCTTTCCTTACTTTTTATTTGCCTTATTAGTTTATTATGCAATGATTAAAAAGTGACATTTTTTACAATCGGTTCTCTTCTCCGATTTTGACAAATTCGAGGACCTAGAGGCAAACGCGTACATTTTTCTCCATATTTGGGTTGCAAATAAGTCTCTTAACTCCCATTTTCAAGAGATATAACCGAGCTGAAACCTCATCTATATTCTTTCTATCAATCTCCAACAATGTACCAATGATACTTTCAGAAACATTTTTCTCAATATGCATAACATCGAGAGCATGCCTCATAAGAAGATACCTCCAATACTCGCGATCGAAGAATCTTGACATCTTCCTCCAAAAAACTTTAGTACCATCATTCTCACCTCCACTTGCACCCTTTTTTGAACACCATTTGTAATGAATACCTTCAACAATGTCCCATTAAAGGCTTTGAAGGTAGCCCATGTTTCGGTTTCCAATTAAATGCAACCTTTTACAAACTAATTTACTTAACCGTTGATATTTTCATCTTCCATAAGTGCGATCTATTGGGATCTAATTAGCTAGGTCATGGGTGATTTTGAACTCTTTCTTTATCGACTGTGAATTAAAACTCCATTTTAATTCTTCCTTTCATGAGGACCCAATTACAGAATGTCCTTAGGGCTCTTGGCTATATGATTCAATACGAGCTTAATTAGGAGAACCCATTTAGTTGGAATTGCAACGCAATTTGATCCTTCTCTATTTCCTAATATTCTTGATCTCATTAATAGGCTACTGAATTCATATCAAATCTCTAACATGATCACTCTTGGCTATATGATTCAATATGAACTTAATTAAAAGACTCTTTCTTAATTGAGCTCTGACTTCGGCCGGAGATTCCCAAATGATATCTCAGAACATTCTCTCCCTCTTACTAGAAGTCAAGATCCCTTGTCGTATACTCACTTGCCTTTATGGACTTGTTGAAGATCCCAACGTTACCTCGAACCGAGCCTAGGGATGAGCTCTACATTATGATACAGTCAAAGATCGACTCCGCATCCATAAGGCAACCATGATGCCTCAAGTCTAAGGATTAACCTTGCGGTATTGCAACCGATGAAATCTTATTTGACATGTAAGTAGAACTTCCACACAAGATTTATAATTTGATCGCTCTTCAGTGAACTCATTCTCAAGTGAGCACCTACACACTTATCTTAGTGTCCATACACCAATGACTGAAGACCACCCTCCAAGTTGAGCAGATATAGTGCGTATCGAGCTTTGCAGTTCGTCAATGCCCAGTTGAATGATCCTATGACCGGGAAGTTTTTGGTTTGAGTTACAAGGAAAGGTTTTTTCGCATCTAACATCTTTAGATCACTTTCCTTATCTTATGGATTTATGGACTTGTAAAATATGTTAATGGTCACATCTGGACCTTTATTTGAATTGACATACTTGCCCTTAAGTGTTAACCTAAATGGTTAGTTTAAATGAAGTTTTCCATAAAAGATTTCATTTAATGATTGGCTTTCAGAGCATACTTCTAACGATCTCCTACTTCCATTCAAAGTCAATTGCCTACTTCTTCAATAACCATCTACCCTAGATGTTCATTAAATCTAAGCCGATGTCATATACACAGTATGTGATATACATAAGCATATCTAAGAGTCACGTTATCCTCTCAAACATTTGATTATTTTAATCACATGTTTTACTTATCTTAGTGTGTGTTTGGAGCTTTGATGAGACCTCTTGTTTCCTTGCTCGAGCTATTGCCCCAATTGATCGCCATTGTATCAATGTATATCAATGACGTATTATGGTTGAAACAATTTCTAATGAAATTATTTTCTTATCCAAACATATGAAGCTTCCAATTCAGCAACGTAAACATTATTTACGAAAACTTGTTGAAATAACATACCCATACGTTGTTTAGGAAATCACATTCATTGTCCAAAGCGAAAAATGTTTATTCACTTAAATAGATTTTGGTCACAGTTGCACTTGTCAATACTTTAAGCGACTATTAGCTTAGTTGTCCATTCATGAGACAGTTCCTATCCATGATGTCCCTACATCATCCTAAAGCACGTCATTTCTCCTTTTAGGCATAATGAGACATTCTTGATAATCTAATACTATCAAATCTTTCATTCGACTAGTATTCTCATGTGTCATATACATCACACATGGCCTCTCAATTTAAGGGATCCGAGCAAACTTGCTTTCACTCTATTTTTAAGTTTCACTTTTCAAGAAAACTATATTCTTTTTTAGAGTTTTGTATGAATGTCATGTCATATGATAACTCGGAATTCCCATATTTATCACCATTAATTTCTATCCCTTATGTGAAAACTCCCACTCTTAATTTAGAAGATAATAATCATATTAACTCTTTACAAGATAAGCGAAGGTACATCAATAAGGTACACTCAAGTACGTGCATGATTGTACTCCCACTGATTGCATACATATATTAGCTTCACTCATATTTGCCCCAAAACTTCATGGAGATTCTCTCATATTCATGTTACTTTCATAGCATGCATCTAACGAGTTGGGGTTGGACTTGGTATCTTTGCTCTTAAGCACATTTTGCAAGTTTGGTTAATTTTCTTGAAGTGATGAATGCTTGTATATTTGTAGATTTGCAAGCCTTGTTGATAAGCATAAGAAAAGAGAATGCAATTACACAAAAATCTCCAAGTACAACCAAACTTCATCTCAATTACATTTTCATGGCAAACACCTTCAATCATGAAATAACCACAACAGCCCACAAAAGTCTACACTACCTTCGAATCTTGGCATTTTCAGCTTCAAATTTGTCAAGCTTCTTCAGCAAACCTGGTATCACCATCTTCAAACGCTCACACATTTCAGGATCAACACACATAAAAAATGCACATCCTCTTCCACCTCTTCGCTGCATACCAAGAAAGAAAGAAAATTTTCAATTCTCATGCCCAACACAATCAGGATTATGCATATGATTGGAGCTTATGATTACCCTTCCCTTTGGGCACACTATAAATCTGCATCTTGGGTTTAGATTCGTCCATGAAGTTTGAAGTCGAGCAACAGTGTGACAGTGACAATGTTGCACCAGCCTCTCTTCTCCTTCCTCCCACTCTTCTTTGATGCAAATGATGACAAATAGTGAGATGCAAGAAAGAGCCAAGAGAGTCAATTTAAGAGCTTTGAACTAGGGCAATGCTATGAGAATTGGGGGGAAAATTAGGGGGAAAGTGAGGAAACGTAACTTTATTTTCTCAGATCCACACAGCTAAACATCCAAATAAGCACGCCACTTGGCCTAACATCACCAACTTAACAAATTTTCGCACAAAATAGATGGAATGGTATAACATGCAGTGGTGGATCTTCAATGGAGCAAGGGTGGTCAATTGACCCCCGCAAGTTAGAAACCACTACCTGGGCAAAAAAAAATTGACCCATGCAATGCTGGAAGTTCATGTTTCACGGCGCCCACCAACTATTTGATGTTTTGTTCCAAAGAGGCAGCAGGAGCAGCGCATGCCTTTCTTCCCTAACCACTACCTACGCAACTTATTTCTGGTTTCCTTTCTTCCCTAGGCCCGCATATATTAAGCAGCCCAATACCCCCTCCCCAAAAACTTGTTTTGAAATATAATTTCAACCAAATAAACTTATCCTGCAAACTCCTCCCAAGCCTAACCCTCAACACCAAACCACCACCACCACACACCCCCCCCCCCCCCCCCCCCCCCCCCCCCAAACCACCAACGACCACCGAATCTAGTGGCGGTGGTAACTCTCCCAATTTGTTTTTGAATTTTGATGTCTCCCTCAAATTTCAAAGTAATGTTGATTTTCCCATTAATTATGAATTATAATATTATTGTTTTATTTTTACGAGATTCTTTTGTCTAATTTTTATTTTTGACATTTTATATGTTGACTCCTGAAAGAAAAATTTCTAGATCAGCCACTGGTAACATGAGTAACGGAAATAAAGCTTAGGGGTATATGGGGTGATAATTAAGGTCAAGAGGCAAACTGAGACAAAAGTGAAAGCACAAGTGGCATTTCAATAAGTAAGCCTAATAAAATACAATTTTATGTTAAGTTTAGTTACGATATCTCTCTTCCCAAACATAAATTACAACATTAAATATGTTAAGGCTGGGCTTAGACAAGCCTCAAAGCCATCAATTGGACCAGCTTTAACCCGAGAAAAAGAAACAGACCCCTTTGGAATTAAGGGTGGGCATTGAGAGTCTACCCATATATCCTAGCATTTTCCTCATGTTTTTGCATGATAGTTTGAACCTAATTAGACCTTTACCTAATCCCACCAATCTTACACCACATGAATTAAAGCCCCCTGGCTACATTGAGACCATGCTGAAAAAGGAACAATTTATGTGTCTTGCATATACATAGTAGAGGTGTCAAACGGGTCGTGTCGGGCCGGCCCGTCCTATTTAAACTTATTGTGCTTTTAACATTTTCGTGTTGTGTCGGGCCAGCCCATTTAATTTATCGGGCCGTGTCGTGTCGGCTCATTTAGTAAAATCATTGATCCCAGCCCGACCCAAAGCCAATGTCCACATTGAAAAAGGTCGGGCCAGGCTCGTGCCATGCCCGTGCTCTTGCTCATGCCATACTCGGGCCCAAGAACCAACCCATTCAATTTGAATTTTTTTAACTTGATTTATTTGTTCAACTAGATAATTCAAATTATAAACATTAAAATATAATTAGAGGCAAGAAATGAAAAACTATTTGAAAACATTAATCAATCAAACATCCAAACAATATGAAAGGGCAAAGGGCAAAAAGTGTCTAACTCCACAAAGTCCACTTCAACTTTTCATCTTTAAACAACTTATTATTTTAGGGTAATGATTTCCCCACTCCAATTTTATCCACTTACACTCCTTTTTTAGTTATAAAATGGAGTGTAAGCGGATAAAATTGGAGTGGGGAAATCACCACTCTTATTTTATATGTGAAGAAATGTCTTGCTTTGATTATAAGAGAAGTGTATATGTCATATGTACTGATTAGATATCAAGTCCAGTGTTTTTTAATTAATTTGTAGTTTATATGTTTAATTAATTAAGGACCCAAGTAATTTCCCTAAAATGAAAGACATCAATTATATGTTTATGATTATATATATATATATATATATATAAACAATGACATTAGATGTCAAATTAATGCATTTTGACTTTTGAGAAAGAAAAAAAATGTTAAGTGGGCCGTGCTTGAAGTGGGCTTGGGCTCGTGCCGTGCTTGGAGCGGGCTCAGGCCATGGGCCGGCCCAGTCCATTGGACCTCATTTTTAGATCTCGGCTCGACCCAAGTTTTCGTGCCGTACTGGGCACATCCCATTAATATTTGTGCTCGTGCCGTGCCGTGCCTCATTTAAATGAGCTGGGCTCGTGCTGTGCTGGGCCGACCCGTCCCGTTTAACATCTCTAATTGAGACCGGAAAATCGGAAAAAAATTCATGTTGACTAAAAAGTTAACAAACCAATGCCAAACCAAACCAAACTAGTTCAAACCAATTCTAACGCCGATTTCACACCTTACAAAACCAAACCAGATCAGACCAAATAGACTGTATTTTTTTTATTTTTTTAAAAATTATTTAAGTCCAATACTAAATTTTTAATCCCATAACTAATATTTCCCCAAGTCCAACTTCAAAGCACCTCTCTTTTCTAAGCCTAATTATCTCTCTTTGTATGAAATTACGTCATTTGTGATTTTTTTAACCCAAAAAATAAAATTTTAGTTGGAATTTGTTAAAAAAATTAATTTGAAAAAAATCTAAAAAAACATCCATCCAAAACCGGAACTACTGGTTTCTTAAATTTTCTTTACCAAAACCGAACCAAACCACACCGTTTGTATAGTATCGATTCCTGTGTGAGGTGAAAACTAGACCAAACCACGCCCACCCCTTCTTGCACAAAAGAGCCTCTCTTTAAGAGTTCACAAGCTTCTGAATCATACATGATGCGAAACGCAAGAAGAGAGAGAAATCAGGAGACATCACATCCTCAGGCAACCCAATCACATACTGTTTTATTTTTCAGTAATTGCCAAAAATTCAATACATAATCATACTAAGTCATCATCAATTATGTTCTAACGCAAAATAGGTACTCCACATTAACAGAAACACATCCTACCAAAATAAAGTCTCAATTCAACTCCTCAATAGTCTGCAGTTTCAACCTTCAATCTAGAGCCTAAATCAGAACTGCTTGCTTGAGATAAAAGGTAAATTCCGTAACATCATCTGCCACTTATCAGTACCTCCTGGGGTAGCGATCCATAAATCTGCCAGAAGGGCACTCGTATGCCAGGTGTCCTCGTCCCCCACAGTTGTGACAGATCATCAAGGGGCCCATACAATCCCTGCTCATATGCCCAAGTTGTTGGCAGTTCCTACATACAATGTCACGGTAACCGCCGCCGCGCATTCCACCTCCTCCACCTCCACCTCCACCTCCACGCTGCTCTCCCAAGACATTGGCTCGGGGGCACTGTCTTGCCACATGCCCAGATACATTGCATAAGTTACAGATGGGTTCATTCGGGCAATCACGTGCTAGGTGACCTGTCTTTCTACAGTTGTTACATGCTTTATCATTTGTGCAGTCAGCTGCAATATGACCCTGCTTGTAGCAGTTGTTGCACAACCTCAAGTCCCCAGGTGGCATTGGGGGAGCTGTGCAATCTCTAGCGCGATGTCCAGCCTTACCACAGGTGTGGCAGATGCCTTCATTTGGGCAGTTACTGGCCATGTGACCAGGTTCCCGGCAATTCCAACATAGTGACTTTGTAGTACACTCTGAAGCAATGTGCCTAGTAGAACATTAAATGGCACAAGTACAACTATGTCAGTAACAATCAATAGCTCCGTCAAACATGTAGCATCTTTTTTTCACTTTAAAAAAAATTTAAAGAAGACATCTGCATGAGGCAGATCATTATTACTGCGAGATACAAAACCATGCTACCTTATTGAAGCAATGAAACAATTAATTCACCCACCGCTTTCACAAGGTACTGCTACTTTGCTTTAAAATGGAAAACAGAACATTCTGAATTGTCTTAATATGTCTAAAACCTGAAGATCTCCAAAATAATAACTTTTTCCCATAACCATAGTCTCACAGAAATAATGGTCAAATATTAAAGCAGTCGAGCATGGAGACCGAGGTGGCTCCAGAAAATATGAGAAATTTGACAAATTGTCATGCATCAAAGCCTTGTTGTTGCTGGGGACCATGCATATTTCTCTCGAACTGTAGGTATTTTCTTAAAACCTTTATGGTCATACTACTGGCACACAGTTACAGGAGAAAGGGATATGAAAGTGATAGTGTTGGTGGCTAGTAATTATCTAAAGTGGTACAAGGTAAACATGCACTAGCATATTAGTGGCAGAGGACAGAAACTGAAGTGGTAACAATGAAGATAAGGGGAAGACAGTAGCTGTGGGATGGTGGGGCGGTGTTGAGGCATGAAGTGGTAGCTGTGTTAATGTCAAAATTATAACAAAGATAGTGGTGTTATTACAGCAATCCTGCGCTGTTAAGGTTTATGTGATTTACCAGTGAAACTGAATGGTGGCAATAGTGGTATAATCATTGAAGATGGAAATGGTGGAGGAGAAGATGCTGTTATAACTAAACCCGTGAAAGGATTATTATTATAATTATGATGGCGATAATAATTTCTGAACAGAAAAATGGAGGAAGAAAACTTCAGTTTCTGAATTATCAGTAAAACTATGATTGAAATAGATCGCTTGGTAGCAGAGACAGTAGCATTTGTCTAGCTGCAAAATGGTTCAGGTAGAGACAGTAGAGGGATGTAAGATGCAGTAAAGCAAAATTACATACTCAGGATTTGTATGTTTGGACTTCTAGCATTAACTAGCATATTTAATTTCTCATAGATTTCAACACTCTTGAAAGTCAGGGACCCCAACCTCTTCAAACCCTCTCCCAGAAAACAAAAGGTCAAAAGAACAAACAAATAAAATGATTATAATGAATGCAGAGAAGCAAATAATGGAACATTATGATGTCCAATTGCAAGGCAAAATAAGTTTCCGTACCCAGGAAGACCGCAATTGTGACAAATTGCAACATTAGGGCATTCTCTAGCATAATGGCCTGGACGTTTGCAGTTCTTGCACAGATTGTCTCGGCTGGAAAAAAAAATTGCAATAGATTAATTTCTGAGCAAAAACTAATGGCATTCCCAATTTCAAACCACTCCTTAATTTTAACTTATCATTAAGAAGAATCAGACCCATAATCACATAAAGAAACAAGCAAAACCAAAACATTCAGAGCGTGAAACTAAAGCACTCTGAAGTTTTAAAAAATACCCAAAAAATGCAAAAAGTTGAAGGAGTTAATACATGTACTGAGCTAAAGATATCTGACAATACAAAAGTAAAAGGCTTACAGCCTTTGTGCACCACTGACAGAAACAAAGCTACCTCTACAACCAAGATGATGGATACTTAATTACGTCGTTAAACAATCAATAGGATTCACATTTGTATTCGAAAACTTACAAAGGTCTAAACAAATGTACAACAAAGCAAAGAACGTTATTAACCAGAGCCAAAATTAAGAAATATCAACTTCAAAAGGTCTTCTAAGGTATATTCAAGTAGAGGTCTTACTCAACAGATACGGTTGATAGTAAGATTCCAGAACATCTCCAACGAAGACATGTTGACAGATTATTTTCTCCTTATCAACCCACATTTTACAAAGACGAGAAGAAATAAAATAATAGTCAAAAGCCATTAAACCTGAAACCCCGACGTCCTCCATCTCTCCTGTAAGGTGCATCGCGGTAGGAAAAGCGATCAGAACGGATCTTACGATCCGTAGGGCTCCTGCTCCTGCTCCTGCTTCGGCTCCTGCTGTCTGAACTCATGTTAAATTAATTCTTATTAAGACCTAGCTCCACTGACTTGAAACACCACCACAACCAACACCACACAGCCGCTGCCTCCCTGTCCACATCACAACCACACCCAAGATCATATCCATGAGTCAAAACCAAACCAACTACTTTCCCTTCATACCAGAAAACACCATATCCCAACAAAGTACACAAAGTTTTCAACAAGCAATCCATCTCACAAGAATTTAATGACCACCAGCCCCAGAACCTTATACTAAATACCCGATTTCTCAATCACATCCTTCAAAAGAAAGTCAAGCATCCGTTGCAAACAATCAGGTATTCCCACTAAAACTCGAGCTTACATCAACAGGAAGACTTTACCTAAACTCCAACTTCTTGAAACCATCTAAACAGATTGATCATTAAATAGTTGGTTAAACTAGCACGAGAGCATGAAAAATATTGGGACTGGTTACTCATTGGCAAATAGGAGCTTTTAAGTTGCAGCTTGGAATAGGGAGGACACTCCCACGACTATATGAGTATCATATGATATAATATAGGAGAATTTAGTTGTTGAAGAAAATCAAAAGGACAACCAGCTAGCTGGTGACATCTTTCCATTGTAAAAATCTGCAGCCATTACAAATATCACCCTCTACTAATCAAAAAACATAATCTAGACCTTGTTGAAAATAGAAATCAACATTAAACTTGGAGACCTCAGAGAGTTAATGAAAGTTTCAAACAAAACCTTAAACTAGCTTTGGATGTATAAAGCCCCTGGAAGACCACAAACTTTTCTTAAACACAAAACTAAAGATCCAGGGGCTCCTAAATCCACCATCAATAAATGATATTGCATGTTCAATCTATCCATCCATTTTCATGAAGAAAAGCTCCTCATTCAACCTACTTGTAAGTTGCAACCACCTCTCCCATCCACTACCCATAAAATCCTTCAATTTTAAAAAATAGTCTTTCTGCAGTTGTCCCCAAACACATTCTGGTGCTTCAAGCATGATCTAATCTGCTCTTGCAACAATACAAAATCATGGTGATGTATGGAATCAGAAGCGTCTGACGAAACTATGATATGATAGGAGAAAATTGAATCACATCTTCCACCAATGAACCAAATGGAAAAAGATAATGGAAGCAAAAACAAAATTGAAAGTAGCAGAGGCAAATCAGGAAGGCGCAGTCTTACTTCATTCCCCAAACCTTAAATTTTTGAAAAGATAATTCCCAAAAAGTAATATTTTTAAAGGATAACTCCCGAAATGAATGAATGGGAAACAGTGCCTTTTGATAATACGAACATTCACTTGTTGTACATTGCTTGTCTGAAAAAGGGCAGATTTCACTGAAGAAGTTGAGGGTGAGGGCAAGAAGGGAAGGCTATTGGTACTTCGTTAGTATAACTTCTGAATGAATCACATGAATGAATTCACCATGCTATCTACAAAAAATTATTTGCGGTTATTGTTCTTAAGATTTCCCATAACCTAGCCCAACTCTTGGCCAACCCATCTACTGTTAGGTCCAAAAATTCCCACTTTCTACGAGTATGCAAATTCGATTGGCACTTTCTCGAAAGAGCACGTACATGTATGTGAATTTACATAATGTTCGTTTAACATGGGTATAACGTCAACAATATAAGGCTTGAGCCAAATTCTTGAAGTACACCCTTGCTATCGTAGCATTATATCAATTTGTCTTCAATGATCAGTACACTCACACAGAAAACCATAAAACCCTTAAAATCAAACCACTTACCACCCAGATTCAAAATTACAGAGAAAATCCATAGCAGAACGAAACCCAAATTCAAGTAAACAAAAACAAACCTGAAACCCAAACAATACACTCCGGTGTTTTTAAATTCGACGTATACATACACCAAGATTAGCCCTAACCCTAGAAATGGTAGACAGGGGAAAGTGCAATGAAGAAGAACAACAACAAACCTGAGCTAAATAGCTATACAGACGGGTGGTGCTACTGTGACTTCTATAGCACGACGAAGTAAAAAAATTTGCGCACCGAGAGAGAGAAAGAGAGCGCTCTCAGCCTCTGAGACTGCGATTCGTAGACGCACAACCGCTGAGCGTCGATGGTGATTTCGATTGTGGCTCGACTGAATTTTCAATTTTATGTGATCACCTAGAAGCCCATTCTTCCTTTTGGGCCCAAAATTGCTCTGGTTGGGTATAGTAACTGATTCGGCCTGGTCACCCTCGTTTTTTGTTTTTTTTCAATTTAAAAAAAGTAATGCTAACTTTACCACAGTATTATACCAACGGAAGCCGCCGCCGCCGCAGTGCTACAACTTGTACAAGCTCAACTTTGATGGCTCTCTGCAACCCGCTAACCATGCTGCCTCTGGGTAGGGACGGACTTGTGCACATACTAATCTGGGTTAGAGTCCAGGTGATTTGATTTTTTATAGCCCAACATTAATACCGAAGCCCACCCAAGCACACTTCACACACGTCCACTCAAGAGCTGCTTCACTCTCTTCAGCGCAGCTGCTATATCTACTTTCTCATCAGCGCCCATGCACTCAACCAACCTTTGCTCATCGAACAGTTAGAGCATCTCCACCCACAAGGGCTAAGTCTAAAGCAAGGGCAAGCAAGGGTTACTACTATTCACGTGAATAGTATCAGCCTTGCCATTTGCAACTCCACCCATGAGGGCAAGGTCTAGGGCAAGTCAAAGGCAAATACTATTCATTGTACTTCATTTCCTATTTTTTTATACTTTAAACCATTAATTTTGATAATCTTTTGTAATTAAATTTTTGGATAAAAAATATTTGATGTAGAAGAATTGTATGAAGATTTGGTGTGGCAAGTAAATAATGTGAGTGGAGACTAAAAAATATTGGATAAAGAAGAATTGTATGAAGATTTGGTGTGGAAAGTAAATAAAATGGTTAGGTATTTTATAGGGAAAAAATACAGAATTTTTTGGTATTTTTTAAAAAAAATTTCAGAATTTTTTTGAATTTTTTAAGCCAAAAAAACGAGGACCGTCGAATTTCTGAAGAAAAAAAAACGATCGGAGCGTCCCTGTCGCGACACGTGGCACAATAGTAAAAAAATTGAATTTCTGTGCGCTAACGTCAGCGCTGATGTCACAAAACTCAGGCTAAAGCCCAGGTAGAACTTGCCCTTGGGCCTGCCCGGGCTGGTGGGACCCAGGACTTGCCTGGGCTGCATGTGCTGCGCTGGAGTGCGAAACTGGGCTTTGGGGGGCCTTTTGCCCGGGTTATTGCTTAGCGCTAGACATGCTCTTAGTTTTAAAAAAGTAATACTCACATTCATTGAAGCTGCTCCAACTTCTCACGCATGATTCAATATTATTAGTGCAATTAATACCAATGGCAACTTTTTGAAAATTAGTATCAACTTCAATTTTCTTTCTTTTTCTAAAGTTTTTGTACTATTCAATTTTCCCTATAAAACCCTATTTCTTCAAAATTTTCACACCACCAAAATCATTTACCACTCTTTAATTTTGCTTAATATTTTACTCACCAAATTATTTATTAATTGCTTGTATATTTTTTTTTATTAATATCTCAACATCATTATGAATATATTATTTATTAGTATATGTGTGTGAAACCTCCTTCCCCTTTGTATTAAAAAAAACTAATTGTTTTTTTCTTTTAGTTTAATGTTGTTTTTATTTAAGGTTGTACTAGATGCATTTTTAGGGGCTCATTATGTCCCCCTATGTATTTTTTGTTATCAATGAAATTTACTCGTACCATCGAGTAATCTATCCTTTTAGTAGGTTTGTACGTAATCCATCTTTTTAGTAGGTTTGTATGTAAGGCTTTCAAGCCATCTCCTTCAAGCAATGTTTCCGAGAGGCAAACTTTGTGGCAGATTCCCTTTCGGCGCTTGGGCACTCTACCCCCCTCATGCCACATTTGGTTGCAGAATCTTCCTTCTTTGGTGGCTAGATCCGTCTCTTGAGATTCTTTAGATGTGGGTTGCCTTCGGGGTTTTGTGTTGTAATTCTTTTGTGCTTATCCAAAAAAAAAACCCAAGAAGCTTGTAGCTCAAGTGTTTAAGAGTAGTTATTGTTAGAAAACAATCAGTATGGAACTCTAAAGAATATTTGATAACATAATTTAAATACAACTTAAATTATTCCAAGAGAAGTGTAATATGAATAAAATTATAAATGAACAAAATTATACTAAAAATATAAAATAAGCAAACAAAGTAAACTGACTGATAGAGGCTTGCAAATGCAATGTCCATAGACAGAATTTCGCCCTTACACTCGTGCCTTGTAGTTCTTCAAACATCTATCCCAATATACAACTATCAATTCTTTGAACTCTGGTGAACTGTATTCGTTTTTTCTCTATCAAATAGTGATTGAAAAATGTTCTTATTTAATTTCAACCTAATCGTAGCCAACCCAAGTCTAATCCATTTTAAAATTAGAAAGGCACTAAAGTTTATAAAGTGTGTCAACTTCTTGTGCTAAACCAATGTAGGACTAAGGAATTAATTATGAAGTTCGTATTTAGAACTAATTATGATAATTTTAATAAAGGGTTACTTTTTTAACTTTTATTTGGTATTCTAGCCTATACTCTATTTCTATTTTGTACTCAAATGCCAAGGCTGACAAATGAAATATCTATTGTTGTATTTAATTGAATCAATCAAGAAAATGAATGATTAAAAAAAAATTGATGTTGAATAGATAAAACGACTACATGAAATCTAGTAAAAATGATGCATATATCTACAATCTACATCAGCTCTTGCATAAAAATGAATAAGATATATCATTAACTGCATTAGTACTTTCAAGTATATTGTTGTAATATGATAGCAAAAGCATTAGTTGTTATGTTAAAACTAACGCCCTTGATGCTTTTGAGAATCATAAGTCAATGCCCATCACTTACATGGAAACCTCATAAACATCAAAGGAATAAATATAGTGATAATTTGATTCTACTTTTGTCCAAATTGATGCTGTAAATGGAATATGCATTGAAGGTTCACTATTGCCAATAAGTAGTTAAAGGCCATTGTGATGAATACCTCGGTTAGGCCTCCGTTGCCTAAGGCAAATTTTGGCATAGTGTTAGTTTTCTATTCAAACTTCCAACAATACCCATATTTGAATAGAAAATAAGTGCACACATATAAGAGAGAAAATCATATGAAAATTCTTGAATCTACCCTAGTGAAAGCTTATCAGGTTTACAAAATAACGCAGTGAATATGTAATCTTAAATTGTTCGCCGTAGCAATAAACCAAGACAATAAGTCTCATACAATTCTCATCTTAACGAACACATGTTCATAAGTTTGTGTTCATTTTAGTCTTGAACAAGATCTTAGATTCATGAGAGCTTTAGAGAATTTGACTATATAATTCTCATAAATGTGAACCCACATTTACTCTCATATAGTAAGACTGATTAAGAATAGTCAGTTATATTCCTCTTGTTACCAAGATATCAGTATCATTAAACATAAATATCATCTACAACTTCCGCAAATAACACATTTCTTTCATCATAGGAATGAGGTATATAGTGTGTTCACATCCTTGAACCATGCCTAACTAGTTTGCCTATTGAACCTAGACCATGGCATCTCCAATCAACTAGGTTAGGTTTTCGCTAGGCTAGTTCATTTGTAGAATTGGCATTAACCTCATTCCCCTTGATTTATACTTTACTTGCTCTTTTGATAATCCTTTTGTGAAAGGATGTGCTAAATTCTCTTTTTCCCTTCCTTGTCCTGCTAAACTATCACAATGTATGCATATAGTTGTTACAGGCTTAGGCCACAACGAAATATCTTCCAAAAAGTTTCTTAGCCACTCAACTTCTGCTGCAACCCTGAAGCTACAAATTCTAATTCCATAGTTGATCCCATATATGTTTGTTTGGAAAATTTCCCAGATATTGCAGCTTATCCTAATATGAAAACATATCCAATTGTGGTTTGTTTCAGTATTGTTGGATATCTAGTTAAGATCACTATACCCTTCTAGTACTGGAGGATATTTTGTTTAATGCAATCCATAATCTAACATGTATTTCAAAAACCTTAGTACTCTGACTAAAGATTCTCAATGATCATGTCCTAGATTGCTTGTATACCTACTTAACTTGCTTAATGAATAATCTATATCAGGTCTTGTACTATTCATTATGTACATTAATTCCAATCACTTGTGCATATTGACATTGTGATATAGCTTCACCAACATTTTTCTTTAATTTACCATTTGCATCAAATGGTATCACATCAAGTTTATCATCAAAATGACCAAACTTTCTAAATGTTGCCTCCACATAATGAGACTGGGTAAGAATATAACATTTGGCATTTCTTTTAATTCTTATTCCAAGAATCACATTAGTAAGACCTAAGTCTTTCATATCCAAATTTGAATTCAACATTTTCTTGGTTGAATTAATTATATCCTTGTTTGTCCCTATTATGAGCATGTCATCTATATATTGGCACACTATAACACATCCATTATTATGAGTTTTGACATAGACGCATTTGTCACACTCATTTATTTTACAATTATGTGTCAACATAACATGGGCAAATTTTTCCTATCATTGCTTAGGAGCTTGTTTTAATCCATATAATGATTTGACAAGCCTACATACCTTGTTTTCCTGACCTTTCACAACAAACCTATTCGATTCCTAACAACTAAAATGAGTTGTTAAAAGAACAACTTTAATTCTCGCAAGTGCACGAACCGTTTATAGTATAACTTATGTAAATACAAGGTCGATCCCATGGAGAATGGTAACTTGGTTCCAAGTTAAATTACTTAGAATGCTAGAAAAAACATAGAACAAAGAAACTGACTAACTAGCTAAAGGCAAGGTCGAATTCAACAATGCATCTTGCTAATTACTCAAGGTCTATGACAGAATCCTAGCACCACACACACACTCGAAATGAGAGGTTTTTGTTGTTGAAATGAAAAGAAGAAAGTGAAATGAAAGTGCTCGGAAGTAAACATTGGCAACAATCAACAAGTTGTGAAACAATGATTGAGATGTGTTAGAACCTTGGAATCCACCACTAGTTTTCCTATCCAAGTTATGAATGCATAGAAATTGACTCAAGCTTCATCAACAATAGATTATCGCATACAAGAATATGGTATCTAGGTGCAGGATGCATGATTCTCCTAAGGCATGTAATCGTGCATGGTATCTACACAACACGTGATCTCCAATATGCAACCTAAACATGGTATCTACTTAGAATAAAACATACAAGAGTCATTAAGCTCCATGAGAATATGATAATCACACAAGTCCTAGAACATGGTATTTGTCCTAGTCAACCTATGGTTATTAACCCCTTGAATGATTCTTAGGCCATTCATGTGTTGCTTGTGCAACGAGAGTAGAATTTGTGAATCTAAACCCCTTCCCAACCTGTGCTAGATGCATAAAATCCTAGTTTGCTACTCCAAGAAAACATACATCAAACACATAATAAACTGGAGATTAACAACTTAATAATGAAAGCAAGGAAATCAATTAACTATAAAATCATCAATAACATTGAATATTCATGACTAGGCTTTATCCTAAGCCCTAACTAAATGGATTAGTTAAACATAACTATGAATACAGAAAATAAGAAATACATAGATAGGATAGAAGAGAAGAGAAGAACTAGTTGGCCGCAATGTAGTTCCCAGGACAGCTCCAAGCTCTCTTATCTCTTTGTGGTGAATCTGAATGTGTGTATGAGAATAATGGATGAAGTGAAAATGTGTATCTGACTCCTCATCTTGAATGAGTGTGCAGCTCTCTATTTATAGAGTGCAATTTCGTCCTCCCTTTTGGCTGGTGAAGCACACCTCCTTAGCTGTTCCCAATTGCTCCAACTGCCCATACTTGCCAACTGCTCCAGCTGACATACTTGCCAATTGCTCCAGCTGACATACTTGTCAATTGCTCCAACTGCCAAATACATGCTTTGGTATGGGAAAACTTGACTTTTGTTCATCTTTCTGAGTTCCTGAGCTGATTTGACTCCCATGTGTGGCTGCCCATGTGTAGCACATGGCTCTAGGGATGTAGCCACATTAAATGTGATGGCAGCCAATATGATATTTCTGTGAACTTGGTTCAGTCTTTGACGTGCTGAGGGATCCAGATTTATCCAATTGGGCTGAAATTTGGATATGTTTAATAGACACCCATTGAAACAACTTCTATCAAGGATGTCTCCTCATCCGACCTGTGTAAGTTGCTGAAATGAGGCCTGCAAGATGACCTACGAAACTGAACTGACAGGGAGTATGGCCCGAATTGGGTTTGTCTTTAAGCTCATATTCCTCTTATCCCAATCAGCCCTTAACAAGCATGGATTGCATCAAATGTGATCTCTTGCTATCTTAACCTACGAAACACACAAACATAGGTAAGAGACTCAAAATAAAAAGAAGCTAAACAAAATTACTAAGCAAAGAAGGCATGTGTGAAATTATGACCTTATCACTTGCTTAGGAGCTTGTTTCAATCCATATAAGGATTTGACAAGCCTACATACCTTGTTTTCCTGACCTTTCACAACAAACCTCTCGGGTTGTTCTATGTAGATTTCCTCATGTAAATCCCCATTGAGAAATACAGTTTTTACATTCATTTTATATTTCCATATTATAAACTGCTACTATGGCAATCAACATTCGCATATAATTTATTATACTCACAGGAGCATATGCACCTAAGTAATCCAATCCATCCTTTTGACTATAAACTTTAGCTACTAAACGTGCCTTATACTTGTCAATTGTACCATCAGCTTCAATTTCTTTTTGAATATCTATTTATATCCAATTGCTTAATTTCCATGTGACAAATCAATCAATTTCCAAGTGTTGTCTTGCATAATGGATTCAACTTCACTATTAATTGCTTCTTTCTAAAATGGAGCTTTTGGACTTGACATAGCTTCTTTATATATTTGTGGTTCAACCTCTACTATGTAAGTCATGAAATCTGGTCCACAATCCTTAGGATTATTTGATATCTTACAACTCCGAGGTTTTGCCTCACTTGTAGAAGGATTAGATGAACTATCATATTTTTCTTTCAAAAGATTGTCAATTGTTCTTTTATTCATAAAACTAATTTTTCTTTCCTATATGGAAAGATTTCCTCAAAGAATTATGCATTCACATATTCTAATATGATGTTAACATGAATATCTGCAATTTCATATTTAATTATCAAAAAATCTATATGATGCACTATTTTGTGCAACCAATGAAAACACAGCCAATGGTTTTAGGTTTGAGTTTAGTTAAGGAACTTGAACTTTCGCCAGGCAACCCTACTCTTTCAATATTTTCTAAGTTGGTAGTCTTCCTTTCCAAATTTCGTAAGGAGATTTATCAGTCTTCTTGTGTGGAATTCTATTTAGGATTTTATTTGCAATAAGTAAGGCTTCACCCCAAAAATTGTGTGGAAGCCCTGAGCTATTTAGCATGACATTTATCATATTCTTGAATGTACAATTCTTCCTCTCCACAACACCATTTTGTTGTGGCGTATAAGGAGCGATTGTTTTGTGAATAATGCCATGAAAAGCACAAAATTAAGAAAAAGCATAATAAACGTACTCTCCTCCTCTATCTGATCTTAAAATCTTTATTTTCTTGTTAAGTTGATTCTCAACCTTAGCTTTATATGTCTTAAACACATTCAAAGTTTCATCTTTGTTGTGAAGTAAATACACATAGCAAAACTTATTGCAATCATCTATGTATGTCATGTAATAATTTTTATCTCCATGTATAGGAGTTGATCTAAAATCACATAAGTCGCTATGAATTAAACCAAGCACTTCATTAGACCTTCCATGTGCATATTTGAATGTTTGACTAGCAAACTTAGATTCAGTGCATATTTCACACTTAACACCAACACTTATATCACATTTAGGAATCAAACCGAAGTTAACCATTATGCGCAATGACCTACAATTCACATGTCCTAATCGAGCATGCCTAAGATTAGAATAATCAACAAAGTAAGCAGAAGCCTTATTTATATTATTATCGAATGAATTAGCAAGTACATTGAGTTTGAACAATCCTTCAGCAAGATATCCCTTCCCAACAAACATTCCTTCTTTGGTTAGAACAAATTTGTCTGACTCAAATACAAGTTTGAATCCGTTTTTGCGGTTTTAGATACTCGGGCTATGTTGGGAGACGTGTGTGTGCATGCAGAATCGTAGCAATGGTAGGGTGATAATGTGGAGGAGTGGTTGGCGAGGAAATTCAAACCGACAAGAAAGAGGCTCTAGGGTGGGGTGCTGAGGAGGAGATCAAAAAAGCACTGGCCAGAGTCAGTGGAGGCGTTGGAAACGACGGGGGTTTTGATATTGTGGCCGCGAACGTGGAGTAAGGAGATCTAGTAGGTGTTGTAGGAGAGGGCTTGTGAAGGGAAAGAGAAAGGTTGCTTGTGGAGAAGTGGGAGCTGGAGGTAGTCTTTCTGTGGTGGGTTGTTGGGAGTTACAGAGGTTTGTGAAGGTGAAGAAGACGAAGAAGAAAGACAAAAGTGACACCATTATTGTGGGCTCAAATAGAGAAGAGATATGGGGTGGGTCGGCGATGGGAGAGACAGGAAAAGAATGAGAGAATGAGATAGTGGGTAGGCGACGAATTGTTGATGTTGAGTTTTTATTTTAGGAAAAAATTAATTTATAATATTTTAACAAATATTTTATAATTTTTTTACATATCATCATCAAAGTGGGTACCACACTTGCCACGTCACCAATTTAACAAATAATCTAACAGTGAAGTTGACAGAAGTCGTAATTTGGTCAAATGTAAAAACATTCGGTATCAAATTGATGAAATTGAAACTTCACGGTGCATTTTAATACGGCACCTAAACCTCAATGGAATAAAATGTGGTTAGTCCTAAAAGCTATTCACTTTCCTACCCATTTAGCTTTGACAACTCACGAACTATTACCTAATGCACTTGAAGAAAAAGAGAACTTCACATGCTCTCTCTCATGCATGCAATTAATTAGACCACCATATAAATTCCACTTGCAAAACCAAAATGAGAAAAATAAAAAGAAGAGAAAAATGAGTTCTCTCGCAATTTCTCAAATAAATTTATTTGAGACATATGTTGTGACATTTCTTATGCATTTTACCTTAATGATTTGCATCTCTAAACAATCTATTTCTTAGTTCATTTATCTATATATAAAGCAAAAGGCAGAGAATGGTGAAACATTTAAAATACCAGAAAATGTTCTTGGTTAATGCAAACATTAATAATTGAAATTATTAATTAAATGAAGATAATATGGTAAATTCATACTTTTACATATTAAAAAATTTTAAAATTAAAAGAAAATTCAGATAATGGACTCTATTTTTATGGAACACAACTACCCATTATCTTTTTTAATTATAAAATAAATTTTAAACTTTTTATAAAAAAAAATGCCTCTCGCAGGCGCGGAGGCTAGTATATATAAAGCAAAAGGTAGAGAATGGTGAAACATTCAAAATACTAGAAAATGTCCTTAGTTAATCCAAACATTAAGAATTAAAATTATTAATTAAATGAGGATAATATGGTAAATTCACACTTTTTTATATTAGAAAAATTAAAATTAAAAGAAAAATCAAATAATGAATCCTATTTTTATGGAACACAACTACCCATTATTATTTTTAATTCTAATTTTTTTATAAAAAAAAAAGCCTCTCGCAAGCGCGGAAGCATGTGCGAAGAGGCTAGTCATCCAAAAAATCATTCTTATAAAAAGTAGACAATTTAAAAACCGTTAAGACATCTAATTGTTACCTACAAAATAAACAAGTACGGTGTTTCAAGAAAAAACTAAAATGACAACCATTTAATTAAATGGCTAAATAGTTTCAAATTCAAGTGATTATTTCAGATATGATAATTGAGTGAATACCTAAGAAATATATGGTTCATATTTATAAAGTACAAAGTTAGTTCTACAACAATATCCCTCGATTAAGAGCTCCCTTATCAACAATATTTTCTATATATAAAATACATATATTAATTTTCTCAAGAATTTTCTAATAGACTGTTGGAGAGAGTTTTTATGATGTAACTCATTTTTTGATCCCAGCCTGGCCTAAGTTTTCGTGCCGTGCTGAGCATGGTCCATTAATATTTGTGATCATGTCGTGTCGTGCCTCATTTAAACGGGCTGGACTCGTGTCATGCTAAGCCGGCCCGTCCCGTTTGACACCTCTACTTACAATACACATTGCCTCATAGTCGGGTTCATCTGTCATCAAATGGCGGCAAGGCTGCTCCCACCAAATGTCTGACATAAAATTATTATTATTATTATTATATTTATTTTTTGGCTTACCAGAGCATTGATCAATCCCATATGAAACTTAGAGGAGATAACTTTTTATTTATTTATAGTACGTATTTACTTCTATTTTAGTCAAGGAAATTTCCTCTAGTAATATTTGAACAGAATTTCACCCAACACCCATATGCTTCCATTCCATGAAGTCTCTTATGACGAAAGCCAACAATGATGATGCCTTTCTTAATTTGATATAAGATTTTGATTCATGGAACACACTTGAAGTTGCTTCAAGTGTGTGTTTATTATAAGAAAAATGGATGCTCACAACACACGTGATACACACTTGCAGTTGCTTAATTCAAGTATTAATTTGTTTTTCTTCTTTTTTGTTTTGTTTTTATTTCTCTTATTTTTAGGGTCTAAAGAAGCGAAGATTTTATTGAATGTTTTCAAAAGAAAAATGGATGGAAGATAAGATATAATGTAACAGAGACTTTACTCAGAACAAGTCTGAAAGAAACCCAAAGCAAAATCCTTGCGGTCTCGCTTATGTTTGACAGTTTCAGGAGGATGTACCAAAAGTGATAGAAGAACCCAATTCCCAAAGCACTTTCTTTTAAACTGCCCCTAATTCTTAAGTCCCATTTCAAGCAAATTATATTCCACAAACAAAGCAATAGTTTTCCTAAAAAGGCAAAATATTGAGTGTAAGCACCGCCCTCTCTTCTCTTGGCTGCCTTGCACAAGGAGATAAGAATCATTCTGTATAGGTACTCCATGTTATAAAGAGAAATGTAATTTTAAGAGTTCAAGACAAGTAAATTAAATTGTGGATGTGAAATAAGGTTATCCTACGACTAGAAAGGGAAAGCTTCGAACTATAACATTGATTGTCGAAATAAATACTCTTAATCACTAGAACTATAAACTCCGACACTGCGTAACAAGTTCATCGCTATATCCCATTATATGCTTATGCCTTGTTAGGTTTGATTGGAACAAGGGCCTTGCAATCTACAATTTAGTTGCTGCATTCACACTGGATGTAAAACTGACCTCAAACATCCTAGGCCCAAATCCACAACAAAAAATGCAATGAGAAAAATCCAAATGCATAAGCCTCAAAGGGCATAATTTTGATCATAAGCATAATGCTAATACATAAAATATAAATACACGATCCAAATGCTTCTCTAAGCACTCATCAAGATTTAGTAACCTAGAATTCAAAGATACTTTATAACAATGAGAAAATTCGCACGACATTCTTCTTCATTAGACATAAGGATTTATGATAAACTCTGAAGACGCACGTACAAATAAATCACCAGTATCTAGTAAATTCAAATGTATTTTTTTTAAGCACACACAAGTGTAGTTTGTTTGATCAATTTATTAGAGGAATCCACATTCTTCAATATCAAGTCCAACCCAAACTCAAAAAGATTTATAAAAAGTAAAAACGAATATAAAAAACCCAATGCACTCACTTTTCTATTTAGAAAATTGTCCCCACCACAAAGCATCACATTCATATGTGAGAAGTAGTGTGCACTCACATAACATAACACTATTCCATTTTTGTGCAGGGCATGTGAGTCTCACTGACACTACCTCCACACTCACCTGTCGGCGCTCACACGACTCCCTCTCGCTCCTCCTTCCCTCCAATCTCCTCACCTTTCTTCCCCGTGACACCTTCATTTACCCCATATAAATAAAACCACCACCCAAAACCAAACCAACCCAAAATTTCAAAACCAAAACTCATCATAAAAAACTTGCTAAAACCACAAAAACCAAACCAACCCATTTCAAAACACCATGAAAACAACCTTCTCCTTCCCTCATTTCCTTGCTTCCATCTTTACCCTAGCCTTAATCAGCCACCCCAATTTTGCATCATCAAGCCACCATGACTACCAAGAGGCATTGTCCCAAGGCCATCCTCTTCTTTGAGGGGCAGAGGTCAGGGTTTTTGCCCCAGGACCAGCGCCAATCATGGCGCGCCAACTCGGCCCTAAGTGATGGGTGGACTTACAACACAGACTTGACTGGCGGCTACTATGATGCTGGGGACAATGTGAAGTTTGGGTTCCCAATGGCCTTCACCACCACAATGCTGGCTTGGAGTGTGATTGAGTTTGGAGATTCCATGCCTCCCAATGAGCTGAGGAATGCGCTTGTGGCAATCCGCTGGGCCACGGATTACCTGCTCAAGACTGTGTCTCAGCCTAACAGGATCTTTGTGCAGGTAAGGTAAAAATTAATGGCTGTGGTTGTGGTGGTGGGTTTTTGGGTAGGAGGGAGAGTGGGTAGACCAGTTAATGTGTCTTTGTTAAACTTTTAATATATAAATATATAAGCTAGTGATTTTGACACTCCTTATTTACCCTATGTACAAATATATGACTAAATATAAGTGTCGGAATTCACGTATGCAAATTACAGTTTGACACATAAATTTTAGTGCATATATAATTATTTTATATTTAGATGGGTGGAGGAGTGTGGAGTTTTGTAGTCCATTGGGTCTGGTTGGCTCAATTGGTTTGTCACCTAGTCCTGTGGCCCTGTCTATTTTGATCCCCTTAAATTGCGTGCAATTGCATCTGCCTGTGAAAAAGTTTATAATAGAATCTCAGTCCTTGAGTTTCTCAAAATTCATGAAATGTGGATCAAGATAACTTCCCTCCCATCCACAAGTGTGCGTGTCTCTATTTTGTTTTGTAGCTTCACAAGCAGGTTACTATTAAGGTTGAAGGACATACATTTTCACTAACTCCTTTGTCTGTTTATTTATTAGAACAAGCTGACACATTGATCCCTTTGTCCGTCAAAGGGTCAGATTAGGAAGTAAAACTTCTATGTAACATGTAACATGTTTTATATTGCTTTATTTTATCTGTCTCATCGTGTGAATCGTCACACACTCTAAAAGAGTAACATAGTTGTAATTTTTTTTTCCCACTGTTGTAGTTTTGTCAACATCAAACTTTGATTTCAATACTAACCCACCAACCCACCCCCCCCAAACAGAAAAAACTTTAATTCCAATAGAAGTGTCTGTCTAAAATAACAAAAGATAAAGGAAGGGGGAATCAATTATATTTTCTCAAGTAATTATCATCTGTGAGTGGGCGGTGGGCTATGTCTCCATACCACTTTTTCATAAAGCCCGTGAGTTTGCATGAGACAATCAATTGTCTTCATCAAGCTTTATGCTCATGACAAAAATGGTCCTCAGCTGAGTCCAAAATGCGTCCCAAATAATCAACCCATGCAAATAGGGTTTGTGGTGCTAATGACAAGGGAAGTTTGCCAATTTTTGGAGGGTGTAACTATGTTTTTCATGGAATAATAGGTTGGGGACCCAATTATAGACCATAATTGCTGGGAAAGGCCAGAAGATATGGACACAGCCCGGACTGTTTATGCCGTGGACTCGCCCAATCCGGCTTCTGATGTCGCCGGAGAGACGGCCGCAGCTCTGGCAGCTTCATCAATGGCATTCAAATCCTCCGATCCTGGCTACTCAGACACATTGTTACGAAATGCCAAGAAGGCGTTTGAGCTAGCTGACACTTATAGAGGAGCTTACAGTGACAATCCTGATGTTAGAGGTGGTGTCTGCCCATTTTATTGTGATTTTGATGGTTACCAAGTAAGTCCAAAGTCAAAATCACATGACTCTTAATTTTAAATATTTTAAAATATTTATATTTATATTTAAAATATAACGTATGTCTCACATATATTTATTTGTATATTAATTTTGGTGAAATGTTTGACAGGACGAGTTGCTATGGGGAGCAGCATGGTTGAGTAGGGTCACTCAGGATAGTGGTTTTTTCGATTACATACAAAACAATGGCAAAACTCTTGGTGCCGAGGAGAATATAAACGAATTTGGGTGGGACAACAAGCATGCTGGCCTAAATGTTCTAATATCCAAGGTCAGTTTATATTTTTCCCAGCACATATAATATCTATAATGTGTGCAGATTTTATATATATTGTCAAACAAACGTGTCATTTTAAGATATAAGCACAATATCAACGCAGAAAATATAAGCAGATAAACGAGACATAAATGTATCAAAAACGAAAAGTAAACCCGAGTTTTTTTTTCTTTTTTCAGGAAGTCCTAGAAGGCAACATGTACGCTCTAGAATCCTACAAAGCATCAGCTGATAGCTTCTTGTGCACATTAATCCCAGACTCATCGTCCTCCCACATCGAGTACACTCCCGGCGGCCTCATCTACAAGCCGGGCGGCAGCAATTTACAGCATGTAACTTCCATCTCATTCCTACTACTCGTGTACGCAAATTACCTTTCGCGAACCTCGCAGTCTCTGAACTGTGGCAACATAAATGTCAGTCCCACAACCCTACGCCAAATTGCCAAAAAACAAGTTGATTACATTTTGGGAGATAATCCAATGGGGATGTCATACATGGTTGGTTATGGTGACCATTTTCCACAACGCATTCATCATCGTGGCTCTTCATTGCCATCAATCAAGGACCATCCCCAACCCATTGCTTGCAAGGAAGGCTCAGTCTACTTCAACTCCTCAAGCCCTAACCCTAATGTGCTTGTGGGTGCCCTTGTGGGAGGTCCTGGAGAAGATGATGTTTATAACGATGATCGTGCCGATTTTAGGAAATCTGAGCCAACCACTTACATCAATGCACCATTTGTTGGTGTTTTGGCATACTTTGTGGCTAATCCCAATCCTAATTAGCACACATCGATACTTAGTCAAGAACAGGTCATTTTTTGTTTTTGTAAATAACCCATATCAGGATTTGAAAAATAGGGAAAGAACAAAAGGTGTCTCTCATCTTGAGAGCAAAGAGAGAAGAGGCTTGTTACTTAGTCTTTGGAATTTGAATTATACTGTCATAGGTTTTCAGTCACAAAAATTTCGTGTGACATTTTACAGAGAATAAAGAGAGGTTTGTTATGTAAAATTCAATATACATGGTTTTGATTTCTCAACCAAAATAAAATAAAATAAAAGAAGAAGAAGAAGAAGAAGAAGAATAAAATACAATCTTTTCACTCTATTCCAAGAAATTTTTCCAAAAGTGTGGGGGACTTGTAGCTCAAATTGTTGAGGCTATTTATTTCCACACCTTAGCAAAGTTCAAATCATGTCCTTTACTTTTTCTTGTAATAGAAAAAAAAATTTGTTACACATCGCGCCTGCCTGCAAACAGTTATATGATGTATCTATCCTAACGTATGCTTCTAATAAAAACAAATAAAAAACAAAATAAAGGAAGGAAAGCATCAAAGTGAGGAGCACGAGTGTTTGGGTAAGAGAGAGAGATGAGGCTTAAGGGAATGAAGGGGAAGCATGCGTGTAGAGAAGAGATAGATATTGGAAAAATGGGGGGCTCATGACACCAAAGAGAGAGAGGGAGTCTTGATATAAGCACAGAGAGAGAGAGAGAGAGAGAGAGAGAGAGGGAGTTTTGATAGAGAAAAAAAAATTACTGATTATAGGAGGGAGGAGAAGATGGAGAACTATACGGAAGCAAACATCCTTTTGGGCGAGAAGAGCCAACGACTCTGAATTTTGTCAAATGAAGGATCACTAATTGGCGTTAGCCATTAGCTATGATACCATGTAAAAACTGTATATTCGATCATTGTATTTGAGATATTACAACCAATATTTATACACAAACTATAAGATATCTTCCTAGTGGTTACAATGAAACGGAAAACCCATTATATCCTAATAAAGGCTAATAACAACATAACAGCTAAAACACTAATGTATAACTATGGTAACTCCCGTAACCCCCTAACAGTATGGACGATGAATATACATGGAAGAACAACATTAAATGAATTACATTATCATATCATATCCGGTGAATTCATGATATGACAATTGATAAGTACGATTTAATCAATAACACTGCAAATCTGCTCATATTATAAGCGACATTAGAAGAGAGAGATAAGCAATGAAAGTTTCAATCCCTGATCATGACTCTGGAACAAATAATTTCTCCCATTTCTCATATATGTCAGCTCAATGAATCCCCCATGTCCCAAACTAATTAGACAAACCAAGTAATCCCCCATGTGGAAATCGAAAATCAAACAAGAAAAAAGAAGAAAAAGTATGTGCAGCACGTGAAGTTAGAGTCCACAAAAAGAATACTCATGAAGCCAAATAATGTTGCCTGGAATTTAATTCATTTATTTTTCTTTTTATTTTGTTTTTCTTGGTATTGCTTGATTCAATAAATTAATGAAAAAGGTTTGTCTGGACTCCGATGCTTTGTAGATGAACACATGAAAACTGAAAACTCCCATGGCTCTCGTGAACAACACGGGTCTTGTTCCTTTGTGAGGGAATGATTAGGGTTTTCAAGCTCATTAACAACAAACAAAATTTTTGCATTATTCGATACTTCATGATTTAACTTTGTTGTCAAATATTAGGGTTACATGGTAGAGGTTCCTTCCTTATTTTATTTGTTGCATCTATGAGTCCGATAATTTATATCATTTATGTGTTTATATACAATCTTCTTCTATTGAAAGATTCCTCAAATATCTCATTTGGGGGACACTTTGTGTGATCAAGTACAACTCTTATTCCAACGATCTGAAACATCCTTTTTTCAAGTCTTCTCATTCATAAATTATCATTGCAGACAATTATGCAAATTGAAAACCATTAAGATATCTAATTGTGACCAACAAAATAGACAAACACAATACTTCGACAAAACACTCAAATAACAACCACTTAATTGAATAGTTAAATGGTTTCAAATTCAAGTGATTTTTTGCACATATGATTTTTAAGAAATACCTAAAAGATAGCGGGTTAAGATCTTTGAAATACAATGTGAAGTGGACCCTACAAAACTGCCCCTCAAATAACTCCTCAATCGGCGCTCTCTAAGATTCTTATTACGCTACCTAATCACATTAGACACATAACATCCATGAGAACTCTTAACTCAATAGAAACACATTTAAGTCAACAACAAAAAATTTGCACCTACTAAGAGCTAAACTTAATATTATTGAAGTCTCTAGTAATAGTGGTAGGAGACCAACATTTTCTTGAGCCATTGATTGCATTATTTGTGACCTACCAACATTTAAAGTGCAACCAAAAGATAGTTTGTTTGTGATGTCAATTGCCACCAATAATATTAATTGGTCCCATAACATCCGGCTCTGTACTGTACGGTAGGTTCGTATTCATGCCATTCTCATAAATAGTCATTTTTCTTGTTTGTGTTTATTTATTTATTTTTAACAAAATAAGGTGACAAATTGACAATGTGCCCAAATTTTGTCCCATTCTGCAAAATTATAAAAATATGTGGCTCCTAGTTGGGTAGGGTTCATGGTGGAGGATAGTTTGGGTCAAGAACATTGTCTTCTGAAAAACCTCCAAGCAAAAACGTTAATTTCTTTTTGTCTTGCTCAAAGTTTTCTGCAGGATTCCATTAATAATTTAATCAAGTGTTGCATCTCGATTTAGATCAACAATTCAACATCGCCCCTTTTTGTTTTTGTTTTTTTTTCAATTAGGTCAATAGCAACCACAGAAATCAAATGAAAGTCCATCATCATTTATTTTCACTTGATTTCGACCCATTATCACTGTGGCTGCAATTTAAGGCATTAGCTTTTGGGCCAGGCCCAACAACAAGGTAATGCATTTTGCAACGCTATCCATTGAAAAAAGCTTCACTTTGTTGGGAACTCTTCAATGTTAAGACAGGGCATAGTTGCACCTACAATATTACTATAACAGGGCAAAGAGGAACTCTATGGTGGCATGCACATATTTTCTGGCTAAGAGCCATTGTGTATGGAGCAATTGTCATCTTGCCTAAACAAGGGACTGGTTTTCCATTTCCTCAGCCATACAAGGAGGCTAATATTGTCTTAGGTGAGTTAGTGCAACCATAAGATTTGTAACTATATACAGAAATTTTTTAGAGTTTATGCAGAAAATTATTGTACTCTCTTGTGAATGGTGTGTAGGAGAATGGTGGAATAACAACGTCGAAGAGGTTGTTAAACAAGGAAACAAACTGGGATTGCCATCAAATATGTCAGATGCACACCCCATCAATGATGGGAAGCCAGGGCCTCTCTTTCCCTGTTCTGAAAAACGCACAGCATTCTGTAGAAAAGTTGTTGCCTACAATAAGTTTATACAATGCACATGGTGGACGTGTAACTAGTTATTGTGAGAGCAACGATGTATAAACTCACTGTATGCAAGAACTTTTCCCATCTATGACACTAGATGTTCTGAGACCACTTTTGCTTTATGGCAATCCCATTTGGACATGAAAAATGAGATTTTGCATTCTCATCCTTTCTTGTTTATGCTATCTCAGATACCTATGCATTGGAGGTTGAACAGGGAAAGACGTACCTGCTACGAATCATCAATGCTGCACTCAATGATGAGCAATTCTTTGCCATTGCTGGTCACAACTTGACAGTGGTAGAAACTGATGCAGTCTACACCAAACCATTCACATCTCAAGCAATACTAATAGCGCCAGGTCAGACCACGAATATTCTTGTTCAAGCCAAACAAGCGCCCGACAGATGTTTCATGGCAGCTAGGCCATTCATGGACACACCAGTTTCCATTGACAACAAAACTGCCACTAGAATACTGCAGTACAAAGGCATCCCAAATACTGTGCAGCCAGTTCTTCTCCAACTTCAGGCAATCAATAACACAGTTTTTGCATTGAGCTTCAATGCCAAGCTAAGAAGTTTAAACACAGCACGGTTCCCGGCCAGCGTACCTCTTAAATTTGATCAGCGTCTCTTTTACACGATCAGGTTGGGAATCAACCAATGCACGACTTGCCTCAATGGAACACAGCTCACTGCTTCTTTAAACAATATCACATTTGTGATGCCCCAAATTGGGCTGCTTCAAGCTCATAATTTCAACACCAAGGGAGTAATTACCACAGATTTCCCAGACCGCCCTCTAACACCTTTCAATTACACTGGTGCACCAATCACTGCCAACCTTGGCACTAAACTAGGCACCCGGCTTAGCAAACTTGCCCTCAATTCAACAGTTGAGTTGGAGTCCCATCCTTTCGACCTTCATGGTTACAATTTCTTTGTTATTGGGACTGGAGTTGGGAACTTCGACCCCAAAAAGGACCCGGCAAAGTATAACTTTGGTGGATCCTCCCGAAAGAAACACAATCGGAGTTCCTACCAGTGGTTGGGTTGCCATAAGGTTCAGGGCTGATAATCCAAGTAAACACATCAAACTCACCAAATAGCATGCTACATTAAACTTCAAAGTTACTAATTAAGCCGGAATAATCTCTCTTCTTTTTTTTGGATATTTCACTAATATTTTGAATGGTATTTGATCATCTTTAGGTGTCTGGTTCATGCACTGTCATTTGGAGCTCCATACCAGCTAGGGTTTGAAGACTGCATTCGTAGTGGAAAATGGGAAGGACTCAGATCACTCTGTCTTGCCTCCACCTACAGACCTTCCACCTTGTTAATTCCTCGAACAGGAGAACTCACAGTAGAGTACTTCTTGAGGAACACAAACCATTGTTTTTTTCGAGCCCTTTGGCTGACAATTGCTTGCAAACACTCCTGCATGACACATGCAATGAAAGTAATGGTTCAATCCATCAGCCATTATAGTCAACAATCACAGCCAAATTCAAGATGAACTTTGATCTCAAAAATTTCAACAAGCTAAGGTGGAAATCAGGCTTGACTGCAGTCACTTCTTAGAAAAATGCGTGAGGTTCTTTTGAGGTCCGGTTTGGATTCAAGGTCTATTGTGGCCTGTTTGATAGCCACGAAAAAATTTGCTTGAGTTCCCTGAAAACGGTAATAATTCAACGTTATAAGACCTCATATACTGTATAATATATACCGACAATATATATGAAGCATTAAAAATCAATAGAACTGAACTCAGGAATATGTCTTTACATTCTAAACCAGACTCATGCACTCACTGATCTGGCCCAAGAAAAATACGGTGAAATATTCAAAATGTTCTTTTCAAACACTTAGACACCTAACTACATGGCAAGGGTGGCCAGCATTGGTATGTGGTAGCCAGCTTTTATAGTGGATTTCACTTGTGTTTTGAATGCTCCCAAAACAGCTTATTGTCTATGTTCAAATGAAGGTAAAGAACATTGTCAAACTAGTTCACAATTAAATTAAAAGCTTTCAAATTTTGACCAATTACTTTAATTTTCTTAAAATCAACGGGAGAGTGCGATCTTGGGAACTATTCTGACATATGTTTAGCTTCACGTACCTCTCTCTTGCTTATTTAAACCCTCATTTCTCTAAACAATAAAAAATACAAGATTAGGTTCTTCAGCTACTCTGCTTCTCTCATTTCTCTAAACAACAACAAAAATTCAGTATTTTGCTTCCAAGCTGTCAAATGAAAGCTCTACAGTTTCTACCTAATGTTGACAACAACACCTCCATCTTACAAACTGATGCCAAATTTGTTTTATATTTTGCCCACAGCCCTATAAAACCATTAGACCTTGACCTGCTATCATGTCTCATCCCTACAAAAACCAACAAGTTATGTTGGGGTTCTACATTTCTATTCTAAGAGTCACTAACTACAAGTCTAAAACTTTCAACTACAAGTCTAAAATAAATATATAAAACCAACTGAAATTGTATAGCCATTACAATAATAAATTCAATACAATTATTCAAAATACAAAAGATAATACAGTTTGTCAAAAAGTCTAGATTAAAACTATTGAGATCAAGGTAAAGAATTTGTCAATTAGAAGCTTTCACTTTCCTCATAACATCTCTAAGTAGTTTGAGGCCTTTTATGATCCTAAAGCTACCTTTGTAGTTTGAACCGCCTAATTGGTCCAACGTCGCTGAATGTCTTCTCCAGCTGAGGTTTAAAAGAAAAACAAAGCCTTCATTACTAAAGCTAAAGCAGCACAGAAAATTTCAACTTAAAGAATAAATAGAACAGCAATCATATTAACAGATTGTAATGCAACTATTCAACTATTCTATTTCAGTAAAGAAACGAAAGACAGGAGCAAAATGGGGTGTGAGAAAGAGAAAGTACCTAAGAGTTGATGAAAGAGTGGGGCAAGTTAGAGGCGAAGACAGTGGAGGCACACTGCTCGCTTTCGCTTCTCGTTTTGCCACCATCTTTGCTTTTGTTCTTCCCCATCTCTGTTTGGTTATGGAATATAGACCTAAAACCCCAGCAGGGAACGAAAGAGAAGGTTTCGTTCTTTTGTTGTTGTTGTTGTTGTTGTTGTTGTCGTCGTTGTTGTGTTGTGTGTGTTTGTTATTCAATGAAGGAGAGGGTTTGCAATTTGGGCCTGACCCTGCAAGAAAAGTAGTTTTGGATTTGGATGACTTTCACGCTGCGTTTATTTCTTTGTTTTGTTTTGTTTTGTTTTGTTTATTTTTTTGGCATACAAGCGATATAGGGGAGGGGGAAAATGGAACTTGGTATCTTCCTTTGCGTTATTTTAGTTAGATTGGTAAGAGTCAAAATTTGCCCCAACACAAGGGCAGAACTAGTTCTTTACTCTTTGGGAAATTTGCACATATGCCATTGAACTATTTTAGGGTGTGTGCATTTGTCGTTCAAATACAAAAATATGTTATAAGGATAACAAAGAGGGAACTATATGGACAACAAAGAGACACTATACGAGGATGAAGGGGTTATTATAAAATAAAAGCTGTGAAAATAGCTATTTTAGCACAAACTCCAAATTTTTACAGAATTGAAAGGCGGCACAAAATGAAGCCTAAGTGTTAAGCATATGTAATATCTTCTTAACTCCTTAAAATTGAAGATGAGCTTCTCCTTAGAACCAACGGGATTTTGACACTTGTCAAGTTAACTCGACTTTGTTTTTCTTCGGCTCCTTTCAGTAATTTTTTAAGTTTAAATACAGTAACTGCTTCTTCTTTTTGGTTGTCCGAAAATACAATCAAATAATTTTGTATTTACCTTATCCGCTTTTCAAACCTTGATAAGCATTAAACGCCAAGACTTATTCGTTTCTTCAGTGTCTGCCTTCCAAAGGTTTCATCTTTGTCTTCCTCCTGATCATCACAGCTTCTCAAGTTAGGGTTTTCAATGGCACAAGGTACGCTCCTACAATTTTCTTCGTCTTCGTCGTTAATTAATTTCGAATTCCTGGAATTCCCTCCCTTAGGGCTTAGACTTGCGTTAAAGTTTGTTTCTTGACAGTTTGTATGATCTTAACATGAGTGAGTTCTGTTTTTCTTTGTGTTTATATATATGATTTTTTATTTTCTGTTTACTTATACATCTGGCAACGAAAACCCAAAATTGTAATTTGAAAACTGTGTTAACTTAGTGCAGAACACAGAAGCTAAATATATACAAAGTAGAAAAGGGTATATAGTGATAGAGGGAGTTTCAATTGAGTATCCCTCAAACCTTATTCGAGGGACACTTTTTAGGCCCGCTCTGCATTGTATTTCAACGATGCAAACCATATATTTTTTAAATCTTCGTTTACGTGATCACCTAAATCAAAAATCATTCAACCAGTTGATCAAATGATAGTCATTTTAGTGTTTGTTGAAAACACCGTGTTCATCTTTTTGCTTCATCACAATTAGATGTTTTAATGGTTTATAATTTGTATATTTTTTTAAGGTTGATCTATTAATTGAAGACTTAAAGTTTAGACGGTTCGGATCATTGGAATACTAGAATGGAGTGGGCCCCACAAGGTGTCTCTCAAATAACTTATTTCAGGGATACCTGACTAGATGGGGACTTTATAGAAATATATTCATAAATGTGTTTTTGTGTATGATTATGTGTGAGTGGTTTGCTTGGATCATTTTTGTTTTGGCGTTTTGACAAGAATGAGTAGTTTTATCGAAATGCTTGAAAACCTTTGTCGCCCTTTGTTTCAACACAGAGCATTATACTTATGAGGCAAAATGAAGGTTTTGTTTTATTGAGGTTTGATTAATGAGTAGATTACATTTATCTTTTGGATTATCAATGTGTTTCACTGATAAAGTTGGACATTCTTGCAAAACACAAACAAATTGTTAGTGTGAGATGTTTTTACTGCAAGGTTGAATTCTCTGGAAAATTAGCTTGTATGTAGAAAAGTCCATTCCTTGTCCATTACTCCCCTTTTTAATTGGTTTGTTTGCCTTCTGGGAAGTTGCACTTATACTCAAAATAATTCCTCACAGAAGAAACATATATGTCTTCAGCTCTAACGTAACAGATTTGGTTAAGTCACCCTGAGTGCACTATGATTCTATTTTATACATTGTTAATTAGTGTTTATATCATCTGTTGGCTTTGTTTCTTCCGTCAGTATGAACTTTTATGTCTGATTATACTGTATTTTCTTTTGTTTATTACATGAATGTTTGAATATCATGAATGAAACCATGCTAGGTGTTTTGGGTATAGCATGAAAGGTTGTTTCAGATGATGTTGAACCAACATACTGACTTTGGTCCAAAATGATTGTAAACTAGGTTTTTGTTGTCATTCAGCATTTTTTATGAGGAGCTTTTATCTTTTTCTGTTTGGGTTTTTTCTTTGCCTCTAAACTTTCATGTCAGAGTGGAACAGGAACATGAAAATTTGCATGTGAACATGTATATAAACCTGTATACTGACGGAATATATTCACATTCACATGTCAGCATAAATTGTTTTGCATTTACAACAATTAGGTGCTACTTGTACTTATTTCTACTTACTGTTTCCCACAAATTTGTAGCTATGGATGTTGGAGGTGAGGTGATGGAAAGCACTATTCCTTCTCTTATTGTAGATTCTGTTCAGAAAGGAGAGGTACTTTCTCCAGAAGATAGTGCTTGGGTTGATTCCTGCCTGATTAGTGAATCTGATATTTTGGATGATGACTGGTTTTCTCTGAAAGGTGCCCTGCTAGAAATCCTTAATTCTCAGACTGAATCACTCAGCTCTTCTGCACTTCCTTCTGGTGAGGGGGCAGATACAGAACACTTCCAAAGAAGAACCCAAAGGAGTCTGCTTCCTATTAATGAAGACGCAGAGAGTGGAGATGATGATATGCCCACCGATGAGGATGCTAGTAATTTGCAGTCATCAACTTTTACGGGAAATCCATTCTTGCCAGGTTACCGTGATGATGACCTTGGAGTGACTGGAAACCTTGAGTTAGGAGCCAATGTTGTCTCTACAGTGTCTGAGATGGAGCCTTCAACTGAGGATATTTTCAGGGTTTGGGATTTGGATGTTCTAGTGGAGGAAGATGATCTTGTTAAGCAGTTGGAAAAGGCCCTTGAAGAAAGTTCACTTCAGCCGCTCCCACCAACTTTCAATGATTCTGATGTGTGGAAAAATTTGAAAGTAGATTCGGTTGATGCTCTAATTGCTGGAATTGCAGACCTGTCTTTGGTTGAAAGTTCCAGATAACATATTCATATTTTATATATATATATATATACCAGAAGTTTAATTTGCCATTATCATTGTTCTGCTGTTGAGTATTGGCTTCTTGTTGTCTCAAATTTTCATTGAAACATGGATGACGGTTTAAGATGGGGAAAGTTTTCGGGATTGCAGTTTTGGAAACTCTGGTTTTGTCTTCACAGTGTTTCATAATTTATGAGTTACCTGATGCCCAAATAATTCTTTTCTTCCATCAGTCTACTTCCTATGTTAGAAGATGATTGATTTCTTTGTTGACTATACTTCAACATCTTACCAAAATATGTCATGGAGAGGCAAGAGCTAGATGATGCTGTTTGTGCAAATCAGCAAAACCACTCATTGCCTCTGCCATTGTGCACCAACCATGCATCTGCTAGTTGGTTAGGGCCTTTAGATTGGCTAGGAAAATCATGAACCCCCATCATGTGGAGTAGCTGACGTGTAATGCTATCGGTCGTCCATGTGGATTTTGGCCAACATCAAAACTTTACTATTAAACCAGAGCCATTTGTCAGTAAGTATGGAAAAAAAAAGGCAGGAGAGATCATAACAACCGCATATTACTTTCCGTTTTGGACTCTTCACAATGTGAGCGTCATGCATTTGTCTGTACTAAACAGAAGAAAAATAAATATCATAAGTTTTCCAAGACAATATTTCAGCCTATTTTTACAAGGTGGGCAAAAACCCTCATGTCTGAACCACGTATGCAGCAGCCCAAGTCAGCAAGTTATCATCCACATGGCGAAGCAGTATTGGTTCTCGCACAACAGCCTCAAATTAGACATCTTTGTTATACACAAGACAATTATAAATACAGAGAGTGAGCCCATGTGTGGCAAAGAGCGAGAGCTTCGCCAGAGGAGATAAGATTATATTAAACTGCTCTTCACTAGGCTGCTACTCTCGCAGCTAACAATGGCTTCTGCTTCTCTCCTCAAGTCTTCTCCAGTCCTCGACAAATCTGAGTGGGTGAAAGGCCAGACTCTCCGTCAGCCCTCAGCCTCTTCAGTGGTGAGATGCCTCCCCACCACCCCATCTGGTCTCACCATTCGTGGTTCCTACGCTGACGAGCTTGTTAAGACCGCCGTAAGTTTCACAACATTTTATTTGCCATATGATTTGTACGTTATTATAAATTATGCTCTCCAGAAAGTATATGCATGCCTTTTTGTCTTGCTCTGCTCTTATCTAAGTATAGTCTTAGCCCCAACAAAATCTAAAAATCTTATGGGAACTGTTAGTTTGCCAAAACTAAACTGTCAGTTCGAACTATTGATAACATGTTGTAATGTTAGTAGAGAAAATAGTATCCTTAAACTTGCATAGCCTGTTGAGGTTTGAATACTGATGATGATTGGTTTTGGTTTGGGTGTAGAAAACTGTTGCATCCCCAGGCCGTGGTATCTTGGCCATGGATGAATCAAATGCAACATGTGGCAAGCGTCTTGCCTCAATTGGGTTAGAGAACACGGAGGCTAACCGCCAAGCCTACCGTACACTCCTTGTGTCAGCTCCTGGCCTTGGCCAGTACGTCTCTGGTGCCATTCTTTTTGAGGAGACTCTCTACCAATCCACCATCGATGGTAAGAAGATCGTTGATGTGCTCGTTGAGCAAGGCATCGTCCCCGGGATCAAAGTTGACAAGGTAAGCACTGAAATGAAAATCCATACATACCTAAGCAGCTTCAAGCATACTTTGATGAAAACATAGGGCATAAATCTTATTGTAGCTGCATGTTTTTATCATGATAACAACAGGGTCTGGTGCCCCTAGCTGGTTCCAACGATGAGTCATGGTGCCAAGGTCTTGATGGTCTTGCCTCTCGCACAGCTGCATACTACCAACAGGGAGCTCGTTTTGCCAAATGGTATGGATCAAATCTAAAATCCCCATGTTAATCTGGCAATAAAATTTAGCTCATATCATAATAAGGTAAACTGATGAAAACAGAACTTTAACATATTTTCCAACTTTGATGAACTAGGCGTACTGTTGTGAGCATTCCCAACGGGCCATCAGCTCTTGCAGTGAAGGAAGCAGCATGGGGTCTTGCCCGCTACGCTGCCATTGCCCAAGTAAGAGGGCTGATATCTATGCAGACAATATTTGTATTCTTTAACTGGTTCTCAGTCAATAGTAGTTTTGCTTTCAAAATTTATTGACAAGTATCAAATTGCTAATTAGACAACCGGCTTGGTGTTTACTGTCTAGTTAGGATGTGTTTCTGATAAGGGTTTTGCTTCGTGATTGTTTAGGACAATGGTTTGGTCCCAATTGTAGAGCCAGAGATTTTGCTTGATGGTGAACACACCATTGACAGGACTTTCGAAGTCGCCCTGAAGGTTTGGGCCGAGGTTTTCTTCTACCTTGCTGAGAACAATGTCTTGTTTGAGGGTATCCTCCTCAAGCCAAGCATGGTTACTCCTGGTGCTGAGGCCAAGGAAAGAGCCACCCCTCAACAGGTTGCAGACTACACCCTCAAGCTCCTCCACAGGAGAATCCCCCCAGCCGTCCCTGGGATCATGGCAAGTATCATAAAGATTTTCTAAGAACTTAACACTGATTTATTATTTCTATGATGACAAGATTTCATGTACTAATCTTGATGGAATTGTCTTGTTGAGCAGTTTTTGTCCGGTGGACAATCTGAGCTTGAGGCAACCCTGAACTTGAACGCAATGAACCAATCAGCAAACCCATGGCATGTGTCATTCTCCTATGCCAGAGCTCTCCAAAACACCTGCCTGAAGACATGGGGAGGCAGGCCAGAGAACGTGAAGGCAGCTCAGGATGCTCTGCTCATTCGTGCTAAGGCCAACTCACTTGCACAGCTTGGCAAGTACACTGGAGAGGGAGAGTCAGAGGAGGCAAAGAAAGAGTTGTTCGTCAAGGGCTACGTGTACTAAGTCATTTGTACCAAAGCTATAAATGATGAAGAACAAAAGGCAACTGATGGTGTTGATGTTGATGGAGGAATGAGACTAGGTTCTCTTAAATGTGTGTAATGATTATAGCCATGAAGACTATTTTTGTTGATGAACATTCCATGTACTTTTTAGCAACTTAATAAGCTTCTTGATGATGAGTTAGCCGGTAGTTATAAATCAGATTCTTTAATGCCTGAAATTTGCATTTTCAGTTCATAAATTAACCTCAACCCCGAATAAAAAGCAACTTTCAGCACCCGCTTGATCCTATGTAGTACATAGCTGTTTTGTTCATGGCTGAATAATTGCTAGCTTTTCTTTTCTTTAGCGATTACTCTCCCACTTAAATTCACTAAACTAATATGGTTCGAATCATCAGATCACATCATAAAGTACATCGCAACGATGCGATTCTCATTAAGTTAAGCCTTCAACTAAGGACCTCCTTGGACTGCCTTTTGTGCGTGTATAAACACTCCGTTAAGCAACTAATCCTGATTAATTAGACCTATCGTGATTAAAACACTAAAAGATAGAGTACTTTGATGCTCACAGTAGAAGTGTTTGCATTTTACATTTTCTTTGGGATTGAATTCAAAGACATGATCCAATAACCAGGGGCTGAGAGACTCCAAGACCATCTAAAAACAATTCACATGAGTTTTGGGGGAGCATTAAACTACAGAATTAGGCATAGTTAAGTAGCCTACTATGATTCTAATGCTACTATTTAGGTACAAGCTTTTGCTCAAATTCACATTTTGTTTTCTAATATTTGTTCAAAATGTGATGCAAGTGCAAGTAAGACCAATGTCAACAACGATATTCAAATCTGATTACAAACACTTTTGAGAAAACTATAGTAATAAATTTCATTTCCCTCTTTCAAGCTAGAAACAATGTTTTTGACACAAATGTAGATAGTTTCTTCATTTAATCTACTTTGCACAAGGAATGTGACAGACTGATCCTGAACCAAAGAAAACGGAAGAAATGTACGAAGAAGGTTACAAGTACTTGAGTTGACAAGCATCATGAAACAGTAATTGTCCAGAACATCTGCAGTCACAAAGTAGAAGCAGAGAAGGGTTCGTAAATTTTTCAGACAATTTTGACAAAGAAAAAGAAAATCACGTTAGATTAATGAATACATAAAACCATCAACAATACAAATAGGCTGGCAGCCTAAAAATACAGCGACATCTTGACTTCATTCTTAAAAGAAGTTGTTTATGTCTACACGCAACCAATATCAAAACAAGTAAAGTTACATATTCCAGATAATCGCATCATAAGACATTAATTTCCCTACTTCCCCAAAACTCTAATCCGTGACTTTCTTTTTTTTTGGTCGTGGCAATAGTATAACAGGAAGCCAATACAATCTCCACCTGTTTATTTCTACCAAAACTTTAAAGATAGAAAGGGTAGTTTACAAATTGGAGGGAGAAGATGACAGCTCACATTCAGTTTGGTTTTAAAGACACACCATGAGTCGCTCAACATAGTTGGAATTAAGAAAAAATACCAAGCGAAAATCTCTTAAGATCTGCCACCAGACTAGCGTTCGGTTATTTAGGAGGACTAACTCAACTTTTAAGACCAATATGTTTCATTCTCCTTCAAAAGGTCTGTATTCAAGTTTTTATAAGCCATGCAGAGTGGTTCTCACAACCTCAGAAGTTCCACGTATCCACGTACCAATTAAAAGCAAAAACTTGTTACCAATACCAGAGCTAGAATCCCACAAATAACCAAACAGCAATGCCGAAACTTGGTTGTTTTCCAACATTAAAAGGCACATTAACCATATAGGGGGGAAAGCCTCTAAGTTTTTCCTGAAACAAAGAGGATGTAGCCTGTTACTCTCTTCAGTAAATAGCAACTGTTAAGAAAAATAACCATCCTTCTCGTTTCGGACATATTATCCAAGTTCTAGGAGAAAAAAAACCGTTTAAATTGCCCAAAAATGGCTTTTTAAGCCAAAGTACTATTGTTTCTACTAGCAATTAAAGTAGGTCAAGAGCTAATATGGTGGGTGTTGGCATAAATGGATGGGTACCTAGAGCAAAAGACTACCTTAACCACTCCATTACATTACTTAATTTATTAACTGAAGTTCATTATGTACGATAACCCCTTCTTGTTTAAAATATCCCCCATTTATATATATGCTTTCTTTTTGTGCATTCAAACTAAAATTATGGTTTTAAAAAAAAATGTAAAGGTAAAAGGAAATGTGCTTTCTATTTAGTTATCAAATGTTAGTAAGGATCCAATTTTGCCCGTGCATTATCATATAATAATAATTGGGGAAGTGTAAAAAGTATTATAATGATAAAAATTGACAGTATCTTCATGTCAAGGAGGTCTGATATCAATTGGAAATATAGAGCATAATAGTAATAAGTCTCTAAAATGGCCTTGTTTTTTTTTGTGGTCGAAAGTCTCTAAAATGGTCTTCTTTCTAAATAGCATCCAGTCACATGTAGTGGGTAGTGGGTGCTGGGGCTGGTGGACCAAAGATTTTACTTGCAAACTCTTTTTTCTCCCTTTGTAAGAAATCTACCCTTGGCAGTGACCCAATTTGAGAAAAAGGTTCCAGACATTTTTTAGCATTTTGAAAGCAAAAACTATTGAAAATTGCCATGTATTTTATGTGCGCTTGTCGATACACAATTGATCCGAACAATTCTTTGCTTTTAGGTCTGAATTTTAAAAAATCAAACTCAATGCTAGAATACCTTCCTGAGCTATAAGCAACGATGACAACTTCATGCTAGAAAATTGAGAAAATACAAAACAAATGGACGAGGATAAGGAGATATGTAAAAGGCACCTTGGTCACTTTTCAGGCTATCTTTTGAAGGACCCAACAGGAACAACACTTGCAGATTCATCATTCACACCATTTTGAACATCCAAACCCTGTTCCTAAAATATAATGGCAAGAAAATTGTTGTTTTGATAACCCAAAATGCTTATAAATTTCAAATAACTGAAGGATCAGAACACAGTTCACAACATTCAAACAGAAATCCAAAATTGAATGTCATAAAAAGACAAAAAGTACAATATTAAAGAATCAGATACTGAGGTCAACATGGGAAAAATATATACCGGGCTAGTTGAAGCTTGCCCGTTCATTCTTTGGGGCCTGGTGTTAAGATCAATCAATCTATTGTCCATCTTGTAGTCACCAACAATATTGTTGTCTAGGACTGCAACTGGAGAGGCACTGCGATTCTGTTGATTCTCTCTTATACTTAAACTAGGTGGCTGAATATGGTCTTTTCTTACTTCCTTTTGGTCAAGTGGTTGAAGCCCTAGTTCCTCTGAACGGCCAGGCTTATCCCCTGGAAACTACAGAGAAATGCCCAAGAGAAAGGAAATAATCTCAGGAGGTCTATAAGCCAGATATAAACCTTAACCAGAACTCCCCAGTAGAGAGGAACAAACCTCAACTCTCTGTCTGAAAAGGAGATACCTCCTATGGGTTCTTTTACCACCAACATGTACAATCATATCGCATTGCAGGCAAAGGGAACTACCATCTACTTCACAGTAAAAGAAGGCTACATACATGTGCCCACAGGGAGGAGAAATCTTCAAAATCTTTCAACATAAGTTCAACATTGATATTCTCACAAAAACCGGAAACATAAAAGTCTTGCATACCAGGAGCATTTTCGCAAATATCACAGCAAGGAACATCACTGGGGCTAGCTAGCCCAACCCGTACATGTCTACTGGCAAGTTTATTACACATATGGACCTGCGATTCAAACACAAAAGAACAAAATAATGCTTCTACTATAGTTTGTGAATTATATAAGATTCAAAGAGCAGATGGTGCCATATGCCTGCTAAGAGCTTGTATTCAATACGTATACGTTTCGATATTTGAAACTAACACACTACATTTAATAGAATCCCACAATCACTGCTCTTACCAACATCTCAAAATTCATCATTTATGTGAACAAATTAAGTATCCCCATCTTTGGGTTCAGGCAACAATACACCATAATTAAGCGTAGCCAAAAAGGGAAATTTGAGCAGGCGACAACTACATCAAGTAAGAGGACGAAGTCAATGGATTAAGTATAAACCAACAACCACAACAACAACAAGTGATTCAGCTTACAATATGATGAAATCAACATCATAGAAGCAAGGCAACAAAGCAGTTGCTATAGCTTTTTACTTTTCAAACATGGTAAAGCAATCAAGAAAAAAATACTTTGCAAAACCCAAATTCCAAAAACTTGCAAATTTTTATGCTAAGATCACTGGAAGCATAAAAAGCAACCCAATCCCAAAACCCAAATTCAAAATTCCCCAAAATCATGAGTGTCAAATAGAAAGTCAATGTTTGCATAAACAAAATTGCAGATGAACAAAGAAAAGAAGGAATGAAGAACCTTTTCGTCGCAGGAACGGCAAAGAGCGGCCTCGTCAGCTGCGCAGAAAACGATGGCAGCAGCGCCCTCGCACACGTCGCAAAGCGTTCGCATTCTGTCTCCCACTCCTTCTCATTCCTCCATTCTACTCCCAAACGCCATCGTTTTCGGTTTCCTCAAATACAGGCAAAGCCAAAGAAAAAGGGAGGAGAATTTAAGTCTTGCAGTGGTCCTTTTATACAGAACGTGGGCAGTAGTACTTTGGAGTCTTTACCTGTGACGTTTGATTTGGTCTCTGTGCTTGCAGGTTTTTAATTTCATTACCTTACCATTTATGGAAATGTCTCTTTTGGTAGCTACACTTCAATTTCAGTTGATGGTTGTTCCTCAAGCATCAATTAATGCATGTACACATGTGGTTCTGTTGGGATCTTGCCAACTATTAAGTTTTTTTCTTGTTACATTTTTTGTTTGACCACGTTTCTAATATATCTTTTCTTGGTGAAGTAAGCGCCTGTATAATTACAAAAACTCCTACGAGGGGCGAAATAATATTTCAAGGAGCTTGCAATTCTACGAACCTCTATTTACAAATCAGTCACATTTTGTTTACTTCTATTTCATTTCATTCAAGATAACTTACCTCTTCCTTTTTTTTTTAAACAGTATATAATATAAACCTAATTCTTGTGTAAACAATTCATAATAGGAACCTAGTTCTTGCCTAATCCATCTTGCATATATACCAAGATATTTAAACGCTTCTCTCAAATTAATTATAGGAACCTAATTCTCTCTCTCTCTCTTGTTGCACTGGTTTCTTCTCTCTTACTCTCGACTTGGATCTCACCAAAACCGAGCCAAGCCAATGGAAGCTTTGGACGATTTGGCGTTAGTCCCCGAGGATGGCTCGCCGATAATGGAGGCATGGTTAGATGCCATTCCTCTGGGCATGGTTATATGCTATTTCCACGACAATGATAGGATGGGTACGTAGGTATAGGGAGTGGAGTGCTTGGGGTGAGGGCAAGGGATGCGATTTCTTCCCTCAGTATCTAGAAGACCAAAAGGATCCACATAATTTTGTTATTACATGTCATTGTGGCATAGCCACTTGTACAGAGCTGGTCATAGAATGAAAGCTCCTTCCAATCCATTTTAAGCCACTAATCTCCTTTATCCATTGACCCACCACCTTATTTTTTAAGTCTCTAATAAATTTGGGCCAGAAGCTCCTCTTTTGTTATCAAATTATTAAAATAAAAAGCTAGCTCAATGATTGTGGACAAGATGCTCTCTCAACTCAAAGACCCTTTAAATTAAGCATAGATTTCTCACGTCCCAAGTTCATAGCCCATGATTAGGGTCCCCAAACTCAAGACGTTGCCCAAGTTTATCATGTTTAGAGTTTACATCTGAGTTCTGGAGTTCGGGATTCGACTCTTTAGTCCCGTGTATGGAGTCCAAGATCTTGAGTTTCTGGTCCGATACTAAATCTTGAGACTCAAGTCTCATATTATGAGTCCATCTAGGGTCTGTAGTTCTGTGTCTAGGGTTGGGCTAAATCCCAATGCAATGGTATTGAGAAACAGTACATTTTTATGTGGAATTTTCGACCCTAACTCCAACCTCCCTACACCAGACTCGGGGCCAAAACCTCAAACATGTTAACTCGTCCTTTAAATAATTTTATTGATGGACACATTGTAGCGTCCGATACAAATTTTATTTCAACAATTTGAACAATTCATTTTTTAAGTCTTCATTTAAAGATTATCTTTGTGAAAAATTAGCAAAATTGAAAATCATTAAAACTTTTAATTATAATCAACAAAATCAACATTCCCAGTTGTTCAAGAAAATACTAAACTACAACCATTGATTGAGTGGTCAAATGATTCAAGTGATTTTTTGCAAATAATTTTATTTGAAGGACACCCTTTACGAATTTTTTCAACGATCCAAACCGTCTATGTTCAAATCTTCATTCATAAATCATTCTTGTAAAAAATCATGCAAATTGAAAATCATTAAGGCATCTAATTGGGAGAAACGAAATAGACGAACATGGTGCTTTAAGAAAAGACTATAATAACAATCATCTAATTGAGTGGTCAAATGGTTTCAGATTTAAGTGATTTTTTACAGAGATAATCTTTGAGGTAATATCTAAAAACTACAATTCGGATCGTTGAAATACAATGCGAGGTGGTCCTACAAGGGTTTATTTGAAGGACCCCTCAACTGAAGCTCTCTATATATATATGTACTCTTTTTTTTTCTTATTTTAAAAAAAAATTAGGATTATTTTTTCTTAGTAGGAATATTCTTATTAAATTTGAAAAGGGATAAACTTGCTATTAGCTTAATTGAGTTCATGTCTTGAGTTGGGTCTGTCAATCTTCCATGATCCTCCTGATAATATTAGGTCTTTTCTTAGTGAAGATTTATTTGGAGTATGTAGGCCTCAAGCCATTATTTAGTTTCTTTGTTGTGCGGTAGCCCCGTTTCTTTACCCAAAAAAAAAAACTTGCTATTAGAATTTATTTGGGTGTGGATATAAAATTGAAGGACATCAATAAAAGCTCCCTTTTGGTTTCTCTCTTTCATTTTGTGCCTTTCAAATTTGAGAGCTGGACAAATTGAACTTTTGGGCTCTATTGGAAATATGGATGGATCAGCAAGCAATTTCCTTTCCACGAAGCCCCACAGTAGCTGGCTGGAGGGGTACCAGCTCCCTTATGGGTATGAGCAATGCAATCAGTGAAAATTCTATTTGAATACTTATATGCAAATTTTACGTCACATATGATAGAAAAATTCAGGTCTGCAACTTGAAAAATGACCCCATCGCTTATGGTATTGGAATTTTTGAAAACATTGCCTCAATCTGTCCGTGTTTATTTTACGTTCAAAGTCTATTTTATTTCCTTCTATAGCTCTACTTGGTTTTTTTATATTTTTAATACTAGTGATATTGAAAGAAGGGGGAATTGAAACTAGAACCTCGGCTACATGGATAAATACTCTTAACCGTTTGAGTTATAAGCTCCTTGCTCAATCATGATATTCGTTGACAAAGGCGCACAATTATGTTATAATACTTAAAATCAAAACAATAATGCTAGAGACATTAACTTATTAATTACATCTACTGTCAACAAATTAAACCATGTCACATCAGTTTGTGTAATAAATTGATGTTTCTAGCTTGACCCAAATCAGAAAAGTCCCATAGAGTGGTTAACGCATTTTAATCGGTGGTTAGTTCGAAGATGATTGTGTTGTTGACGTTGTAATTGATTAAACAAACTCATGGATTAATCTAAGCTATCATATAATAATTCTTAAAATAAATAAATAAAAGCTTTATTGTCATTGTGACAATGCCTTACAAAAAAATGTGCAAACAACTACTTTCTATTCTCTGTTGCACACTTCTCTCAAGTACAGTGTGCAAAAGAATAATCTCAATTCCAAGCAAGAACAATATGTCTTTGTGACTTATAACTCTAGTCACAGAGTATATTCTCACATTCACGATAAGAGTTCAATTCTTGTTCATTCTTCTTCAAATAATAAAAATAAAAATTACAAATAAATGCAATTGGACTAATATAGTTGTCATTTGGTGAAAAATAGTGGTTTGATCATATAGTACTTGTTATTAAAAATATTAGATCTTCATTTAATCATAAACATACACAAAAGAAAAAACAGACAATACAATGATGAATATAGATAGATAGGACAGGATCCAAAGTCTAAGTCCCCCCTCAGCCAAAAGTACCTTTTTTAAGTGCCTATTTCGTGGTTTCCAAGCGACAAATATTCTGACCAAGAACATGAAAAAGTTTCTGTTTGATTCTTCACACTCATCATTTGATTTTAAATTTCCTATTTCAGTCCAATTATTTCGGAAATGTTCAGAGTTCCTAAGGTCCCTTTTGGTGGGCTAGCTTAAACTGGATATAATGGGCTTTGAAGCATTAAATTGGGCTGATTTGGACTAACTAGGTTTTAAATCCAGTTGTATTCATTTTTGCACCAAACAATATTTCTAATGGCGTGTTTTCTTGTAATCCACAAAACTACGTTGTGCTTGAGTACCGAATATTAAAATTTAACATCCAACTCAAAATCAATAAAAACCTCTAATGCAAGACTTTTATTTTCGATGTGGGATAGCACTCTCTCAACTACGAATATCAATACACAATACATATGCGCGGAAGATTGTTATCATTTATATATACGTATAATGGTCCGCAAATGGTTGAAAGCAATGCTCTGTTTGAGAATGTCTTTTTTCTCTGTCTCGAACCTTTTAGTCAGAAAAGGCCGCAAAAAGAGTCAAATCACCGCTGCTAGCTGGTTGTGAATGGTGTAAAGAACGTGAGATTTGGTAAAAGATGCTTTCTTGAGGGGTAAGAAATGTAGGGACTCATTATGTTACAACTTACAATGCATGCAACTTTGAGGTGGTTGCTAACTAAAAGGTGCCATCAGTTCTGTTGTATGCATTAAAGAGCATGCGGGTTGGTCATGTTCCAAGTAACATGTGGTTGCCTGCAGCTTAGGTCCTACTATAATAATCTGACTGTTTAACACTACAGAATGGAGAGTGGGGGGTATAGTTCGGTGGGTTGAGTGCTTCCACTTCTATGAATTAATATAGAATAATTCTATTATATTATGTGGCGGATGAGGTGGACAGCCACATCAATTAAAATTAATTTAACATTTTTTTAATGATTTATTAACACTTTTTAATTGATATGGTTGTTCACTTTATCTGTCACATAAAGTGATATGAGAATGTAGTAAGAGTAGCATTACTCATTAATCTATTGTTCCACTTGTATCATAAATAATTTATTTAAAATATTTTGTTTATGAAATTTTATTTACCTAACAATTTTATTAGCATGTCAAACTGTTTAACTTGAACTATTTTAGTTTATATATATATATATGTTGACATTACTCCATTGACTAAAAACAATATGTACATTATTAGTGCTCTAATTACTGCTATTATTATAATTGTTTTCCCTACGACAACTTCATATCTATAGTTTTTTCGTTGAAACTTTATATTCATAGTTTTCTTT